ACATACTTTAAAATGTAAATTAAAAATTAGTCCGTGAGCGGTTTTCTTTCGTTAATGTGCTGATAAAAAATTCTCTCCCCCCATATATATATTATTAGATTCTTAACTATTGTAATAATTAATGTTTAAATTTCAAATTTGTATCATAATTATTATTAATTGTATTATTAATGCGTTTATTAATTAATTTGTATTTCATATAAATAATATTTTTATATATATATATATTAACTTATTTACGTACTAGTTAAATCGCTTGAATGTGTGATTGTAATTGTAAGTAAAAAAAAGACAATATTATCATCTAATTATCTTCTAAATTAGCGAGAACCTTAAATTTTTAAGGCGGAAGGATTAAATTGTGAAATAATCAATCAAAATCCAATATTCCACATTCAGGTGATTTTATTGAATATTGTTGAATATATTTCAGACTTCAAACACCACACACAAGTACCTACGAGTATAGATATTCGTACAGATATTACGGAAAGCGGTAATTTATTTTTTAAACTATTATTTTTAAAACAAATACATTCTAATTTCTTTAGACAAATACCGTTTACAAATCGATAAAAATAATTACAATGATTATAATTTTCAAAAAATTACAAATTTACTACTGTAAAAAATGAATATATTATTTATATATATATATCTATATATCATGAAAAACGAATCTGTTCGTTGGCATTATAAATAAATGTATTTAATAATCAAATTCTCGTTTATTTTTATTATAAATGTATAACATAATAGTTAATAATAAGTAAGTTTTAATTTAAAAAAAATTATGTTGTGAACAATAGTGAGTAAACAGCAAATTAGTCCCAGAAGATAATTTTGAGGATAACAAATCGAAGGGTTGAAGACAGGCAGTCCCTCAGTGACCACAAATATATCACATCCAACAGAACGAGACCATCAGAAAAATCGTTAGAAGTAGAATTAAATAATATAATTATCAATGTAGACCAAAGGCCAAAATAAAGGGGGAAATCCCCCCCCCAAAAAAAAAGAAAGATATTATGAAAGTTAATTGAATAAACCTGGGAGCAGTAATAATTAGATGTGGCATAATACGAGGTAAGATGATGTTTTCGCTGTATCACAATCATCAGCTTATGTGGTAACTGCCTACCCAAATATTAAATACGTCAACGAAAATGTTCCTTTCTACTTTTTAGTATAAACCACCAAATGTGGCTCGACAATTAAATTTTCGGGAATCGTGCATATTTTGATGTGACTCTTTAAATCATTGTGAGTTTCCCATACGTTTTGATTTAAACGACGTACGTGGCTGGTATAGTGTCCACTCATATAATTCACGGATCCGTTGAGTATATATCTAAATCGAAAAATAATATCAATGAATTTAATTTACATAAATGTATTGTAATTAAAAAGATATAAGTACTTATAATTCCCAACGCTTAGTTCCNTTATTCTTATAATTTATTCTGTCAATATTCATTTATTTTTTTCTTACATTTTTTTTGTTCATTCAGGTTTTGTACGAGCGAGTCACGTGTGTGGAGAAAGATTAAATTTATATTTTCGTCCCGTTAAAAAAATAAATGAATATTGACAGAATAAATTATAAGAATAAGGATATTATTTTTGATAAATTTGAAAATAGCCATTTTATTAAGTTTATTTTTCTGAAAATTTAAATGTATCAACTTTTATTTTGATTAAATTATTGAGTAAATTGTTTATGTTTCGGCCTGTGTGCTTCCTATACGCCGTGGTACGTCGCTTAAACGTTCTACGAAATATCAACAGTCAATCCTGATTGTATGGAGAATCCTCTAAATTCGCGATCATATCGTCATTTTGACCGCCGAATTAATCGTTATGTCTTAACACTTTTTAGTGCGTAGCTATGTATTTATCGAGTTCAGAATAATGTGGACAAATATTAAAATAATATATTATATTACCTATATTAGCTAATTAATACAAACAAATGATCTAAACCACGACGTCGCTAACGTTACACTTCCAATAATAAAACATGTTATTCGTTTGTTATAAATTATTATTTCAGTAAATTTATTATAAAACGATATAACTATCATTTATAAACATACTTAATTTACTGTACGCTGCAGCATTCAATATTATGTGTTGAATATCATCGTGACACATGGTGGTATATTTTTATTTTAAATATCTTTATTTATGATATTATTAGTTGTGCAATATTTGTATCTAGAATATTTTTTATACGAAAATCGACAAGCAGATATTAACGAAATAAAGAGGAAAACGATTAATATAGTACTACTGGATCATCGGGTGACTCGCGGACATCACTGATACCCATTGTTAAAATGAATAGTAAAAATACTATAGTACCCATTGAATCGGAATGGAATATCGCAGTTCGTAAAATTATCGAAAAGATAACGCGAAAACGTAATTTTCTAGATGCAGAGAGTATTACCGAAAACGAGTCGATTGATCCTAATCAATCTATAAACGCGATCGAAACTAAACGATTTAAAGTCGCTTACTCTAGTGAAACAGAACCCGAAAAACATATTTTTCTTAGCAATAGTGCTAATCTAAAATCATGTAATCGCGTTTCAATTTTACCTAATGACCACGGTGACAATAAAGACTATTCATTTGTGTGTACCCGAAAACGCGGTTCCGACGTTTCCGATGAACAATGTTCATTAAATAAAAAAGTAAAACTACAAGAACTTGACGACGAAGTCATTGTTAAGAAACAGGAAAATACCAACAAATTAACGTTTACGAAAAATCTTGTTGAAAATACCGTGCAGACATCGAAAAAACCAGGACTTTTAACCGCATTACTATTGAATGGCAGTTTATCATCAATAGTAAACATAGATGAACAAAAATACAGAATATACAACACTTGTGCTTTTGATTCCGTTGCCACGGTTATATCAAGAGCTTTTATTGACAATAGTACGTATATAAATTTCGTCAATGCAAATTCAAATTCAGAATTTTTGAATTTTTGCAAAGCGGTAGCGTTTAGAAACGATGCAGACAATTTAAACAGAGAACGAGTGAAAATATTAAGGAGATTATTTAACGAAGATAGTGGAGTATCGAATTTAAAAGTTATTAATTGTGAATGCAATGTAATGAAGATAATATACGATTTGTTAAAAGAGTGTCCGTCGTCAAAAGACCACATACGGTGTTCTAACGATGGTTGTGAAAATGCGAATAAATGTAGAAACAGTAGCACTATCATTTTAGATGAAACGAAACTCAAACACTTAAAGAATTTAGAAGAGATGGTAAATGAATATACTAAACAAAGGATGTATAATTGTGGTCTATGTACCGAACAAATTTCAGCGAAAAGAGTACTGAGTTATCATTTATTTATTGAAACGGATCAAGTCAAAAGAACCAGTAAATTTACAATGGCTGACTTTCCACAGGAACTAAGCGTTGGGAATTATAAGTACTTATATCTTTTTAATTACAATACATTTATGTAAATTAAATTCATTGATATTATTTTTCGATTTAGATATATACTCAACGGATCCGTGAATTATATGAGTGGACACTATACCAGCCACGTACGTCGTTTAAATCAAAACGTATGGGAAACTCACAATGATTTAAAGAGTCACATCAAAATATGCACGATTCCCGAAAATTTAATTGTCGAGCCACATTTGGTGGTTTATACTAAAAAGTAGAAAGGAACATTTTCGTTGACGTATTTAATATTTGGGTAGGCAGTTACCACATAAGCTGATGATTGTGATACAGCGAAAACATCATCTTACCTCGTATTATGCCACATCTAATTATTACTGCTCCCAGGTTTATTCAATTAACTTTCATAATATCTTTCTTTTTTTTTGGGGGGGGGATTTCCCCCTTTATTTTGGCCTTTGGTCTACATTGATAATTATATTATTTAATTTTACTTCTAACGATTTTTCTGATGGTCTCGTTCTGTTGGATGTGATATATTTGTGGTCACTGAGGGACTGCCTGTCTTCAACCCTTCGATTTGTTATCCTCAAAATTATCTTCTGGGACTAATTTGCTGTTTACTCACTATTGTTCACAACATAATTTTTTTTAAATTAAAACTTACTTATTATTAACTATTATGTTATACATTTATAATAAAAATAAACGAGAATTTGATTATTAAATACATTTATTTATAATGCCAACGAACAGATTCGTTTTTCATGATATATAGATATATATATATAAATAATATATTCATTTTTTACAGTAGTAAATTTGTAATTTTTTGAAAATTATAATCATTGTAATTNCCGTAATATCTGTACGAATATCTATACTCGTAGGTACTTGTGTGTGGTGTTTGAAGTCTGAAATATATTCAACAATATTCAATAAAATCACCTGAATGTGGAATATTGGATTTTGATTGATTATTTCACAATTTAATCCTTCCGCCTTAAAAATTTAAGGTTCTCGCTAATTTAGAAGATAATTAGATGATAATATTGTCTTTTTTTTACTTACAATTACAATCACACATTCAAGCGATTTAACTAGTACGTAAATAAGTTAATATATATATATATAAAAATATTATTTATATGAAATACAAATTAATTAATAAACGCATTAATAATACAATTAATAATAATTATGATACAAATTTGAAATTTAAACATTAATTATTACAATAGTTAAGAATCTAATAATATATATATGGGGGGAGAGAATTTTTTATCAGCACATTAACGAAAGAAAACCGCTCACGGACTAATTTTTAATTTACATTTTAAAGTATGTTCTATCATCAAGACTCGGAAATTATAGCACTTAGTACTAAGTCCGCAAAAAACTTAAAAATTTCTAAAAAGCCCCGAAAGCAGAATGTTTAAAAAAATAAAAACAGTTAAAAGGTTTAAAATTCCTTTCTAAAAAAGGGGGGGTTAGGTCGATGAAGAGGTGGAGGGGGATGAGAGTGCTGAACGTCGATGAAGAAGAGGAGGAGGGTGAGGTGGATACTCCATGGAGTGAGGAGGCTTTGGAACATACCAAATCATCCTACTAATATTATTCAATAATATTTTATTTAAGTAATATTTTCCGTAGCCCTGTTCTAATGAAAATAATTTAAAGAGTTGTTCTCAAAATATGAAAAAATTTGAAGAAGACCAACATCGTCCTGCTTACCTCTTATCTTAACATACTATCCCCCTCCCAATAAAAATGATCTTTGAGTCGACTAAGATTAATATGGGAATACAGAGTAAAAGAAAACGTAAAAAAAAAAAAATGAACCAGTAGAATATTTAAGGAATTATGATTAGAAAGAATTAAGTGAAAATAAATATGTTTGATAGGATGGTCTTAAAGGGTGAACCTTGAAGAATATTGACACTTTTGGTAATATGGTACAGAAAAATATCTACTGGACATTCAGTTGCCGTAATTTTGTTTGTTATTTAGAGATGTCCGCTATTCAGAGGGGAAAAAATTCTCGAAAATAACTCTGACAAATTAATAACTATGAACAACATTTATATATGCAATATGTATATTTTTATTATTTTAAAACAAATATTAATTGTACATATTATTAGTTAAAATTAAGTTATTATTCTGTAAGTAAAAATATTAATGAAAATTTAAATAAAAATTAATATTTATTGAAAAAATCAGTTATTTTAGATTGTTTTATACCTTGATTTGCTATAAATTGCCATAAAAGTGTTCGGTATTTTTGAGATTTTCCTATATAAAAATGGTGAAAATGTCCCTGTTCCCAAAAAGTGTCCGTTAAGGGAGGTTTCATTTTACTAATTTTTAAATTTTAAACTCAGTTAAAAAAATATTAGTTCGACTATATTTTGTGATTTTTAGATTCTGAATGGAGTTTTTTCATGTGAACTTATTTATTCCTAGAAAGCTTACTACGGTGTATACGATGTAGACCTTTTTCTGAAAGGAAATTTTTTCGGATTGGTATTTTAGGGAGTTTTTTAATATAAATGTGAAAAACCAGAAAAAAATGGAGGGAAAATGGGAAAATGTATGAAATTTAGGGGTATTAGATGAAAAATATTTCGCTGTTTTCATTGTCTAAGCATTTTAATTTTAATTTTATTAGAGTTTAGTTACCTTTATTATTGACATAAATCAGTTTTTATTAAACCATAAACAAACAGTTTATAATTTATTAACATTTAAAGTTAAATTATTAGGTGAAGTTTTTAGTAAAAATAAGTAAATACTTTTTTAATAACATTGAATAATAACTGTTTTATTATCATATTAAATCTGCAGAGATCGGCTACTAATTTTTAAATTGATATTTACTAATAGTGGTTATAATCTTATTTTAATTGTAATTTAAATATGCATTTATAGCTTACTTATCTTATCTCTTACTTAAAATATGATATATCAGTGTACACACTAATATTTATTTTGAATAAAATAAAATAATCTATTTAATGTTTTAGTTATAAATGTGTGGACTACAGAGCCATTCAGGAAAAATAATCATAACCGGACAAATGTTCCAGAGTCTCCAAATCTTATTGTAAGAATAATTAGTGTTAATAAATTTGGTTTAATCAATTTTTGTTTTTAGAATACAAATCAACCTGGCGGTTCAGTTCAAAAGTTTGGTAATATTAAAAATACACCATCTCCTTCAATGCTCATTGGCCATGAAGGGAAATATACCCCTAGTAGCTCTGTTCCTGATTTAGCTCAAAAGTAATATTCAAAAATTAATAATAAAATATAAATTGATTTTTTAAATATTAATGAACAATTTATTTAAAGATTTGCTAATGCTAATTTGTGGAGCAGTACTCTAGGAATAACTGCTGATCAATCAATAAGTGTTAGGAATTTTAGTAATCGATATATTCCTAATGATTGTCATATAAATCATCAAGCAAGTTTTTAATTTTGTAACTAATTATATTTTACTTGATTTTTTTACCTGATTGAATAATTTCTAATTTTTGTTTATATTTAGTTGGGAACTCATACGAGTGCTACTTGTCTACCCTATCATTCACACTCAGATTTAGCTGAATCATCCGTTATTATGCACAGATTTGGCGACAATACAATTTATACACCACCTTTATCACAATATTTTCCAAATGTAAGTTAAAATGTAGGTATGTATATGTATAATGGCATATGGTATACATGTCTGAATAAACTCAATGCATTTACCAAAATTAATTTGGTTCAATAAATAGTTATACTTCTGGGTGATATTTTTTAAATAATTACATGTACATGTATTATATAGATTTATTTGACAACATATAATAATATATTTCCAAATACATTCCTGCAAATTTGTTACTTCTAATGTTTTTAGAACTTGATTATTACTTAACTGAATAAAGTAGTAACACGAAATAGCAATTTTTTATAATAACCAATAACTTAGTTTTTCAAAAACACAATTTTAGGCATTAGAAGTAATTTACATTTCTTATGCAATTTAATAAAGATTAGAATTTGAATATAAATTGTACTTCAAAAGTATTACCAATTGTACTACCGATTTTACTAGTTTAGATAAACTTGCAGTTTTCTACTCTTGGATAAAATTATATATAAATAAAATAATATATATATCATATAAAAAATTAGATAAAATCTTATTCATTTTTGGTAATCTTTGCATTTTGTTTGAAATTCATGATTTAAATATAAAATATTATATTATTTGTAAATTTTACTTATCAGTCATATCTGTTATTAATTTTGTTGAAATTATGTTTTCAATTTGAAAATTGTTATTATTGGTATGTGACTTATATATTTAACCAAAGTTCATATCAATTTAAACTAACAAGTGTTTTGTTTCAGAGTTATTAATAGAACTGTGTTCAAATTCTTGTTAGATTGTTGGTTAATTTATACCGCAGGCTGCAAAATAAAATATTAATTTACTTATAAACTAATTTGTCTTGGAAAATATATTTTAAAAAAAAAAATAAATATTTTTAAGAACCCGGCAAATAGGTAAAAATTATCTGATGGTTAAAAAATAAAAAAGATTCACAGATTGGACCATTTAAGTTAGAATTAACTTTTATTTATAAGCTAGGATATAAAATAAAAATAATGATTACTGTGAACCGAAAACTAATAATTTGTTACAATAGGTTCAAAATAAATAATTATTTTAAAATATAGTGTTTTAGACCTATTATTTGTATTCAAATACACAAATCAACATCTATAGGTAATCTATATCAATATCTATAGGCATAATATTTACTATTAATTTAATACAACAACATCAATGTATGTTAAATGTAAATTTAATGCATGCTATTATTGGAAACTGTTCACTTTAATTTAATTAAAATATGTCTTATTGAAATTTTATTTTTAGATTCAATTGCAACACAAAAATGAAATTATTAATTCCCATCATTCCACACCTGCGTTGCATAATATTGGGCAATCTGGACCAATACCATTATCATCAGGTGAATATAACAATATTTTTAAATTTAAATTTAAAATAATTCTTAAGATCTTAATTTTTTTATTGTAGTAAATCAATTATTCTTAAAAAATACAATATTTATATATAAGGTATAATAATAATAAAGTTTTAATAATTTCTATGCCCTTATAAAAGTTACAATTAATAATATGAATTAATTATAAAAATGATAGAGGTGATTAGTTTTGTAATTTTGTGTTCATATAACTTTGTAGATGGAGAAGAACTCCCTTTACCACCTGGTTGGTCTATAGACTTAACATTAAGAGGTCGTAAGTATTATATAGATCATAATACAAAAACTACACATTGGTCACATCCATTAGAGAAAGAAGGTCTTCCAACTGGATGGGAACGCATTGAAAGTAATGACTATGGGGTATATTTTGTGAAGTGAGTAAAAAGTAAAATGTAAACTTAAAATTTATTTAATTCAAATTATGTGCATTAATTTAATTTATTGAAAACAAAATTCTATGAACGTATCTTTAATAATATTTATATCTTATATATATTTTATGTATTCTAACCTAATGTCTAACATATAGGTAATATTTAATATTTAAAAAAAAAAAAAACAAATATTATTTTAAAATTTTGAATGTACCATTCATTCATATCAGATCAATAGTGTTTTAATAATTTTAGTTTAAATTTCTAACTCATCAATTTATCATCATTTATTATAGGTATAGTCGTATAGAATGGAATGAAAATTCACTTATTGTAAAAATAGGGATACCCTTATAATATGTTCTAATTGGTGTTGTGTCATTGCGACATGGTCATTTTAACAAAAGAAGATTTGGCGCATGGCTTTTTTTGTCATTTTTTTTTTTAATTATTATTAAATATAAAATAAATATAATACTTAATAAATTATAAAATTCATTAAAAATTTCCATCGCTGACTTTTTAGAAATTTTAAAGGCATTTTAATAGAAATTATGCGTCGTAAGTCTCGACAAATACTGAACACATACTGAGTGATCCATTTAAGTCAGTATACTCATTATCTTGGAAAGTATTAATTTTTTTGGAATGTTTTATAGAAAATTCAAGAAACAAGCAGCTCTACAATTCTATATTTATATTACTTTTATTTTTGTGGATATAACCACTATCTACATTAGATTTTCAAATGGCAACCTATATAAAAAATTACACAAATAGATGGATTATTAGTTAAAATAAATTTGAGTGTTGAAATTTTTTATTTCTGTGAGGCCGTTGACAAGATATTCCATTTTTAAGTTTAGATTGAAGGAGAATATTGACACATTATTAACGTGCCACGCATCATTCCACCACACTAATGATACTCTACTACTCTCCCTCAACCCAATTTTAAAAGTGGAATATCTCGTCAATGGCTTGACGGAAATCAAAAATTTCAACACAAATTTATTATAACTAATACTTCATCTATTTGTGGACTTTTTAATATAGGTTATCATTTGAAAAACAAAAGTAGGTAGTGGTTTTATCCCCAAAAATAAGGATAACAAAAAATAATATAAATATAAAACTGTAAAGCAACTTGCTTCTTAAATGTACTAGAAAACATATTCAGGAAAAAAGTTAATACTTTTTGAGATAATGAATGTACCCACTTAAATGGATCACCTGGTAGAATGCATATTTATTATCAATTAAATTTATCTTTCCGGACAATTATAAAGATAAGCATGATCAATCTTCCAATGTTAAAATATTATATCTAATAATATAATATCTGTTTGGGGCATCTCATTCTTCCTACAGGTTTTTTTCCAATAATTATACCTTCTGTTGTTTGTTTGGTTATTTTGCGCTCTGCTTTCCATTTGTAACCAAGCCATTATATTCTCTTAATTCTGTCAAATTATAGGATATTCTGTCTCCCATAACTATTTTTCAAGCTAGCATTATGTCTTCTATCATACCTTCTCGTTTTTATATTATAAACAGTTCCATATATTTTTCTGAGCACTTTTCTCTCTGTTGTACTCAGTTTATAATAACCAACTTTTGTAGTAGTCCACATCTCATATCTATATGCTCTTATAAAAAAGTCTTTAACAATAATTTAAGAATAGTATAACTAAATTTCATGGGAATAACAAAATCAAAAACAGAAAAAATAAGCCAGATTTTCAATAATGTTAACGTTTTGATATTACAAGAAACCCACTTTTCCATTGGCCAACTTTCTAAAGTTAATAGCTTTTAGCTAGTGAAATTTTCAGGTTATTCAAAAGATAATACAGCTACAAATATAAATCAGAACTGGCATCCTCGTCATGTATCCATCATAATTAATGGACACTCAATTGGAATGTATTTAGACAACTTAAGTATTTTAAATGTTTACAAGCTTACATCTTGAACACTAGTTATCACTAGTTCTTCCAACAAGAAATTATCCTGAAGTGATTTCAATTCACATGGCATTGATTGAGGATACAGAAGTGATAATGATGAAGAGAAGTTCTCAAACTGGGTAAATATCAATCACATGCAGATTATTTATGATGCCAAATAAGGAAACACTTTCAACTCTGGAAGACGGGTTAGAACTTTTTCCCTGGATCAATGCTTTATCACTAAAAATCATAATGAAACACATCTCAGTGACCAACATCAAGTAATGAATAAATTCTCCAACAGCCAACATCAATCTGTTATTTTAGATGTAGGATTAGTGCTACCAAGAATAAATAATCCGGAAATGATTAGATTGAACCTCTGTAAGGCAGACTTAGATGTTTATTCAACATAAGTGGAGGATAATATAAACCAAATTGAACCGATTTCTGAAAACTACTAAATATTTGTGAAGCTGCTAAAATTGGCTGCAGATAAATCTTTTCCTAGAGTGCATAGGAAAAATTACATTTCCTACTTAACTGAAAAATGTGAGAAACTGCTTATAGAATACGAGTAAGATGGTAGCGAAGTAACAATCAATGGACTATTAGAGGTCTATTTGACGAACTAAGGAAATAAATATGCAAACAACTATGGATGATCTAGGCTTTACCCATCAAAGTAGAAAAAGTTGGTCCCTAATAATAAAATTAGGAGCCATGCAACCAACACATAAGGAAAATTGTGTCAACACAAAAACAATATCGGCTAACCTTTATAAAATAGTACTTGATAATTCAGTTATTAAATCTGCAGTGTTCCTTAAAATAATAAATCAAAAGACTGCTGAATCTGATGGCATCTTACCAGAATTTTTAAAAAACTTAGGCATTAAAGCTAAAACTTGGTGGTTAGTATATCTATGTATATCAATTATTAATAACTGCAAAATTCCCAAGAAATAGCATAAGGCTAAGATAATTGCAATTCTTATATAAAACAAACCAAGTAATAACCCTGAAAGCTCTGTAGTTTTCAGGCCAATATCACTAATTTCAGTAGTCTTTAAAGTCTTTGAAAGACTTCTTTTAAGTAGATTTTCAGATAAACTAGAAAGAATAATGCCAAAAAAGCAAGCTGGTTTTGCAAGCACACTAAGAACTGGCCTCGGCTCTAGTCTACAATGCAGTAAAATATTGTGTACCCACATAGTCAAGAAGTATGCATTATAAGAAAATTGATACTCAGGTGAACTACATGATGAGGATAATTTGAGGTATTGTAAAAATAAGTGTAAAGTACACAAATACTGATGATTGAGTGTTCTCACTGTGACTACGGTGAAATGCACATCATAAAATCTTGCCCATTGAGGAAATTTACTGAAGAGCTGGTTAGAATTATGTGTGTGAGAGTACCGTAATTGAATGGTTAACCAACTTAGACGTCCAACTATAAGCTATCATTATTAGTTACCAAAAACTTTTCTTTATTTATTTACTAATCTAGTTGTATCTTTATTTAATTACTATAATTTTGTTATGCCAATACCATATGAAAATATATCAATTTGTCATAACTGGTCTCAAATAACTTTTGTAAAATGTTATTTTCGTTTCAACTTGAAAAGCCTTAGTTAACTGTAATAACACCTGTTCGTACCAGCCATTTGTTCTTTTATTTAATTATGTAGTTTTCAAGTCTTCTTTATTTTTTTTTTTTATACACCTCATCTCTAGAAATTAAAACAAACTATTCATCAGATATTCATATTATGTTAGATTAACAATTTTAAAATAATATATATTACAATTTGGCCATTTTTAAAATATTTTATACAAATTTTATGAGATATTGTAGACCATTTTTCTCTGAAAATATTGGTTTTGAAAAACCCCAATATCCTCAATGTGCTCTATTAGTTTACGTCTATATAAACCACTATTTTATATATATATACTACGGTATAATGAAGAATACCGATGAAACTTATTCCACTACCATTGATAAATATCTAAATTGTGGAAATTGACCAATTCATTTTGGTAAAACCTAATGTATACAAAAGGGTTTGATTAAACTCCAAATCATTTTTTTTTGCAGTTTGGACTTTTACAAAAGAGATTTTTTAAATCTTAAGATAAATAACTAGTATTAGTAAAAGTCCGAAATTTCATTTTTTTTGCTTATTATGTGGTTTTTTCACTTGCTCTGTACACAGATATTTTTACAATATTATATGCTGATTATAAGATTACATATTTGTATTAATTATAAGTAAGAATAAATAAGTACTTACCTGAATACCTTCTTACTTAATAAATATATATTAGATAGATAAATTATTATTACAAAAATTATTATCTATTTATTATTCATTTTATTGCAATTAATTTCAGAAAATTTCAACTAAAATATAAATCGTGACAAATGCCAAATGTATTAATTGGAAAACAGTTAAAACTAAAATTTCAGAAATTGACTTAAGTAAAGTTAATGCACACATATTACTTGCTGTGGTGTTCAAATTTGTGAGTGACAATTTTTATTGCTTGGGTACCAAAGCAAGAACACTGTTAACTTTTTATTATAAATCAATTCATCTTATGTGATGAAAATTTTATATAATTGACAAAAACGAAATCGGAATATGTCAAATAGTATTGCAACTGTCAATTGATAAATTAATTATGTAATTCAAGAAGTTATAATAGCCTTTCTTTACAAATTATCATTTTTGTAATAGTTAATATTTTAATAAAGTACGAGTAATATATAAAAATTATTTCAATTTTTGTAATAATATTTCATAATATTGTAATAATATTTGAGTATAAATCAAGGGAAAACACTACACAAAAAATTTAAAAAATAATAATTTAATTCAATTTTGGACTTTTACCAACACTAGTTATTTTTCTTACAATTTACCAGATCTTGTTTCAAATTAAGTCCAAACTACAATAAAATGATTTGAGGCTTAACCAAACTATTTTTTGTATAACTTAGGTTTAACTAATATTCTTACTTTTACTTAACATATATGTTTTAATAAATTGTATCATTATTTGTACATTTTAACCTTTTTTTTTAGTCATATTACCCGACAAGCACAATATGAACATCCGTGTGCACCACATTATATTTATCAACCTGAAGTAAGAATTCCCTTACCACTTCCTCCTCCGCCACCACCAAGACCTACACATTTTCATCCCCATAATATGCTTGTGCCTGCTAATCCTTACTTAAATCAAGGTAAAATTTATATTAAATTTTTTTTTTTATACATAAATTTAAAGTAAATTATTATATATAATGTTTTAGAAATTCCTGTTTGGCTCAGTGTGTATTCTCAAGCAGCCCAAACATTAGATCACAAACTCAGATGGGAAATGTTTAGACTACCAGAACTTGATTGTTTTAATGCTATGTTGACTCGTTTATATAAACAAGAGTTAGAAGAAATTGTTATGCGTTATGAAGTTTACAGGTTTGTTGTTTTTTTTACTATTATAAAGTAAAAGTAAGTATGCATAGTTAAATGTATTTTATTTTATAGGTTTAGGAATAAATTATTAGTTTATTACATTTACTTTTTCACATAAGACATAACAGATTTTTAAAGCAATAATAAACATATTTTAATATTAAAAAAAAAATAAAAGTTTTAGATTTTGTTTTTTTGTTAGATCTGCATTGCTATTTGAAATGGACAGAAGACATATGCAATCTAGATGTATTGATACAAATGAATATAACCGCTATGGTCCAGGTCCTCGTATAATTGATATAACTAATGATAATCTGCGTGAAGTTGCGCTTTCACAACACACAGAAACCAAAGTATAAATTGATGCGCATTCAGTTTCATGTTATAATATTGCTCGAATTATTTTATAATATTAAATAGTGGTTTTAATGGTTCTATATATAATGCATTTTCTACTACAAAAAAAAACTGTGATAAATCTATTCATGCATGTTATATTTAATATTGTTATTAATAAAGGATATGGTTATATACAAATTATTATAATTGTATTATGTAATCAAAATAAACATTAGATTAGATAGCAAATGGTGGTTTAGAATTTCAGATAAATAAATAATTGAAGATATATGCACATTTTAATTTTGAAAGTCCAGTCCAAGCACTTTTAAATCCCTTGCAATTAATACATATAATTTAATTAACACTACACCATATCTGAACTGTCTATTCCAGGAGTGTGGTTGTTATTATTTTGTATTTGCTGAAATTTATGAAATGAATCAACAATTGCCGATCACCTCAAGAATATATTTCACTACAATATAAAGTTAACAATAAAATGTTGTGTTTTTATAAAATAATGAAATCGTGAAATTGTACGTTTTCCTAAGGTTTTTCTCGTTAAAGTGCTTTTATATAAAAAATGGCGTCGAAAATCAAAAAATGATCTCTTTAAAGTACAATTTAAACAACTTGAGCTTTCAGAAAAGGTGCTACATGTAAAAATCGGAACAAATTTACTAAGAAATAACGTGTCAACAGACTAGAACAAAGAATAAAAAAAAAAGAAGTAACCATCATTGTAAAACCATTAGCCTCCCTCACTAGGCTTGGAATCTAAATTTTTTTTTAGAATTAAAGAAATATTTAATGCGAAAAGCCGAAAATAATTAATGTTATCGTACGTTATAGTTAAATTGTACACAATATGCAGCGCCCGTAACCACGGAGTATAGACGGGCAAATACAATTATTGCACCAGTCGCACATGCACATTTAACCGTTTCATTCCCACTACTGGCACACTTATTATTAGACTTGTGGTATGTTGGTGCACAAAACGAATATTGCACCTCCGCTGCCGTACAGCCGTCTGCCACTGTTCACAGAGAATATCATGTATTGGGAACTGATTATTTCTATAGAATAATATTGAATTTGTTCGGCAGGCGGCGTTATCTTAAAAAATTCAATCCATAAATAATATTATTCAATAAAACTTAACAAAAATAAACATAATTCCCAAATATATTGTAGATTTCTAATAACCTCGTATATAAAATAATACAAATATATCCTTATTTTAATGAAATATTTGTTTTAGTTTTTGTTTTCTGAATTGACTGTACTTATTGCATACAATTTTTTAAATGTGCACCACCAATTATTTTATTCACGAGCCTTCACTGATTAATATGCTCCAAAATATTACCAAATAAAGCGTTAATTTATCAACATTTATAATTTTTCCTATTTCATTGTAAATATAGTACCTATTTATATAGAGTTTTTATAATTTGTATCATATTCATTTGTTCATGATTACTAGAGAACGGATTTATATGTACTTAAAATTCACAAAAATAATGACGCTCGTCGTCGGCTAGATAATATGCACAATATCTGTCATTTGTACCGGTTGTATTTAATATTTATAAATAGGGCTTGGAAGTTCATGCATTTACATGTTTTTACTGAATGGACTGAAAAATTTCTAGATCAGCTACAAGTTTGAATATACTTATACAAATCCAAATACAACATTTTATTTTGCATATAATTGCATATTTCGGATTTTTTTATATTTATTCGCATATTTTACAAATTTTTTTGTTATTAACTGCGAGTCAAATATTATATAATTAACAAAATAAATTACTTTTAAATGACCTATTAATAAATTTTTGATATTTTCCATTACGATAACGATTCTTTTGTTTATTAATATATTAATAAATAAAATAATGGTGCGGCGCACGGCGGCCCGATAACGGCTAATAAGACAATATGTTTATTTTTAGAAAAGTTCTGATATTTCCCATTACGATAACGATTCTGTCTTCTTGTAAAATTATAGAATGTCACTTCTGGATTTCTCGTTAATATTGTTTAACGTGTTCCGTGTAGTAACGTCGAGTGCCAGTTTTTTTTGATTAAATTGTGTTAAAATGCTGAAAGTAAAAACATCAGATTCTTATAGAGGTAAAAATTACGTTACTGAATTCGGTGAACATATTTTCGCGTTCGACGGGAGTGTATTATTTTGTAAGATATGCGAAGTAAAGGTAAAGTGCAAAACACGTTTCAGGGTCATTCAGCACGCAAGTACTGAAAAACATATTAGAGCCTCTAATCGTCAAGGTAAAAATACAACTCGACCGATAATTACTACTACACCAACACGATAATCTGATTTTTCCAAGTATTTAAGTGAAGCATTCTTAAAATCAAATTTTCCATAAGAAAAATTAGGAAATCTTCATCTTCGTTTATTCTTTGAAAAATACGTAAATAAAGATATACCATCTGTATCTACACTGGGAAAAACATGGGCTGCAAAATCCATTCAAGCATTGTTTTATAAAATGGTTTATATAACCTGCCTCGCCCATGGTTTTCATCGTGTATGGGAGAAAATTCCCAAAAATTGATTAACTTATTTCGAACATGAAAAAAGTATTCTTAAAGGCGACAGCACGCGTTGAATTGTTTCGAAGATAACAGACTCTGATGTTTTTTCAACATAAGTGGAAGAGAATATAAACCAAATTGAACTGATTTCTGAAAACTACCAAATATTTGTGAATCTGCTAAAGTTGGCTGCAGATAAATCTTCCTAGAGTGCATGGGAAAAATTACATTTCCTACTTAACTGAAAAATGTGAGAAACTGCTTATAGAATATGAGTAAGACGGTAGCGAAGTAACAATCAATGGACTATTAGAGGTCTATTTGACGAACTAAGGAAATAAATATGCAAACAACTATGGATGATCTAGGCTTTACCCACCAAAGTAGAAAAAGTTGGTCCCTAATAATAAAATTAGGAGCCATGCAACCAACACATAAGGAAAATTGTGTCAACACAAAAACAATATCGGCTAACCTTTACAAAATAATGGAATTAGAATAATTCAAATAAAAGAATTGACAATGGATAATTTACCTGAAGATTTTTCTTGTGATAATTTACTATATTTTAAAAAAGCACCAATTATTTTGGTTGACATGGAGCGAGCTTTTCATTATACAAAAATATGTTAGCAGATAACAGGCGGTAGTTTAAATTTGAGAATTTATCAAAATCGTTGATTTTGAATTGTAATGTTTAAAAATGTATATTAATAAAATAATTTTTTAATTACCAGTTAAAGAAATTGAAATTAAAATTGTGAATAGTATCATAACTAATAAGTAATAATATTTTTTTCCTAATATTTTATATTTTTAAATTTTAAAAAAAATAAGGGCATATTTAAGCAGTTAAGTGTATACATATTTTGGTAATTTTTAGTGCATAAACTTCTGAGCCTTATTTATAAACATTGTCCATTGATATTACATACAAACAATCTGCCACAATTGAATGATATTGTTTACTTATAAAAAATGTAAGCAGTAAGTGGGCCCCAATTATATATCTAATTTCCTGGTAGGGAAAATGGACCCAGTACATACATAGATATCTCAAGGAAATCTTTATATAATGAATGAAAAGAGTCATTCCCTTGAAAATCTCGTATGATATATCAAAAAATTTAATGTATTTTGGTCTCCTTGATGTAATGAAATTATTTTGAACAAAGCTCTTATGATGTAACAAATATATTTTTAAACTTGATATTACGAATTTTTAATTTTTATTAAAATACCTAACATATTACGTCTGATAGTATATGATTAAACGTAAAATAAAGTTTGCTACGATACATATTATTGTGCATTATCATACATAACTCATGACTCATGTATTTTATACATAAATATTCCATTTTTAAGTTTAAATTGGAGGAGTAGTGGTGCATTATTAACACCCTACGTGATGTATCACAACACTAATGATACTTCACTACTCTCTTCTAATTCAAACTTAAAGTACCTAATTTTTATTAAAAATAATGTTACCAAATTTAAGTGTGTATAACTTTATTATTAAAATATTGAATTAAAAAAAATAATTTCTATTATTTGTTGAATTATATTTTTACTTGTACATATTGACTATGTTTTGTGAACTTTGTAATTGTGTAAAAATAAATTTTGATTTATGTCTTTAAAACAGTTGAAAATTGAGATATCTTGATATGTCCTGGCAATCCCTGCAAAAAATTCTGCACAAGCCTATGTTGGCTATGCCCTTGGTTGCCTAATAATAATAACGAACAATTTATCTCATTATTCAATTTTTGAACTAGACCCCTAGTTGCACCTATGATGTATTTAATTTTAGTTAATATCAAAATAAAAATGCTCTTAACAATTGCAACTTCTAAGTTATTAAACAATAATCAAATTTTTGTTCATTAAAAAATAATAAAATGTATTTACATGGTTTAAATAAACAGTATACATCTGATTCGGAATTATATAATAATCAGAAATAATTTTCAGTAATTGCCTATGACTAGGAGGTAGGCCCTATTTTCTAGTATAAATTGTTTACAAAGATTAAATTATTTTTGTTATTTACATGGCTCAAAAATAATAAATAAATAAATAACCAATATTATTTCCTAAAATATTAATATTGGCATTACAGACAATAAAATTAAGAATTATACATTTGAAACAACCAAATATTTTATGTAGTTATCATCACTTCATTATTCACAGAATTCATAGATATTGTTGATCCTTTTTCAGTCAATTCTTTTTTGAAAGAAGACAAGTTCTGAGTAAACCTTATAAAAAAATAATTAAACATTGATTTTAGTTAATTCAATGTGTATTACACACTTTACATATTAATTTATAATATTTACCTTTCACGATTCCTGCTTGCTAAATTTCTTTCAACTCCTTCCATTAACATTTCAAACCATTGAGCCATTGCTGGTTGTTTATCAATTGGTTGACTTTGTAAGATTATATCTCTTAACTGATTGAAATACTAAATATATATATATATATATATATATAATGTATGAAATATTATAGTTATAAATAAGTAATCATAAAAAACATTAAAACAATAATACCTCTTCATTAAGAAGTATAAGTCCAAGAAGTGGCCTTGACATTGACCACTGATTTCTACATTCTTCAAATATGATTATGTTTAGAACAGTCTGTAAGATTTGTCTAAATACTCCTAAATGTGTTTCTAGAGTGCGTAAGAAAATTTCATTTACTTGTTGCATACGACGCCTTACTTTTTTACCTACAAAAAGAAAATATTAAAACTGAGAATATATTATTTAGCTATAAATACAAAATTATTTGTAGAAGAAATACAATTAAACAAATGAAAAATTTAACATTATTGTTACTATTGATGAAGAATAAAATCCAAATGAACTGAAGATAGAGGAAGTAGAGCTAAAATCAGGTTAGACACAATAAAAAATGATATGAAATAACTTTAGTGTAAGAAAAATGTGTAATCCTAGTCAAGAACTAGAGTTACTGATCCCAATTAGTTGGAAATAAAGTCAAGAAAGAAGAAAATAACAGAATTACTCCTTCATTATTTAATATTTAATTAGAATATTTACCTTTTAATAATAATTGTTTAAATACATAAGTTACAATATGATCAAGAGTAGTACAACATCCTGTGCATATAGACATATCTAAAATTAATAATTGATATAATTAATAACACAATAAGAAGTCACAAAATAAGACATCTTTATTAGGAAAGAAATATATAATAGACATCAAATTTTTTGACAGATGTATTTTCCAGCAAATTAAGTACTCAAAAAAATATTTGAGAAATGTTTGTTAAATTTGTTCGATTGTACCTTACAAATTTAACTTGTTCCTTATGATTAGAATGTGGATTTTTATATAAAATGTGCATGATAATAGTATTAAGAAATTAAATAAACAATATTTGTTTTTACATATAATTGTATATTTTTATGTTGGAAGAATATGTATAATTTTTTTTTTTTTTGCAGTATATTTCATAAAAATATGTTAGTTTAAATATTTTATTGAATTAAAAATCTATAGATATTTTAACCACTGTGACAAGTTTTATTTAATTTTATAATTTTTTGAATAGATTTCAATGCGATAAAATTTGAAAGTTAAAAAAAAATTATTAAATTTTAAACCATTTCTAAAAAGATAAATAACATAGATTTTATTTAATATATATTACTATAGTTAATATTTTATAATTATAGAAGATTTTCCACTAAAAATTAACGATTAAAAGGCAAGTTCGTCTTAAGACACAGTTTTATCTAAAACATCTAACATATATTAAAAACAAAGAAGTAAATTAAATTTGTATCAATTTCAAACAAAAATATATATTTTATAAGATCTACTGTAATTTATATTGAGTTTGAGTTATAATAAAATATTAACATTTAACTTACCTAATGCATTCAATCCTTCAGATATAGATGAAAGTATATATAGAAATACTTGAGGTTCTAAAGTTGACAAGAATTCCATATGATCTTGAGCAAGACACTCAAGCAGACCATAGTATGTTTGTGATAATTTAGGATAATGCTATAAATAAATATGGTTTTACAATATTAAATTATTGAAAGTTATAGACTAAGATTTAAATACAAATGTACTTAAATTTTTAATAATTCAATAAATGTTAAGATAGTAAGATTGTTTAATACAATTATATATAATGTATAGTTTCTAAATTAAATTTCCTAGATGAATTCATAACAAGCGTTTTTCAAAAAAAAAATCACATAATTTTCTACTCAGACTCACAGACATAATAATTATAAAAGTATTTTTATTCAGCATTAAATTTTAAATATTACAGTTAGTATACTTAAAGAAAAAGATAATGAAGAATTGAAAAGAACCTCTGTATTCTGTCTGTAAACTAAATCCAGCTGATTTTAAAATGCCAAGAATTGTAAAATTATATTTAAGTTCACTGATCAATCACATTGTATGATATGTAAACAGAAACATTATTTTTGTAAAAATTTAATATCCATTCACAGGACATTATTATTTAAATGCAGTATAATAAAGCATAACATTAAATAATTTAACAGTGTGTTTTTTTTTGCAATTATGTTTAAAACAAGGTAGTATAGAAAGATGTATCACTTTTTTCAAAAACGATTCTTAGCAATAGTAAATCATTGCATGTCAATTAAACTGTTATAATTAGTTTGAAAGTGTGTACTTAATTCAATAATTATGTCACATTGGATAGTTTAGTTTTTAAATATTTAAATTTTATATTGTTTTCTAATATTATTACTATATTATGTACATTATTTTATATAGTGTTCACCACAAAAAAACTAAACTTAATGTGTAAATGTTAAAATCATAAAAAAAAAAAATTTAATTCTATAAACAATAAAACAAAACATTATTTAAATATAAATTAATGTAATTATTTTTATAGTAAAATAAAAAATGTAAAATACTTAAAAAATATACCGAATTTATAAAATAAATACCATAAATAATGATATATTTTTAATAAAGCCATAAACAAAATATATTCAAATTATTAATTTAGTTTAAAACCTTCATTTAAGTTCTAATCAGTTACTCCGATAATCTGAAGTAATATATAGTAATATATAATTTACTAAGGACATGTCTAAGGTTTCAATGTAATATACAATTAACTTACCATAAGATCACTAAGAGGGATGGACAGTAATAATTTAACAAATATATTAAGAGCATTTTCTAAAGTGTCATCACCATAAAGTTTAAAAACACCGAAATTCACATAATTTCCACATAATGCTGCTTTTAACATAGAAAAACATATTGATATGCCTTTCAGTTTTTTTTTATACATCATATCTTGTTGAACGTCAAGATTTAAAATGTTATTGCCTGAAATCAATGAGTTTTTTTTTTTAATTAAAGGTTTTTTTTTAATTATAAAAATAATGAATTCTTACCATAAGTACAAACAACTTTACTAGCTTCACGAAACAATAATATACCATTGGGAGATGATACATCAACTTGAAGCCTTTGGGATCGATTTAAAGCTAATTCAGCATAGAGTTTGAGCAATGGAGTTGTAATTTCAGGATCAGCATACCATAGTTCCATTGAACGTAATAAAATTGGTGTATATGATGGATATAACCATTCAAAAAGTAACATAAATGATGTTTTAGTATTGAAAGAAAAAGCTAAACCTCTAAGATCTCTTATGAGGCCAATTAGAGCTTTCTTTGCTTCAATATTTGAGTACACTGATGAATCATTTACACCATTAACTGTAGCTAATAAAGCTCCTATTGACTCAACAGATGCTAAGTTCAAAACAAGTATTAAAAATTAAATATATTATAAAATAAATATTATTTATTTTGAACAAATTTACCCGTAAGTGGAATCATAAAATTATCAAATTTATCTTCATCTTCTAATAAATCAATCATAAGTAGTCTACCCAATGAAGTATAGAATGATGATCGATGTCTCATATCTTTAACACTAAATGTATTACCCAATAGAGGAAAGTGTTCACTCTTTTGAAAAAAAAAAATATGAAATAATTAGAAGTATATTTTAACAAAATATAAAACACAAAATAGACTAAAATTAAGGTATTACTGTATGATTATTTAATAGGAACTGAATTTCATCAAGTTTTACTAATTTTCTGACACTAGAAAACCCAACTGATAGATCATTCAATAATGCTAATGTTTTTTGAATAACTGTATTACTCGAGCACCAAAATTTTAAATTTGTTATACTAGAAATTAAAAAAAATTATACAAAATTCAAATATTATAAATAATAATTAAAAACTTGACTTACATTTTTCTCATAAAAATGCTAAGAACCATGTGTTCTTCACTAATTCCCAGAACATCATGTAGTCTTCGGTAAACCTTTGAATTCTTAGGTACCTAAGATAATTTAATGATAATTCATTATACAGTATTTGATTATATAAATATAATAATATTAATTAAATTAATTTATATATAGTTTTTCTTACTTGATCACCAATATAAATTTTTCGAAATTGTTCAAAAAAAAATAAAAATGAATGTTCTAATTTTTCATAACCTCCTTGTGGAAGTCTTGAATCACTAAAAGTCATTAATTGCAGAACTTTACAAGCCATTTCTCCATCCATTGCATCTCCATCATCATTACTATTAAATGTTACTCGTCCTCCAATTGCAGCTCCAATTAAGTATACCAACCAAGTTAAGCGACCTAATTATAAATGAATGTTTTTCTAAAATGTTGATGTAAATAACAACATAAAATATAATTTCAATAACATTATAACAGGGTAATCTGATATAAGTCATTCGGTTTGAGGATTTGTCAATATAGTATTAATTATATTAAACTAAAATAAAAAAATGTATAAATTAATGTATACCTTCCTGAATCTTTAGATCATAAATTGAAGCAGAAGGTGAAGCAATAATTTCTTGATAGGTAGTCGCTGATTGATCAAATAACTGAGCAATTAATGAACATGTTTTTTGATAATGACATCTACCAATTACAGAAAGTTGCTCAAGCTGTTGTTGAACATTAGTAAAATCATCTAATGGGTCATCTAGACCATCTCTCACTATAAGTGTAACACTTTCTATTCTTGAGGATATGTATGCCTTAGTAACTTCCGGAGTATATGTTTCCAATAAATGAGGTTCTGCAGCTTTTACATAAGGTACTGATGCTACCATTCGTTGCCAAAAGCTTAACAAATAATGAAAACTATTTGGGGCACATTGATAAACCTACACAAATATAATAATAATAATAAAAACAAATGACCTAATTTAAAACAAATGAATTATTAATAAAAGTTTTCTATATAATCAATTTGATTAACAGTTTAGCTAAAACAAATAAAACAATCAAGTTTATCATTTCATTAAGAAAGAAACACAAGCAATTATATACAAAATAATAGTTTATAGTTTGTTAAATATTGGAAAATAGTGATACAAATCAGGTCACTTGCTTTACTATTAAGCCAGTGACTGACCTTCAACATTATTCTTAATTTCTTAGACTATTTCTAACAAAAGATGTATCAATGATCATACATATCCATAAAATATCATTATACTGAACATTTGAAATCAAATACAAATAAATCTTATAAAAAAAAAACAGAAGACATTAGTTCTAGTATATAAGCATTCAAATTCTCAAAAAGCTGACTTAAAAGTGATTGATAAATCAGAATTTTGAAGTGTTTTAGCTCAATGTAAAATCGTAATAATTATTTAAAATGCATAAATTACCTGCAAACTTTCAACAGTAAATTTAGCAATAAGACCAACAGTTTCTTGATAACTGTCAACCATTACAAGTTCTCCAAGCTGATAATTTGATTTTAATCTTGCTAACAAACGACAGAACTCATGGTAATTATTTGAATCAGCTAAACCCTATCCAATAAAAAGTTAATTTACTATAGTAATTACAATTTTTAAAAGTTAAATTCTTCAAATTAGTTAAAATTTAAAAACAATTTTTCAATTTAATAAATCACCAGAGTAAATTGTCACAAGAAATTTTATCATATCATACCATAATTGGATAATACCTGAGGATTAAGTAAAATATCTTTGACACCATTCACTAAATGAGACAAAAATTTAGCTCTTTCAGTTGTACTAAATAAGGAACGTCGGACTGAAGCTAATTGTACTAAACATGATAATGCCTGAAAATGATATTAATATGATCAATTTTATTAGAACTCATGTTGTATAAATATATCCTTACTAGGCTTGATAAACTAGGTGGTAGGGAATGGTAGAGATCGAAAAATAATGTTAGGGTAGATTGTTCAAGGAATGCTGGTCGCCAACCAGTAGGTATTTGAACAGTACAAATGTCATCGGATGATTCATCACAAGTTGTGCCGATGAAATCATATGTCAGACAATTTTGAGCTAACTGTAGACAACGAGACATAAATCCATGCTAAAACAAATACAATGAATACAAATAAAAATATTGAAACAAAAATATTATAATGAAATGTATGTTAGAGGTTAAAACCAGAAATCAGTCAAAACTAGATTCCATAAACCTCTTTTGTCAAAACTGGTTTTAAATAGTTAGAACTAACTGTATCTGAAATATATAGGTGGAAATTAAAATTATTGCGAGAAAATTAATTTTCAGAATTAATTATATAAGACAAGTCTAATTTACATTGAAAATTATATTTTTATAGCTAATTTATGTTATATTTAATTACATTTATTACATAGTATTAACTTAAATAAAAAAAGAAGGGGTAAAGTAAGCGATCTGCATTAGGTTGATGGAGGATTTTATAAGGAAATTAGTAGATGAATGAGGAATATAGAATGGAACATGGAATCGAAATGGGATTTTAAAATTAATGAGGGAGAGAAGAGTAGGAGAGTCAATTTTAGTCAATGAGGAGATTTGACAGTAATAAAATATTACTTACCAGCCCTTAGTCCTCAACTGGTGTAGAACAATTGTGGGAGACAGGACAAGGAATATGGAATCTGAAAGAAACAGCTTGAAGAAACCTTTTCTGAACTCTTTACATAGAAGCGCTAGCTGATACAGTTTTGAGATCTTACAGCACGCTGCTGTACTCAATGGTGGGTCTCAATAAAGTACAGTAGAGAATTTTGAGGGACAGAACTAGGTGGAATAGTTAGGAGCGAAAAATGAAACCAAGAACCTTTAGCGTCTCGCAACAAATAATTTCTATGTGTTTTTTGAGAAGTTAATAATAATTTCAACAATTATTTTAAGTAAAATTTGATTGATTGATTGTAAGAAGTGTATATTTAATATTTATATATTATTTGAACTAGGCAATGCAGAAATAAGTATGGGGACATATTGATATTTGAAATAAAACTATCTTTGCATTTAGAATTATACATGATCTAATTGTTTTTGACACAGACTGCGTTTTGTTGTGCCAAAATGGATGGAAAATTGTCTGAAATTTAATACACAGAGACGAAAGCTATGTGTAAGAAATAAATTGATTTGATAGAAAAATAGTCTAAATTATTTTAGTTAGTTAGATAGCAGGCCATTAAATTTATCAATTAATATTTATAGATCATCAGTGGTCATACATGTTTTAGATAATACAAATTCTAATACATGTTTTAGTTAAACTAATTTTGCCGGAATAAATTAAACCTTGTTTTAACTGGTTAGTTGACTAGTAGTTAACTTTGATAGTTTTGACAGATTTTGGATTTAAACTGTAACATAATAAACATTATTTGATAACCATAAATTCAATAGCAATATTTTACTTGAGTTTCATCAGTAAAATTTAAATTTTTTCGATTATCATTAGCACTTCTTAACATTTGACATGACATTCGAAAAATTTCAAATAATTGCGTATCTCTGAATGATGATGCCACTTTGCGATGCTTTAATACAGCTCGATGAGATTCTACATCAGCCACTGTATTCATTTCAGTTGTTAATTGAGATAATAGTTGTACACCAATCATGCAATGTTCAACATTCATTCCCTAAAATATTTCATTATACTTATTAACAGCTTCATTTTTAAATAATAATAAAACTATTTGTACATAATTGTAACTATAGAATGTTTTCTATTCCTGATACTATTAATACTAGTGATAGATTAATTTCGAAAATACTAAGGTGATATTCAATATTCAGTGACAGATTTTTGATTTTTTTAGAAAAATTCTACTTAAGTCAATTTTGACAGTTGAAGAATATTTATATTTAGTTTTATTAGTCTGTTTTAAAATAAAGTTTCTAAACCTAGCCTCCAATAGGCATACTTTGAACATAGTAATTAGTTTAATGAACTAACTGTTTTCGCAAATTTATTTACCTCAATTATTAGATAACTGAATATACTTTTGAACAACCAAGTTTAAGAATTAAGTGTATTGGTTTTATTATGAGTGTGATTCCCTAACTGTTTTTTAAGTTTTAATAAAATTTTAACAAATTTAATAAAAACATGAAAAATTATAAATTATTTTGCAATGATTTAATATTGCATTTAGGGTTTAAATTAAATTACTTTTATTCCTACATTTCAAACTTCAAAAATGTATTTCTTACATTGTTAATTGTTTATATTTTATTGTTAGTTAATAATAATAGTACTGAAATATTGGTAATGACAAATAAAAAAAATTATTACTGACTTGTAAAAATACTGAAATGTCAGACACAACATTTCTAAATGCAAAAGAATCTTTTTCTCCATCAAACCATCCTTGTTTAGTAATTTTTGCAAATAACAGTACAAGTGCTTGAACCACGAATGATGGTAATTTGGGACGTGTTGCCAAATAATTTAAAATGTAATTTCCTAAAATTAAAATTATTATGAACCAAGAACCAATTTTGATTTATAGTTAAAAACTTACTGATTTGTATTCTTTGATCAAGGTTAAGAGTTAATGGAGTGCGTGATAAAAGTTTAGTAATAGTTGTAGTTGCTAAAAGTTGAGAATAATGTGAGTCAGCTCTTTCTAATAGCATTTGACACTTGGAAAGCGTATCAGGCGTATTACTATTTTGAAATGAAACCAACGCTTTTTCGGCTTCTACACAAAGAGCCGCATCCCTTGATTCGTACATTTGTTTGCATAGCATCTCCAAACTGCGAATACTCTATAAAAAATTAATATTTTCACAAAAAATGTACACAAATTATAATATCCTCGATATGTAAAAAATTTAAAACTAAACCTTAACATCATGATACAGATTAACATTTTTATTTTAAAATAAACTACATGTGTAATTTAATTTTGATAAATAAATACAATTTTATATTGAGAACCATCAGTATTAAAAAATACGGATATACTTCGTACGATGGGCTGTAGGTGAAAAGTTAGGATGATAGAATATAGAGGGGAATTTAATATATATCTGTATGCAAGGGTTAATCTTTGCGAACAAAAAACATTCTGAATAGAGCTCAGTTATATATGTTTTGAAAAGCTGTAATATTTACAATTTGAAAATAATAAACTTCGTACATTTTTCCTACCTTTTTTCCCATTTATTATGAAAGCACCTGAGAAAATCAAAAAATGACAACCCGAAAGTACATAGGAAAATCTCTAAATACAGGATACTCTAAATAACAGGCACTTTTTAACATTGATATTGATCATTTTTATTGTAAATTAAGAATAATTGTAGAATACTTAAATAAAAGTCTACACTATTAAGTTATCTTTTATTACTATGTATGTACATTATTATACTATGCATGATGTATATCTTATATTATTCGTCCAGTTATTGACATATAATTGCATCTGTGAAATGTTGTAACTTTAAGATGTATTTAATTAATGTAAAAATAAAATAAAATTGATTTAATTATTAATTTTAATAAAAATACAATGTCTCTCTCGAAATAACGGATACCTCTGAATAGCAAAAACAAAATTTCAGCGACCAAGAGTATCCGGTATTTAGGGGTTTCACTGTACCTATAATATTTTAACTTAGTACTATTTTAAGATATTTATAAAGAAAAAGTAATAATAAATGATTTGTGACAAGTTTAGTAATGATAATATAATCATTAACAGGAAAATGTTTACTTTTTGGGTGAACTATTATGGCATATTGTGTTGTTTTTTTGTAATCATAAAGAAATTAAGGTCAAATCTATTTTGTTTATTTAACATTTTAAACCCATAAAAAAAAAAAAAAAATGGTAATTTTGAAATTTTTCTTACACATAAAAAGCATTTATAATGTATTATTTTTGAAGTTTATAAAATTAATTACCTACTTTACTTAAATACATAAGGCAGTTTATAAGACAACTACTCTTTAACTAAATGTATGCTTGTCTCTCAAATTGATTATGGATGGAAAATAGTATATCTAAGATGTGGAATAATATAACAAGTCTGCAAATATACAAGATATTTAATCTTTACAGCTTTATTGGAACTGTTCATTATATGAGTAATAGTTCCTCATGGGCTTGTTATTTATACATTTTTTTTTAATTTCCTATTTATATTATCCTAAATTACCTATGTGATTTTCTTGGTTAATTTGAATGTTTGTAATTTTTGTTTAAAAGTGATCACCATTTACTTTTTTCCCGATGTAAAAAATAACACGCCATTTGGACATCATTAAAACCGAAGGTTGTACAAAGTGCATATCCAAATAGGAGGGGTGAAGCCCTTAAGTCTACAAAACTCTTTCCCTGATTGATGATTAATGTTGAAAATCCTCAAAAGAAAATTGTTCATATCCGTGGTACATAATCAATAAATATAACCTCTCTGTGAAGCACTTTATTGGTATTTCAGAATTATATGCACTAATATCTATTAGAACTACTACTAGAACAACTGTGGGGGGTTGGTATACCAACTTGACAGAGCCTCCAGGCTCTATATACAATGTGCAGACATATACAATTTTTCATTTTAAACAAATAATTCAACTTAAATTGAAATTTAACTTGAATTCAAGTTGATAAGTATTCAGATAGTTCAATAAACGGTGACAACTATGCTATAAACAAAACACAGAGAATATTCTCCAAATTCAGTGACTTATAATAAAAAAAAAAACAATTATTTACCAAGAATCAAATTCAACGATTATAAAACAATATATACTTAAATTAAATTTAAAGAAAATATCTTTTCAGACTAATATTTCATACTAGATATTACTGTATAGAAGGTATTAAATAATAAATTAAAAACTAAACACTGTAGGTAAAACATTAAATAATACAAAAACATTAAACAAAGTAATTGACAATAACTACGTGAACATAAACGTATTTATGTAAATGTAATATAAAATTATAAAGTATATAAAATTACAATTAATGTCACCATGCAGGACAAAACAAAATTACCTGTAAATCGTCCGCCATCTCCATCAAAAGCCATTAAACACCAAATATAAATATATAAATATATAACCTTTTGTTATGTAAAAAATGATTGACAATTAAATCAAATTTAATTTAATGTAATCATATTAAAATTTAATTCTAAAAATCCAATGTGAAAAATAATAAACAGAAATTTGCGACCAACTACAAACAAGTAACAACGTTCGTCTATCTATTTACATGTTAACCAACATAACACAAAAGTATAAATCATATAAATTTAATAAATGTGTAATTAAATAATATTTTAATATAATTTACCACATATTAAATTTCGAATATGTATCTATTTAGTACAGTATTTAAATTTATGAAACATTTTATAATAAATTCACAACTATTATAATTAGGTTAGTTGGTTACTCTGGAAAAATTGATAAAATAATAGTTCAACTAACCATTATGATACCAAATTGTGTTCACGGACTAAGATAGTAAGGTATACCTTTAATCTGTACTTAAATTGTGGTTATTTGTGTAGTATATTATGCCTTATGCAATTCATTTTTTATGTAAAATCTTATAACTATAAAATGTTTATTTAATTTCTGATGTATTTTATTGTATCAATATGGTATTTATTAATAAAATAATTGTTCTCAATTGATTTATAAAAATATTGGTCTTGCACTGAAGAACTTAAGAGTTAAGTACGTATCTATTTTTTTTTTAAATTTCAAAAAATGAGTAATTATCAAAAGGACAGTGAGACTCATGCAAATATACTAACTGATGTTTGTCTAAATGTATGTGATTTTATAAAAACGATAACAATAGATAATATGTCAAAGGATGAAAAAATTAGTACTTTTGTGACAAAAATTGATGATCTACAACTCCTTTGTTCAGAACTTAATACAAAATTAAATAAAATTAATGAGCATGTTAAGACATTGGCTGATTCATTGCATTTTACATTTAACCAAGACGAATCTGTTATTGATTTATTGATTCGATGGAATTCATCACTTTTAAAAAAAAATGTTGTTTATTCTAAAAAGAGAAAGCTATATTCTGCGTATTCGCCTCTTAAATTGTCTCTTAAAGATAAAGTTGATGGAACTAAAAATAATTTAAAAAGTACAAAATTTGAAAAGGAAAATAAAGTGTCTTCTCAAAATGAATTAAAACATGTTTGGAAATTAGAAACCAAGCGTGATGGAAATCCTATAGATTTATTAAAAAAGTCTAAACAAACTACTTTAGCGTTCAAACTTCAAGAAGAAAAGGTCAAAATGGATATAACCACCATAAGTAGTTCAACGCCAAAAAAATCTAATTTAAATTTAAGTGGTAATTTCAGTCCTGAAGTATTAAGTATGAAAAGTAATAATGTATCTAAAAATATATATGAAAGCAATTCAAGTCATGAAAATCAAATAACAGATAACTGTAATACTACTTGTAACAGTCATATATCTAAAGAAGTTATTTTAAAATCTCCAAGCATTTTAAATCCAAAACTAATAAAAACTAATGTATGTGAAAACAACTTAATTAATACTTCACAAATAGATGTTGATGATACCTATGTTTCTTTAAATCATTTCAATACATTTTTTAAAGATGGGGAAAATGTATCTACAAAAAATGATATGTTTAAATCTAACGAATCTAATACTACATGTCTTCTGACGGAAAAACATGACCAATCATGTAATGAAATCATTTTTAGTCCAATAAAAGTATCGAAATATGAAATACCATCTAAAATCCAGAAAAAAATACTTAATACAAATTTATTAGATAGTTTTGACATCATCCCTGGTTTAAATGACAAACAAAATGATCTACCTAATTATAAATTTAAAAGTGATCCTGTACGAAAACAAAATGAACGCAAATTATTAAATGGTTGGGATTGTGAAGATTGTTGTAAGTTTTATGAAGCAAATAATGATAATCCAGTAGAAGTTAAAAAAGCTATGAATCACTTTTCAAGACATCGTTCTGTTAAACATCAACATCATGCTTCTACACCACCTGGTTTTTGGGATCCAATCTAATAACTACAACATTTTATTAATGTAATTTAAATATTGTAATCTGTTGAAATGTTTAAATCTCCAAAGTTATATTGGTAAACAAGAAGCAAATATTATTTTTGAATAATATAAACAATATATTTAAAACATTAATACTTAACAAAGATAAATAGTGTATAAAAATAACTAACAAAAAAAATACATAATACTCAATTCTACTATTATTCAATTATTTTAAATAATATTAAAGATACATTTTTTCAAATTACTATATGCAATACAACTGGTACCTATATTTAATTGATGGATCTTAACTGGATTATTACTTAATTGAGTTAATTTTCTAAATATTATTATTGGAGAAAAAAATTGCCTTTACAATATTTTATTTTCTGTTAGAAATGTAAATACTTGAGTAAATAAATCATCCAACATTTGTAATAAGTACATACCTATGTTTTAATTCAAAATGTTTGAGAGATTGATAAATTGTAAACAAAAATGTTAATTTTTAAAACATTTGATTATTTATAAAAGCATACGTTTTGCAATTTGGTGAAAATTTTTTTTCAAGATATGTAGGTACATACTGCATAGGTAGTAGGTAGAATTTTGACGCATACAGTGCGATATATGTTTTCATATAACATTAAATATTTTGCCTAGATAACTGAATTTTTTTTTTTTATTAATTGAAAGAAGAGGAAGAGTTGACTTTGGGAGCAGGAATAACATTGAAAATAATCCAAGAGGCAGGTAATTTTTCGTATAAGAACAAATTATTTAGGATAGATAAGTCAAGGTGTTTGAATGAGGATGTTAAAGTATTAAAGGAGAAATATTAATTAGAGCCTGCTGCAAGAGATTTCCTCAAAGAAATAGTAGAGCTGAGCTTGACTAAAGGGAGTGGAGGGGCAATAACCGGGAAAGCGACGCCCGCTAGGATGGCGGTTCGCTGCAGGGCAGCCCTTCTTACCACCGTGGAAGTCATTATGGCGAGACAGGCTGTTGATTCGGTGACGACGCTGCACAGGCGACTTATATATACTTGATCATTAAATTATAAATAATTTATCAATTATTTTTTAGCGCAATAAATTGATTTATATTATAATTGTAAATATAAATTATACGATGAGATAATGAATATTCCATATCCCTTACAAATATAATAAGTACGATTAATTGCAAAACAAATACGTTTAATAAGTAAGTGTTTAAACCGCATGAACCCACCCCCTTCTCATAACCCATGAGTACGCTACAGCAACATACAATGTAAGTGCACTAAACATTTTTATTTAAAATTGAATCAGGCAAAAGTTCAAATATATTGTCTCCTTTCGTGTTTTTATTAATTATTTTAAATGAAGGTGGTAAAAAATTATCTTTGAAACTACACGTAGTCGGCCAATTTTTCCGTCAACTGTGACCTGGCTAGTTGCGTATTTGAGGAAAGGGGCAACCAATCCCTCTCTCAATTAATTTGTCTATCCAGATTTTTGGTATATACATTTAAAAGTTTTAAAAAATAAATTGTATGGTATTGTGTGAATTTATAAAAAATGCGTGTACCAATTCCTATTAGGTACAATGTATTCAACTTCCAATCCAACGTCGTGATGTAGTTGAGGTTAGTGAAAATGAATCTTAACCACTGATCAGGATCTGCTCTGTGAGGCCGCTCTCCCACTAGCGCGATGCGATTGACGCGACGCAACTAAACAAAAACCATGAAACCGTCGTATACGACAAATCGCTTATTGATTTGCTCATTCACGCGATTAAAGTCGCGTCAATTTAAAATTGTATTTGTATTATTTTTGACAATTTATCACCATCATTATCCGAAAATGGAATCAGATAGTTCAGACGATAATGTGATGGTGATGTGGCCTTATTTAAAAAAAAAAAGTAAAAAAAAAAAAAAAAGGAAAATTTGGATTCATCCTTACTTAACTAATAATATCAATAGAAATCCGTATGTTGCTTCAAGAGAACTATTGTTACACCCAGAACGTTTTCAGTTATCCTACAGAATGAGTAAAGACAGTTTTTCAGAACTTTGCAACTTGCTTAGACCAGCCATCAGCCGAAAAGATACTCATTTTCGAAAATGTGTCTGAGTCTAAGAAAGACTTCTAATAACAGTAAGATATGTATTGTACTCGTATATTCACGTGTTTTTATTCATTATTTACGGATGTTAAAATATATACTTAAAATCGTTGTATTAAAATAATAATGAGTTAAAAATAAGGAAATATGCGCTTTTTTGACTTTTACGAACCATATATAATAATAACAGAGGAACTGTATATTGCAATTAATACATATTGTAGGTATTATATTTTTTGTATAAACCCGTTAGAAAAACATATAAATGGATTATGCCATCTAAAAACAGTAAACAAAATAATTTTTGACATAAAATCGCTCTTTAATAAAATTAAAATTAAGATTTTTAATCTTGATGTTATAAAAAAAAAGTACGAATATGCTTATTTCTACGCGATATTATTTTCTTGTAATAAATTCTTGCATATCGAGTGGTATATGAGTATGAGTGTTTGGATTGTTCTGCTGTACTTGTTCAATGTTGCTCAAATTTAGCACACCATTAGGCATATTCTGTACTGTTTGTGTATCTTCAAAGTTATCTGAATTTTGTATGAATATGGGTGACGTTAAAATCGAACTAGAATCAGAATAGTATGATGATACACTTGGTGGATAGTCAAAATAGTTTTGTGAATGAGTTGAATGGTTAGATATAGGTTGACACACTTTCCTATGCCAAATCAGTTACATCTCGTTTGGAATAGTCTGGTAATTTATAATTGTACAGACAAGGGTATTTCTGTATATCTTCTACTAGTTTTATGTTATAAACAGGATCATATTTTTTAGCCATCTTTATCAAGTTGCAGACGACCGCTGCAATGAAACTGAACATGTTCAGTCGCGTGCGATTCTTATTGCCGCAGTCGCCGCAACAATAGTCGCGTTGCGTGTATGGGAGAAGTATTATTTATAAATATTAGAAAAACGGACGCGATAAAAATCGCCAGTTTCATCGGTTGCGTTGCATCAACCGCATGGCGCTATACAGTGGAAGAGCGGCCTGAGTCAGCGAGAACAAAATACTTAGCAAATGGTGCTGCCAAACACCACATACTACAAGTCTACACAGTGGCGGTTTTGATAAAACATCAAGGGGAGGGGGGTGATAAAAATGTATTATACCCCATATCATAATGACATATATCAAAAAAGGATAAAATTTGTTTATAGTCATATCATAAATTACACATACAATTTTCATTTTAGATTCTGAGGGAAATGAAGAAGCTTATGGTTTCACAACTATATTATCTATGAACAATTTTTCTAACAGAGATCTTGCTCCGATGTATAGTTTTTATAATATCTAGGAAAAACAAGGATGTAAGAAACTTAAAATATAAATTTATGTAAATTTATGAAAATAATATTTTTATTATTTTTCAATTTTGTTATTTGCTGTAATTCAGTTAAAAATATTTATAGACATGCAATTTGGACAGAAAACTTATATTTGTCTTTTCTAGACGTGGTCAAATTTTAAAAAAACTTAAGCTTTTTTGAGTTATTTATAGTTATTTTAATTTTTAGAGTTTTATACGTAATTTTTATTCAGTAAGTACTGTGTAGTAAAATATTAAATAACAATACCTATTGAAATCCTAGGGATGGATCGCTGGTTCAAACCCGAATTTTGAAACAAATTGTGTGCAATTTTTTTCCTTTTATCTAAACAAGGAATAATCAAATTTTAGGTGTACCTAGAGATCAAGTCATCGCTTGGACTATTTTAATCGCAAATACTACTCGATTTGTTGTGCAAACTTTTCTACCAGAAATCTTGCTCCGATGTATTAAATGTAGCTTATATTCTAAAAGGACATATTTTTATCTACATGGTACTTTAGGAAGTTCATTTTTTGATTTTTCAAGCGGTTTTTACAATATTTGGTATCACCGGGATACAATGTCGGAAAAATGGGAAATGTACGAAATATAGGTACTAGTAAAAAAAGTATAGCCGGGCTTATCCATTCTTTATTATCTATGAGTGAAATCAATTATTTATCAGCTGGTTGTTTTAACAAGGTTATACAAAATACCGCGCTTTTTATACAGCGATAAGATATGTACGTTTCGCTGGCAATATTTGATAAGAAAGCCCAGTGATTCCCAAATTTGTATACAATGTTGCCTATACAACTCTTGTAGTTGTATTTCTAATATTTTAATAAGTTGCCTACACAATTCCTGATAATTAATTTTTTTACCTATTCTTAAAATTCTATTGATAACGTTCAATTTTGTACCTATGTTGTCTACCCAGTTCCTGAAATAGTATTGTAATTTCTCAGTTTGTCGATTTATTGCCTATCTAACTTTCAAAAATCTATTGCTATCGTTCCAAAAAAAATTTTTATACCTAACTACCAACATTTAATTAAAAATATTTAATATTGTCAAATATTCTCTTACCCATGAAATAGTTTTGAGTATCTAAAAAAACTTTATTCTGTGAACTCTTGAAGAGTGAATAAATCGTCCACAATTCTAACTCTCATGACTGCATAAATATATAGGTAGGTACTCAGTAGGTAACAATATGTAAAAATTTAAACATTACGAACGTAATAAGGTTTATTCAAATTAGGTAAATTTAAACATCTAACTAAATAAAATACAACATTAATAAGGTATTAAATTATAATTAGATAAGATTGTTAAATTCTTTATTTAAATTAATTTTTGTTTAACTTGTATACAAGATGAGTCTAATCAAATACTGAAAATCTATCTCATTATTAATTATGATGCAAATATAACGGTTCTCTATATTATATATATATTGTTTTAGCCATCACTATAAATCAAATGTTTAATTTTTTTCAGTTTATATACAAACTAATTAGTAAGTATAAGTATATAGGTGACATTAATTTGACAGCTTTGGTTAAAACCATTTCTCTTGAGTACTTACTTTAATAGTAATAATTTTAGATGGTAGTCATTAAATCTATTACTATCCATTAAAATATTTCCGATAATAAACAATTTTTAGTTAATTCAATTATTTAATTGTACCAATAGCTGGTAAACCAACAATAAAGCATAACACTTTTTTTTTTTTTACTTGTATGTAGATTTGAAACACACAATATTACAAGTAAATATTTTAAAAATAATAACATTTTATGTAAAGCATTATTTTTTATTAGTATTTGATGATATTTTAACTACATTACATTAAAAATATAAATAACATAATGTATTTTAAAATCAGTTCTTCTAGAGTGATCAAATTTCAATAATTTTTTTTGTTAGGAAGAGGAAGATTTCTTATAGGGTACATTAGATTTTAATTCTAAAAATTATATTTAGATATGCTACAATAAGAGTTTGAATTTTACAAATTCATACAAGGTTATAAATTGTATAATAATTTGATTTATAGCAATGTAATCAAAAATCGAAGTCTTATGCGCCTTGTAAAAAATCGTCTTTTTTTCTAATAAAAAAAAAAATTATTTAAATTAGATAAATCTGCAAGGCGTGAGGGTTTTTCCTGTGTTTTGAGCAAAATTGAAGGCTTGTCCTTTTTCCGTCTGGCTGTACCATTGACTTGTGCTTGCGCGTGTTTAGATAGTCCGGCAACCCGCGCTGTGTTACTTACTGTTATCGCACATCGCGCTGTTCTAGCAATCTATAAATTCCGGTTATCTATTAATACTAATAAAGTAATAAAATAAATAGAATACAACTGGCGATTGGCGGAACCGACTAGTATTGACTATTGATTGTCAATCGAAAGTTTAAAAAAGAACCGAGTGATTTATCGATTGAATAGTTAGTTTTATTCGTCGATTGTTTTTTCGACTAATTTTGATTATTGATAGTTACAACCTAAAAACCAACCTAGTGTTTTTGACTTGATAGTTTAAATCAACCGAATACTTTTTTATTAAATAGATATTATTAATAGAATGAACTACTCGATAGTCTGATAGTTTTCTAGCGGTAGTATTAGGCTTACATTATGTAAGTCTAATATGACCTCAATTAATATGATTTATATAATATACAGGGAAATAAATCTCCATAATCAATTACCATACAAAATTAAACAAATTAATAATAATGTATACTCTCTGAAAGTAATCTTCACAACCTATCGTTTGGTGAAATAACATTTTTTCTAATCGATATTTTTCTAATCTATTATTAATCGGGGTCTGAAGTCGACCATTTCTTTTGGCTTCCTTCACTGTACGTTACTACCTACTGTTTACTGCTAAAATTTGAGGGATATCCGGCCGGAGAAACCCTTAGCAGAGTACACTGTCTGAAAGTAGACTTTACGACATATCATTTGGTGAAATATATTTTTTTCTAATCGATAAATGTCTATTATAAATCAGGCTGTAAAGATTATTTAGGCTGGTTATTGTGACGTTATGCTACTATTTACATAAAATTTGGTTTGTGCATTTTGTTGATATCACATCGTTGACATAACATTATTGCACATTTATTACCTATTTAACGCCTTCAATTCAATTTTTACGCATTTTGAAAACCATTGATCTCTTATCAAATATTGTTAGCGGAACATCCGTATTACACACAAAGTAATAATAATATCACGCTAGTCAATTTGATAGAAAGTTGTTACAAATTTCAATTTTCGAGAATTACTTTGATGTCGTTTAGCCTTTAGCGACTAATTGTAATTAGTTATAAGTTAATAACTACGTAGTATCTAATTTTTATAGATGTAATACTTTTACACTTGTACCTAGTTTTTAATAGTATTTAAATTTTATGCAATTGTACTTAATAATTTGATTTGTTTTAAAAAGATGACATCATTTGAATGCAAAGGGGTTCATGTTGATTTTCCTTATGAACCGTACGAAGTACAAAAAATATACATGGAGAAGGTATTGGAGTGTTTACAAAATGTATGTATTACCTAAATAACAGGGTCTCATAGTTGTATTCTATTTGTTGTATTTCGGAAAACAATAAATGTACCCATTCATTTTTATTATTATTTATTAAAACCTTTTAGTTAGAATATTAAAATACTAATTAAAATTATGCAATAAGTACAATTTTGTTAAATTATTAAACCTTTTAGCAGTTGCACAAAAATTGTATTCACAAAAAAAAATAAGCCAAAATTGTGATTTTTATCACTTGTTTATTCTTTTATTTTTGTTCATATTTTTATTTATCTGCGTGGCTTGTAGAAATAGTCATATATGTTATCCCTGCTTAGTTTTCATTTTTTAAATCTGTATATACATTACATTTTTAGGGAAGTAATGGTGTTTTGGAGTCTCCTACTGGAACTGGGAAAACTTTATCCCTGATATGCTCATCATTAGCTTGGCTAATGGCAAAGAAAGCTGCAATACAAGCTAATCGAATATGTCTAACTGAGAATAACATATTATCTATAGCAGTTAACACGGCAGCAGGCATTGATAAAAATCCAAACAGTGCTTGGAGTACTTTATTACATTTCATTATTTTGACTTTATTTTTATTTTTATATCTATAAATTATACATTATTTGTCATTCATTACTAGATAGTGTGATGCGACCACCCCGGATTATTTATGGTTCTCGAACACATACTCAATTAAACCAAGTGATGAAAGAACTTCGACGAACCAATTATAAACACATGAAAGTTGGTATGATAGGTTCTCGAGACCAATTGTGTATACATCCTGAAGTAATAAAAGAATCAAATTCATCTGTTAAAATTGCCCTATGTCGTGCCAAGGTTAGTGCTCGTACATGTCAATTTTATAATAATGTTGAGCTTAAATCTAAAGAAGCATTCATAGAAAATGGAATTGTTGACATTGAAGATTTGGTAAACAAGGGAAAAAAATTTAATTGTTGCCCATATTATGGTTCTAGAGAACTTCAAAAAGATGTAGATGTATTATTTACACCATACAATTATATTATTGATCCTAGGACCAGAAAAGCCCAAGATATCCAATTTAGTGTGCGTACTTCTTTGTTCAAATTATACACTTTTAATACTATTTAATTGTATTTTTCATTGTAGGAAGATGTTATAATTCTTGACGAAGGACATAATGTTGAAAAAATGTGTGAAGAATCGTGTTCTGTTGAAATAAGTAGCACTGATATTGCACTTTGCATTGATGCTGTAACTGATGTAAGATAAATTTCCAATTATAACTTTTCTTAGGTTTGGCTACGGCTATTGGATAGTTGCACAATCATGTATTGTATAGTATGGTGACCAAATATTCGTTAGTACCTAGCGTTAGTACCTAGCGTTAGTGAACATTAAATTATTAGTGTAGTAAAACCACATATATAGATACCTATTCCTATATCTTGAGATCCTTAATAATAGTAATAGTAAGAATTAATAAGGCTCTCTTAGCTTATATTTATAACATATCTCTAACTGTGGTTTTTATATTTAGTTTTATTTAATTTGTAATCATTAAGACTATTGCACTGTATACAAAGTGTACAAAATTCTATGTTTCAGCAATTTTCTCCTATAAATATTCTGAATAGAGAATAATTTATAATGAAACATTTTTATTAAATAGTGTAATTCTTCTTCTTCTTCATTGATATCACAACTATTCAAGAGTTTTTGCTGTCACCAACACCTCCTTCTACTGTTTTTAATTCCCTACTTTTTCTTCCCAAAGGGGCATCCCTAGTTTCTCTAAATCCTGTTTTATTCCATCTATCCATCGCTTCTTTGGACGTTCTCTTGGTCTCTTCTCTGTGGGTTTCCATTTAACCACTGCTTTAAGGTACTCTGAGTTAGACCTTATCATGTTCTTTGTGCTTTTACAAAGTTGGTTATCCTTGGTACTCCTGTCAATTCTCGGGTCTCTTTGTTCATTCTTCTGCGCCAGCATCCCAGATCGTTGTCGTATTCTGGGCTGCAGATGATTCTCAGTAATTTGTTTTCGAACGATATAAGTTTTTGTTCCATTCTTCTTGTTAAAGGCCATACCTCACATCCATATGTTAGCGTTGGTCTAACTATCACCGTGCAGAGATGTACTTTGGTTCTTCTAGAAAACAGTTTAGATTTTAGGTATTTGGTTAATAAAAAAGATGCCTTTTCTGCTTTGATGATTTGGCTATTTAATTTGATGGACCAGTCATTATTACCACTGATAGACGTCCTCAGATATGTAAATTGACATACTTTTTCAAATGTATGCCCTTGAATCACTACATTGTCTACCTGGTTGTTTTTGAGTAATAACTCCATCACTAGTTTTATTATCATTTACATTCAGCCCTTTGGTTTTTGCTTTGTTAATGAGTACTGCGGTGTTCTGCGCCACACTCTCTCCATCGTTACAAACTATATTCAAATCATCCGCAAATCCTAAAATACCATTCTTTTTTGCCTATGTTGACACCGTATTTATCCCTTTGTATACTCTGTACGACTTTCTCCAGTACAATATTGAACAGTAGTGGTGAGAGAGCGTCACCTTGCTTTAAGCCTGTTACCACTTGGAATTTTTCGGATAGTAGTGTAATATAAAATTATGTGTAATATGAAATATTAATAGTATAATATAAAATTATATATGGATTTTAAATTTTTAGATGCCTTTTTTTGGGGGGGGGGGTTAGATTTTGTAGTCAAATTTTGTAGTCAAATTTTGATATTCAAATGGCAACTTTTATTCAAAATTCCATAAATAAATTGAGGATTTGTACAAATATTTGTTGGTGTTAAAAATTTTGATTTCTGTTAACTCTGTTGACGAGATATTGCACTTTTTAGTTTTGGCAGGGGGAAAGTAGTGGAACATTATGTACTTGAATGATGGTGCGATATTTTAATTGCAATTCAACTTTAAAATACGCTGCACATACACAATGGGTTTTCTTATTTTCTTAAAACAATATTCTACAACTTCTTCCCTCAATGTTTTTATTGATATTATTGTGAGAACCTCAAATATTATTTTGGACGAATTGTAGTATGGTAGGTAAAATTTAAAAAGCATTATGTATTTTTTAGTTTCATAAAATAATATATAAAACTTAAAAGTAAGCACAATCAGTATTAAATACACTAGATAATTTAGATTATCTCTTTCCTTTGTATATTCCTATAGCTGTATACTTTTTTGAAAATTTAATGTACACTAAGTACCTCTAGGTTTTTAACATGACTGTAGATAAGAACATTTTTGTCCGTGTTTAGATTCTGTGACGCACAATAAAAAGTTGCTATAAATAAATTTGTATTTAAATTGGTTTAAAAATATATAATTATTTTTTATTCAGATTATGAAACAATTATACGATGAGAAAACTACACAATTTTCTGAAGAACCAATTCAGTTACGACCAAGAGAGTTCTCTGATGATGATATATGTGTGTTAAAAGCATTGTTTTTAGAAATAGAAAAAGTAATTGATGGCATTGAGCTTTCAAATAGTACAAATGATAAAAAAATGGAAGGATCTTATGTATTTAGATTACTTCAAGGTGCAGATGTTCGTAATTATATTGAGATGAAAAAATAATTATTCTCTACTAATCTAATTATTTATATTTTAGATAAATCCTTCAAACATGTCAAAGTTTATTAGTTTTTTAAATGCGGTTATATTATATATGTCTTCATCAAACATTTCTCCTCACCAACCTAAAGAAGCATGTTTGAACAAATTTCAACAATTTTTAGAATGTGTTTTGCAAAGTTTAGGATCTACTGGAGACCCTAAAAATACAGACAAATATTTTAGAGTAAGTTTAAAATTACTGAATATATTAAAATAATAATAATATTTAATGAGGAGGCTGATACAGTGACTATTAAACATTTTTTTTCTTTTTCTTTTTCTTAAACATTTTTAATTATCAATTATCATTGATGATATTATTAATATTCATGTCTTAAATTTTGGAGAAACTATAATAAATGAAGATTTATTGTGAAATAAATTACTGCCTTGGATTTTGGAATTATTGATTGTTAGATATGCATTTTTTTTTAGTGATAAATAGTAGTGATTGTTTATAATTGTATGTGTTATTAATTGAGCATATAATATTTTATATTTTAATAATTTTTAAGATCATTTTATGATAAATCTGTTTTTATCATATTATTTTAATAATTAATATTACTACAATGTTTTTATTTTGAGATTATAGGAAATAGATTGATCAACTCTAATAGTAATTTATTTAATAATATTGTATATATGAGATTATTAAATCCAATGAAGCCCAATGTTCTTAAATAACAAAATATAAAATGTCTGTTAATATTTAATTATAGATTTAGTAATCAAATATCAGCTTGTATATGTACACAAGTTTTCAAGTCCCACCATGTTTTGCAGATTTTCTATTGGTATTAATAGTCAATTTTTTTTAAATATTTTTTTCCGATTTGGTTTTCTTTGGGGGGTGGGGGCATGTATTTTAAGAAAAATACAATTTTTATTTTCAGCGTTTTAGTAACAACTGTTATATTTTTAGAAAAAACAATACTACCGCATAACATGATTACTTGATTAATTTGTTATAAATTGAAATGGTACCTAGTTACTAAAAATTATTGATCAGATATAAATGTATTATACATTAAAATTTTTACAAAATGGCTGTTTCAATAATGTTGTAAAGTAAATAAATAATTTTTTTTTTTACTGATTAGAGGATGAAAATTCAAATTTAATTTACTTTAAATAAATGCCATCTCTCAAAGAAAACAGTTTAATCGAAAAAAAAATGTAATATATAATTACAACTCTTGAAAAATCTGTTGAACACAGTTGAACACTATATTTTATTCCTATTTACTTTTTTTCAATTTATATTATAATGATTTCTACGTGTATATATAAAATGTTTAGAGCGTTGCATTTTTCCAGATATTTTTATTATAATTTTTTACATAGGCATATACAAATTCAAGATAGACTAATTCTTATTATTTTTTTTTATTTCTAAAGAACATTTACAATCTGTTAGAATTTATGTACAAATAATAACTATGAAGAAGGAGGCCAGCCAGTTTAGCTAATGTTGGAATTAAACTTATTGGTCTGTAGGAGGTGGCTAGAGTTGTTGGTTTATTTGGTTTTGGTATAAGTATAGTTGACAATTTCTATATTTCTATATTATGAGAAATATAAAAATCTTAACATAGCGTTGAAGATATAAGTAATTAGTAAAATGGGTTTGTGAGGAAGGGTTTTGAGAATTTTGCTGGTGACATAACCTGGAAATTTTCCATCTTTTAATTTTATAATTAAAAATAACATTTCATTTGGTGAAATATGTTTAGCAGGTAATGAAATAGGTAGGTATTGAAAGATTATTTGACAGTTTCTAAGTGTTTCCTGAATAGATTAGCTTTCTCAATACCAGATATATCCAAGGAGCTATCTGGATCAGTTAAGAGAGGGAGATGTTCTTTTATTCTAATTAGCTTTTTAGTTATTTTCCAAAGAGAACCATTTGTTTGGTTTAATGATTTTCTAAAAATTCGGATTTGTGTTTTTATATTAATCTTTTTAAAGTATTTGCTAGATGGTTAAACAGTTTTTTATCAGATGGATAACAATATTTTTGTCACCTAGAGTGCATGTGCCATTTTTTAGAAATTAGATTTATAATTGCAAGTAGAGATGATTGTCTTGAGTTGTTTTTAGAAGGTCTAAGTGTATTCAGTTTACTTTTCTGCATCCATATGTACGGATGCAGAATGTACTGAAAACGTCATATTTAGTTGATGGTGTAAGAAGAAAAAATTAAAATAAATGCATAACAAAATACACACACTATGCATCAAACATTATGCCATGCTTATTTTTATACTTTATTTCTTATAAAATACCTATACAAGAAATATTTCAATTGTATTTTTTGTAATAAATATTTTATGTATTAACTGATAATTATATTGCACTGTTTTTTTAGACATACATACAGTTAGAACAGATCAAATATAAACCCAAAAATGATACAAATAAACTAAAAGAACTCAAAAAAGGAAAAACTATACATTTTTGGTGCTTTAGTCCTGGATTTGGGTATGAATTCACTCAGTTACTTAACATTGTTGGATACTGTTCTTTCTCTCTCATTTATTAAAAAGTACATTGACTGGTGCTTAATACAGATAAAATAGTATCAATTAATATGTTTTCCAATAGAATATAAATGGAGTTATATAAATGCTTGTCATATATAGATATGAATTTCACAATCCACATTCCTTCCTTTATACTTCAGTCTATAGATTCTTCTTAATTATATTGTAGATGTTGTTTGATTCCATTCTTTACATAACAAAATAATACAAATTATTAACAATATATTTATATTATATATAAAATATTATTGTATATAATACAAATACAAATTGTACAATTGCTTGCCATATAGTTTATCCAAAACTGATGTATTGATGTTTAATATTAGTTTATTAAATTGTATAGAATAACTATTAGGTATCTAGTAAAATGTTCCAAATAAAGTACCACCCAGTGGAGAAACTGCATCATTTAAGGTACAGAGCGAAAGTTTTGGAGCACTTTTATTAACTAAAAATAGAATCTGACAAAAAATAACATTTCTTTTTCAAACTTATATGTTCTTAACTAGTTAGAATTAAAAAAAAATTAATGTACACTAAAATTACAGGTTTTTTTTCCAATTGTTCATAATTAAGAGAACATTATACTGGCCTTTGCTGTCTTTGTTTATTTTATAGCAAAATTGTATTTTTGTAATACCATTTATACCTTTTTGTTAGGTTTTTACCAACTATTGTAAATGTCAGTGTAATGTCCTCTGATAATTAATTTTCAACAGGATGAGAGATTTATTGGATAAAAATGTTCATTCTATAATAATTACAAGTGGAACATTGTCACCCTTAAGAGCAACCATTTCTGAAATTGGAATACCAGTTAATGTCCAATTACAAAATTCCCATGTGATTAAAAGTAACCAAGTGAGTTGTGTTATAATATTTTTAATTTGATGTCCTTAATTTTATTTTTATTTTAGGTTTGTGCATCAGTTATAAAAACAGGGCCAAATAACAAACCACTTATATGTAACTACAATAACCGGTAATTTATAATAATTTATAGTAAGTTAGTATTAGTAGCAGTGGCTTAGTTGTGATTATGTTCTATGGGAGGATGAATAATTTTTTAGGTAAACTTTGTGCTGGCCTCCCCCCATCTATGTTTTATATTTATTCTGAGCGTAGTGAAGGACAAACAGGAAACTTGGAAAATCTTTTTTTTTTATACTTGTTGGTATTTTAAATGAAAATTTTTTTGAAATTCCCAATACTTCTCCAAAAAAATGCACTTTGGTTTTATGTAAAAATATTTTTTGGTTTATAAAAATAATGCTCAAAATTATTCATATTATACCATAAAAGATGTAGATTTTTCACCTATTGGTGCTTTATGGGATACAAATTTCTAGATTTGTTATAGTTTTTCTGATAAATGTTAATAAATTGGCTTTATTTTTGTTGATTCTTGAGATACCTTGACTACAGTGTGTTCGACGGATTTTTCTTGCACTGTTCATATTAAATTTCTATTAAATATTAATTGTTTTCACGCCTATTTTTTAAAAATTAAAACTGCTATAGTTAAAAAAACTATTAATCAAATATCAATGTATAATACATTAAAATGTTTTGAATAATATTTTTTACAAAATTACTATTTTTAAAAATTTCTTAAGTGAATAAATAGATTTTTTTTTTGTGTTTAAGGGATGAAAATAAAAATTTAATTTTTCTCCAAATCGATACTGTATAAGAATACAAAACACTACTAATACTACTTCGCCCAAAATCAATTGCAAATATATTAAGGTGTATAAAATTCAAAGAAATATTCTAGGGATCTATCTCCATCATCTTCCTCCATAACTACGCCTCTGATTATTAGTGTTGGGTCACTAACAGTAATTTTAGTTTTCAAAACCTTGAATAGTTTATCTATATTGAATTATGCACTTAATAAAATTAAAAATAAGTATCAAACTTGATTTTCTTTGAAATATTCAAGTTTGAGTAATAATTTCCCACCAAACTTCTGTTTAAATACAGAGGTGGTCAAAAGTCGTGCAACGCCTACCGTCTGGTATGGCATCTGTTCTTACACCATATTCGGTCCTTACTTTCACGACGGCACGGTAAATACCTTGAAATGCTTGAAGAAGTCAAGATCGAACTCGACAACAACGATATCTTCCGTGGTAAGCAAATTATCTGGCAAACTTTTTGCGTCACTTTTGGCCATCTCTGTATTTCAAAGTTTTTCATAGTTTTAGAAGTTCTAGAACCTATATCGTAACTTATTTAATTCTAGAACTATAATTTATATAAATACGATTTTTTTTTAGAAACAATTCTGATTTTCTTATAAGTTTGGGACAAACTCTTGTGAATTTTTCAAGAATTATACCAGGGGGCACTTTAGTGTTTTTCCCTTCATATCCATTTTTAGAGCATTGCATTAATTATTGGCAAGGATGCAATATTTGGACATCAATCGCTAAGAATAAAGTAATACAAATAAGAAACTAACATAAATTCATATCTTAATAACTATTGCAATTATTATGTTTTTTTTTTAGTCTTTATTTGTTGAACCAAAAAATAAGGATGTGTTAATTAGTGTGATTGAAGAATATTATAAAGCAATTCGGGAAAACAATGGTGCAATATTATTAGCGGTTTATAGAGGAAAAGTTTCTGAAGGTCTTGACTTCTCAGATTGGAAAGCTAGAGCTGTGCTTATTATAGGTTTACCATATCCTCCTTACCAAGATCCAAGGGTTGTAATGAAAAGAGAATATTTAGATGAAATGCGAAAACAAAATATACAAGTAAGAAGGATTCACTAATAAGAATTAGTCCATTGTTAATTTATTGCATTTATAATCATTGAGTTTATTTTTGTGGTTGTAGTGTTTATCTGGTCAAGAATGGTATAAATTGGAAGCTATTAAGGCAGTGAATCAAGCAATGGGACGTGTTATTAGACATATTGGTGATTGGGGTTCAATTGTATTTTGTGATGAACGTTATGCATGTGATAACATAAAATCACAGCTTTCTGCTTGGTTACAACCTAATATAAAAGTTTATAATCAGTTTTCAATGGCTTATAGAGACAATGTGAAATTTTTCAAAAACACTGGACCAACAGTAAGTAATTATAAAAAATTGTTAAATGTGTTGTACTAAAAACAGAAATAAAGATTTATCTTGATTTTTAGATTCCTTCTGCTGTTTTGTTTTCAAATGCATTATTTGATGAACCTGCTCAAGCAACTGTGTTGAGGTCAATAGAATCTGTTAAACGAAAAGTAGTAGAAGATGATACTATAAAACTGTATGAAAGTTTTTTAAGTAAAAATTTTAAAGAAACAGAAAATAAAGAACAGTTGAATAGTAGTAAAAGCATTTTAGGATCTGTTGATGATTATGTCAAACATAAAACAATCAATACTATAATAGAAAGTCAAACTTCAAAAATTGATATAAAATCTGATAGAAATCCATCTGTAAAAAAAAAACGAAAACTTAAAATAATTCCAAATAAAATGTCTTCAGAAGATTCGCAAAAGAAAACAATCAACTTAATGACAAAAGTATGAGTATATATTTGTTTTTGTTTTTTTAAATACGTTAATTCCAGCATGGGTAGAATTTGCCTCCCCCCTTCGTGTAAAATTTTTTTTTTGGCCCAAAAGGTTCCAAGTATCAATTATTATTAAAATAGCCGGAATTTTAAATGATGAAAAATGTAATAATGTAAGAGATCTTACCTATGCGAAGGCATAAGAACAAATGACTTGTAATAGTTGGGTATAATTGATAGAGCTAAGACAATAATGGCAAGTTCTTGACTCCTGCTGCAGAGAACGAATAAGTTTTGTTGACGATACGTCAACTTAGCACTTAGTGTTAATTATAAAATATACAATGCACCTTTATACTCTATTCAAAATAAGATTGAACCATTAAGATGAGAAAATAGCTTGTCTATTTCTACCATTAGATTTCTTCCAGTAACCAAGCTTGCTCTCCTAAATGTTGGCAATGGCAGCAATAACAATGAAAGCCAATAATTGACCATTCATAGGATGCATTGTGCCAATTTGAGGAGTGAAACTCACTCTTTGGCTCATTGTGCATGTACGAAAACGGGCAATCTTATTTTAAATAGAGTATTGTTACTGATTATTTTTATTGAATATACACAACAATAATAAATTTCAATGATTTGAGAAAATTTTAATTTGTTTATTTTCTATTTAATGTTTCATTTTATTTGTTTATGTTAAAGGCCAGAACTGTATTAAAAGATAATCATATATACACTAATTTTGTTAGTATTGTTAAAAAATATATGATCGAAAAAAATTGTACTGAATTTACTAAAAATATAGACGAGTTATTTCCCCATAAGACTCCAGAGATTATAGGCATTTTATTAGGTAGGCAACATTAAATTTTTAAAATATTAAACTTTTTAAAAACTACTTAGGAGTATTTATTTTTATATTGTTTAATTTTGCTTACTTAAAACATTACAGATCTTCGAGAATTTTTTGGAAAAGAAGTACACAGTCAATTTTCCAATTATTGTATCCAGTTAACAAAACACATATAGGCATACCTATAGAATGTAAATTTTTGTAATTTGTACTCCCTAGGTACTTAAACTTTATTTTGTATAATATATTTTATATTTTCAATAAAAATATATATTTTGTAAATGTGTAATATATAGATGCAGATATTTTTATAAACAGATTGAGCTATAATACTAAGATTTTATCAAACGTAATGTATGTTCTATTTATTTGAAATTGTATTCCACGGAGAAGATTTAAACTAAAACTATTAAATTAAAATTATGACAAACTTTTATAAAATAAAATTGGTTATGAAAAAAAAGAAAAATGTATTTTTACATTATTTTAATCTGGAGTGGCTACAAGACTATACATATGATCCAGGATCTATAAAGAAGAGATTAGTGAGGTATCATGATGTTTTCTGATTAACTGTTGGGAGTGTGAAGTATACCTTAGACCTTGTAGATTGGTATTCATAAAATACTAATGTCAAAATATAATATAGAAATAATAAATTTCTGACATTTATGTTTCAATTAATAAAAACCTTTTATACTTAATTTTACTCTTACTTATTTTTTTAGAGTAGGTACTTATTGTTATTAATGAATTACTTTTTTTCTTAACACTTAATAATTCAATATCAAAATATACCTATTAGAAATATTAAAATAAACGATAAAATTTATTAAGAAGATTAAACAATCATTGATTTGGGTTTATAATAAAACAAATTGCTCTATTTTCAAAAGTAAACAATCTTCTACACAACAGTTTATTTCAATGATAGTTTAAAAAAAAAAACTAATTAACAACGCTAATAAAAACTTTTAATTCAGTACTTCTATAATTATTATTCTTAGAAATATTTATTTTAAATGTTAGAAAACATTCAGGTTTTTAATAATTTTTGTTTCCCAGTACCTATATATCCAATATATATCCATTATAACAAAACTCATCATACCATTTTCCAACAAGCTAGTTTTTAGGCAAGTTGCAATAGTTGTTAAATATTATGTTGTGTAGGTAGGTTGGGTTAGGTGTACTTGTCTGTTGTAAAAAAAACTTTAAATATGTAAATTTGTCATAAAACCACGATTTAAGATAGACTATCTTAAATTATGCGTAAAACTAATGACCATTGTTGTTGAAGATTATTTATATTATAAATATAAAATACATTAATTTAGGTGAAAACAATGATCATGTAATATAACATAATACAAGATAAAAATAAGTTATACAAATGTATTAGTTTATTTTCTTAAATAAATACAATTGTGAAAAATATGATTTATTATTATATATAATATGATATATTATTATTATACAATATATTAATATTAACAAAAATATGATTAATAAAAGAAATTATTATCTATACTCCAGATAATAACGCGATAATAAATGATAACAAATCTTATCAAAGCGCTAGCGCTAGAAATACAATTCTTGAATCGAAAATGTTCAAATAAAAACTAGCGCAGAGGCATATTAATTATTTTAAAAAAAATATATGAAAATTATTGAATAGAACAAAAGTTATTTTAAGCCACAGATCATCGTGAAACATTCTGTATAAAATAAATATCTGTGGCAATTAAGATATATCTTAATTGGTGATGGTTAGTGATCGATTACATTTTATTGCTAGTTTTTATATAGTATACATTTATGCTATTCATTTGATGGTACTTTAAAAAACAGTCGCTCAAACTTATTTTGGAAGTTGTATTCAAAAGATTTTAAAACGCTCAATTTGTTGTAACTACTTAAGAAGATAATCTATTTTTCAATTACACTGATTATTTAGGTTAAATAACTTAAATTTTAAAAATTTTACTCAACAATTGCTATAAAATAATAGATAAAACAAATAATTCACCATTTCAGACTTGATAATAGAAGCAGCTAAATTATTTATGTCAAGTTGAAGTCAAATTGAATACTATTTTTAACAATGTGGTACGAATATTAATAATTTAAATAGCATCCTGTCAAAGTAATGCATTTTATATTTTTCCTATAAACTAAAAAAATGTTTATTATCCAATACAAGATAAAATTCCATGTGGTCTTACAGTAGTAGTAATGTTACATAATTAGTTATCTTATCATTTTTCTTTCGTATTATATCTGTTATGGAGAAATATGCTTCACAAATTTTATGGCCAATCTTAAGCACTTCAATCATTTCACCCCATCTTTCAATTCTCTTTTTCGTGACCTCAAAACTAACAACGACAAGAGTAGATTTTTCACAAACAAAACACAAATTTAGGCATTTTTAAATAAGAATAATTCACTTTAAAAACTAAAATATGTTAATTTTTTTTTTTTTTTTATTTTGTATATATATGACGTATTGGAGGGAATATTCGTGATTAAGAAGGTTCAAATGTTATATGTTTATCATATATACGTGTATAATTTTAATACTTTTAAAACACATTATTTATTACTTATTATAGGTATAACTGTATAAGGATTTACTTTCTCAGAGTACACACAATTTTACTTGAAAAGTATAGAGCGCAGCACTGAGTCTGATCCTAATTTTTCCGTAATATAATCGTTCGTTTTAAATACAATTTGCTAGCCTAATATTCTAATATTTTCAGAGATTTTTCTGGTAAAGTTTCAATGGCATCTGGGGCTATTATCAACCTGTCATCATTAACTTCAGTCAAGTATATAAATTACTTTCTGTATAATTCATTATAAAGCTCTCAAAATATGGTAATTGTTCTGTCAATATTACAGACCCTGGATTATACGTTTATCAGTCATTAAAAATATGTATACAAGTATAATAGTAAAAAGACAGATATAATTCTCACGACAGGTGGGCTATTGTAGATGAGAAGTTGAGAAGGAAGGATATTGAGAAGAATTAAATGTATATCTGCGCGCAATGATTAAAAATTGCTTAAAAAAAACGATTTTGAGTGGAAATCAGATACACTTGTTTTAAAAGGCCGTAATATTTATGATTTTCGTAAAAATTGATTTTAAAATTCGTATATAAAATTTTTTTTCCATTTTTTTTTTTACCACAAGTGCGACTTACAACTTTCTGTTAAATTTTTAAGCATTTCTATATGGTTAAACAAATTTATCCACAGAATATCTACCGAATAAAAATTACTTAAAAAAACTAGTAAAATTTAAATGTCTATAAATATCTCAAAAATAGTTAACATTATTTAAAATTTGATCACGTTACAAATGGAAATATAAGGATTCTGTCCAATTGCAAGTCTCTATAATTCATTTTAACTGGATTACAACAAAAGAAACAAAATTAAAAATAATACATTTCGTAATTTTCCCGTTTTTCCCATTTATTTTGAAAACCTCTGGGGAAATCATAAAGTATCACCTCATTCAAATTTCCTTTCAAAAAAAGGGGTGCTAGACTTGAAAATCTCATCAAAATTTCTGATAGAAAAGTTGTTCACAGAAAAAAAAAAAATTGTAAAATCAATAAATTACTAACCGGGCATTGTTCATAGAGTATTACCATATGGCCGATAAAACGGTATAAAACGGTAATCGTTTTATCATATATTATTGTATCATTATAACTATTATCACTTTATATTATAAATGGTTAGCACACAAACACGAATTAAGATATACATATCTATATGTGTCAGTTATATCTTAATTAGTGCACACAAAATAAAATCCTACCCGATGTGGTTTTAACATATACCGAAGGTCTATAAATTTATGGGTTGTACGTAATAAATCAGAATACATTTTTAATTTATTTCTTTCATTAATTTATGTGGTATAGTAGTAATTAGAATTTAAATATTATAAATTTAATTTATGCATAGAAATCACGTTTTAAGGCTGTTATTATTAATTATCCGTATCATCGTTCGTCTTTATCATTTTCGAATATACCATAGATAATTATTATCTATGATTCATTCCAGACAGGACGAGTTGTGAATTCCGCTTTTTTGTTTCAATCTAGATACTGAATACTGCCTCAATATTATTGATGATTTAATAAGATATCTTAAATCGTGTTATGTAGGTTAAAGATTTTTATTTTTTTTATCGTGGTAGTGAACATAGATAGTATATTATGAACCATGAAGTCAGTGATTATCTACAGAACCACGATTGTGGTTCATTGACCACTGAAATACCATATTTTGAACAAGATGTTATATACGTTTTTTAGGTACCGTTTCCTTTTCCACTTAAAAAGTTGTTACGTTGTTCATTATGTTGACAATAAAAAAAAAAAATAATGAAAAATGAAAAAAGTACCGAGTCTTGTTGAAAACTTAAATATATTATAAGTTTTATACTATCTGAAGTCATTTACAAATTAATTTTTATCGTTTTCCTAAACGTATGTGACATTGTGAATCAGTTAAAAATGCCAAATAGGATATTAATGAAAAAAGACCAGGTAAATGATTGCTCAACTTGTATTTGTTTTGTCCTATGTGTTTCGTTGTTCTAATAATTTCTACTGCGTGATTTTTTGGTTTTAACTTTGATAAATTAAATTGCTTCATAATTTGTTTTGAACTATTTCATTTTGTATTATTAGTATTACTTACACATTGGCTATTACCAATAATGAAGAACACTGTAATTATTAACTATAAAACATAACAATATACTACAATTCACCGAATAGGCACTTATTTAATTCAATAATTGATCATTTGATTAATATATTTTACTAGAAATGATATGATAAATTGAATTATAAGTTTTAGTTTAATATATTAATTTTACATACTTACGCATAGTACCAAATATTTACTATACAATTTATATAACAAATCATATCAAAAATGTTTCATTTAGAAATTCAAAGAAAATTAATAGAAATTGTCATAATCAATTTTACTTCATTCATTTGATTACTTATCTTAAAAAGCTAACACAATTTACTATTATTTTGTTTTAGTTAAATTACTTCTTATTTTACTTGCTAACTTGATAATAACGTTAGCAAATAAATTATTATTTTCTTCAAATGTCTAACATGTATTAAACTAAAATCACATTTATTTGTTATACTATCTACTGATGTACCATGTATTTTGTATATTTTGTATATTTTTTTGTTAATAAAAAAAAGTTGTAGGTATCTTATTAACTTTTTTTTTTTTCCTAGAAAATTGAAATATTTAGTAGTTTATATATATTATATATATTAATGAATAAAGCTAAAAAAGGAAATATTTATAATTGTTGCTTTAGTTGTCTATATTTAGTTATTTAATTTTTTGAGAAAAGTATCTAGGTATTTATAAGTTTTTTGGAAATTTATAGCATACTTTTCCTTTTAAAATTAGGTTTAATATATTAATTTATGTTATAAAGTATAATGACTTCTATTATTATTTTCAGGATGTTTCCAAGTCTAAAAATACTGAAGTAAAAAATGAATCTGGAGATGATGTACCATTTGAATGTGTTAATGATGTAAGTTTTTACAGTTTTTATTGACAGTATCTTTTTTAGAAATTCTTAAGGTATAAATCTAGTTTACAACCCAAGCTCATTTTCAATTTTTTTTTCAAAATGTGTGTTTTTGTTTGTATATTAATAATATAAAAAAAAAAAGTTAACGAACTTCGTTTGGAAGTTATGGGGGAAAATTTCATGATGTTTGGGTTTTCTGTTTCACATATTTCTTAAACATTTTCAAATTTTTTAGCTTGGGCTGTAAACTAGATTTGTTCCATTCTTAATTAGGGTTAAAATAAATAACTAGATATTCATTACATGGGTTAAGTAATATTTAAAAATATTTTTTCTGTTGTATAATGTGAATTGTAAAAGTAATTATTTTATGAATTAGGTACTTACTATTAAATTAGTAATATTGTATCATGTAAAAATATTGTAAAATATATTGATTGTTTGAAACTTACTATTATTGATCATAAGTAATTCATTTCTCACTCATATATTAAAATATAATCATGACTGATACATAATCCTATATTTACTAGGTTATGTCTCTTTAATTTATTTATTCTGAAATTTAAAACTAAGTTTACTGTCTTAACTGTTTAAAGGTTTACTAATATAAATGTTGTTTCTTAAAATCCAAAGACATTTGATTTAAAGAGTAAAAAAGAGCCTAAAAAGAAGTATTTCAATATTTTTGATGTTATAATTTTATGTATATTAAATATATTATATACAATGATATAGAAATATGTACTCTTAATATTTCTTTTAATATATAAAAAAATAAATGTATGAAATAAATTGTATTTATTTATTAAAATTAATAATAATAATAACCATATAAGAAATTATAGAGTTATGACTAAAACAGATATTATTATTAAAAAAAAAAAAAACTTTTTCCAAATTTTTGTACACAAGTAAACTTCAGTTTCTTGGTACTTATTAATACTAATAAAATTATTTGTATTATATTTAATTTTCCAGTTAAATGATGGACCTCCTACTGGACATTCAAGTACTGCTCCTAGCCCTCCACCAACACAAATAAACAAACTTAAGCTAGGACCAATCACAATTAAAAGAGAGAAACGACAAAACTCTTCTCGTTTTAATGTTGTAGGTACTAATCGTGAACTACAAGTTTTAAAAACACTTAATGGTATGTAAATGTTCGTTCATTTAGTTAATAATTTAAATTAAGAGTGTTAAGATGGATACAATTAGTAATATATTTTGTTTTCTTTATTATTTAAAATAAAACATTTTCAGTGCTAGGCTTAAAAATTATACTTGGGTAAAAAATAGGTTTATAAGTTACTGAAAAGAAATTTAACTTTTTTTTTTTATAGATATTTAGGTATAATTTTCACCTTTTTTGATTAACGTTAGATCAGGTACTGTTATATTGACAACTTGTTAGTAGGTATATATTATGTATTATATTGGGTATAAAGCTGTCAGGAAAATTGATATGATACGGTTTGTGGATGAAAGTAGTAATATCAGACAAGGAAGGGAATTGTTTTTGATGCTGTAGAGCATGGAAGAAATACTGTTTAATATGCATAAGCTAAACATGAGTTAGTAGAAGCAATAATATTTGGGCAAGTATACATCTATAAAATAACCAAGAAATAGAGCACATGGAGAAGTTAACATACTGGGGAAGTATAATAAGTTAAGATGGCAGAAATAAAAGGGAAATAATGAAGAGAATAAGCCAAGCTAACATAGCATTTAAGAAATATTATTGTGCACATTAAAAAAAACTTTTTGAAAACGTATACATAGAGTATAATGTTGTATGCCAGTGAAACTTAGACGATTGCCAAGGTAGAACAGAGAAGAATAGAAGTTTTTGAAATGTGATGCTACAAAAGAATATTGAAGATGATAAAATAACTAGAATGCAAATTTAAATACTCTAAAAAACAAGATAAATGACCTAAAAATTATTTTAAATGTTGAAAAAAATTTTTTTATTAGGTTCATTAATTTACTAAACACAACAATGCATATAGTGCAATACAACTACAGTGTAATTCAATATAATAGCTTATCGTTTTCTTTATTGCAGCCGATATCATATTTATCTGGTATAATTGGCAAATCTATAATACATTTTAAAAATAGGAATTTGAATATTTTTTTTTCTTCTAGGAAGAAATCGAAATTAATTTTATTAAATTTTCTATTAACTCTATGAAGTTTGTGAATAAAAAAAAATGTACCTAAATATGCACATGAAATTTCAAAAAATTATCTAAGAATAAAAGTTTTATATTTTAATTCCTTGAAATATGAAACAAATTTTGTGCTTGGATAGTATTGCTTTAGGATATTTAGAAAATAAACTCAATTTGCATTATAATCCGCAACTCTAATGATAACCAACAACAAGGAAGAATCAGAATTGAATTGAATAAAAAAATAAGAAATTAATGAATTGGAAATCTACCGAGACATGATGGGTTGCTGGTACAGTTTATAGAGGGGTGTATGCAAGGTAAAAATTATAGAGAAAGACTGCGTTTAATGTATATGTGATGGATAATAAAGGACCAAGAGTGTAATTCTTACGATGAAACAAAATGAAAGGCAAGGGAAGAATGGAAAATTGTTACATACTAATCTCAAAATTGAATGAAAAGAAGATTAGGGTTTAGTTTTTTATTTATTTATTATATACTATCAACTTTGTTATGAAATTTGTGTTACAAAATAATTTGAATTTAGTATGTTTTTTTTTACTTCATTATTCTAGTTTTCATAATCATATTTTTAAATTAGTTGTAGTGATTACTAGAGATCAGATGTTTTAGAATTTTCTTTTAAATTACATAAAGTACAGAAATAAGAAGTAAAAAAAAAAAAAAAATTATAATGAGTACATTGCAGGTATTTTGGTTTTTAGATTGGCCACTATTGTAGGTGAGAAATTACTCTTCTAGTGTAATTTGATTTATATCTGTAATAAATCATTGCTTATGAAAAACAATTGTGACCAAAGTTTGGTTAATCATATTTTGATAAACTTAAATTAAAAATTGTATTTATTTGTAATGTACTTACAATTGTTCACGTATTTTCATATCAAATTGGTGAGCTTTTTTTTACAGTTTTCATCAAAATTTAAACTTTTAAACGCTTATATATTTATATATGTATAAAAATTATGCTTAACTTTTCCCATTAAGTAAAACTTGTATCAAATTTTTGATGATTTTTGCTGGGCTAAAAAACTTATACTCTATTAATCGGAAAATAGTACTCAAAATACCAGGATTTTTGTGATTTTTATCAAAATATTAACTTTGAGTGCTTATAAAAATAATGTGCTCACAGTTTTTCAATCTTTTTATACTATCATAATAACAACTTATGATGAACTTCACACCAAATTTTCATGTTTTTTTTTTAGAAGTCAAAAAAACTTGAAAGTTTTAAATAGCTATTAATCTCAAAAATTGTCAGAATAATTTGAAAATTTTACCACGTCTAGAAATAGAATTCGGTGAATATTTTATGTCTGTGATTTGTTTTAAATGAATTACAACAAAAACAAAATTGAAAATAACTGAAACCATTAAAATTTTATCAGAACTATTCCTACATTTTTACTTTTTTCCCTGTTTTTCTTAATTATTATGAAAATTACAAGGAAAATCAAAAAAATGACTTCTTCAATACACCAATTAAACAAAATGTGTTTTTTTACACTTATTATCGGAACAAGATTTCTGATAGAAAAGTTGTTCTTATTGTTTTATTTATTATTTTATTATTAAGGATTTACACGGTAATGTGTATTATGTGTACATAATTATATATTGGTCCCTTATTTATGCCAGTTTAACATACTATAATTGTAATTATGAAAGCTATGGTTTTCGTAATTTGTTGTGATACTTCCAACCCGACCGTTGGGACAGCTTGTGTGTTGAGCCAACACTTGTTACACCAGCACACACGTGACCGTATCGCGTGTAGACGGTAGTGACATCTAGCGACGTAAATACTGTTGTTATTTGTTCCGGGCCCCGCCAGTGTTCGTGACAGCCGTGTTCGACTGTTTCCTTGGTTACCCTCGCAGCACTCGTCCAGCCATCGCCTTCTCTTCGCATATTAGTTCTACTACCCGCCCCCGCACGTACGTATCTGCTACCACATCGATCCACCGTGAGCCCAAAGCTTGTAGACACCACACTAGTCCGCAAATTACTGTCGCCGAAACGCCATGTACGTGTATGATTGTTTCAACACACATTTAAGTTTTCATTTTATTGTTTGATCGTGATTCAATTTATAGTAAAAATAAAATCACATACGTACGACACTGTAATCGTTGCCGCACTCCCGAGGTTTCTATATGTTTTTGATATTCGCCTTCACCGTTCGACGAGAAACCCTAGCGTTATGTATGCACATTGAAATGTTTCCATAGATTACAATTTACAGTCGATTATAGAGTAAATTATATAGTATCCCTTAGTTTTTACTATGACTTTGTAAAAATATATGTGATTTTGATATACACATGTGCACATTCACCATTAAATATCGAGTCATTTGTCTAAAGTAATGAAAAAACGAAGTTTGTGTTGATAGTTTTCGCTAACAACAGACTTGTGTGATTAGTTTAATTTAAAATTTAGTAAATGTCAAAAGGTCGTACAAGGGTGGAGTCACTGCGCTGCGAAGGTTTAATTTTTTAAAATAAACTATTTTTTCGAGTTCTTTACTGCACTGGCAATCAGAATTTTCTGACATAACTTGTGTTTTTTTAAGTTTTTTCTTTGATAAAATGTATATTGTGTGATAGATACATAAATAATGGATTTTATAATTACTGTTTTTCAGTTATAAGATTATTTTTGTAGGTATTTTAATAGTTTTAATTAAACATTATAAGCAAATAATGAATTTAAATAGTCACCTATTTTCTAGTATATGATTTTAGTAAAAAAATTAATTATGGCATTTGTGCATACAATCGCGAAATATACTTCGTGTATTTACAAATAACATTTTTAATTTATATTATTTGTGTATGCTAATTTAAATAGCATTGTTTTAAATAGAATATTCATAAATCTTAATAGATTATATATTCAAATGTTAATATCTTCTAATATTTCAAATGTCATTTTAAATATAATTGAGTTATTGCAACTAACAACAGTATAATTTATTATGTGCAAGTTAAATGGTTCTTAACAACTAATTAAGCAGGTAGTTGTTTTAAAATTACATATCTACTTACTTCCTATATGATGGCTGATTATTCTAAACAAATCATGCTCTAAAATCGACTGAAAATTATCAACTCATTCAAAAAAATTAATCAGTTTTTAATTAATTAATATTAAATTTATAGTGGGGGATAAATGAAAATATACGATTTACGATATTATCGTTTGTTCGTAAATCTAAGCATTACCAACATCTACATCGCGACTTTGAAGTACGTGCTCTGATTTATGTTGTTTACTACACCTAACCGTAGTGCAGACGTTTGCGATTTTATATGGTAACGAAAACTACATGATCTTAAATGGGTGTTACGATTAAAAGCCTGTGGTGTAGTGATTATGGTAGTGAACAGATCTGCGGGTGGTCGTATGCTCTCACTGAGCACAACTGTCAACGGCACTGCGGCAGTGGTGACGGGTAACGTGCAATCTGGTGTTCCGTTACTGCCCAAAAGCCAAAACTTTCATAGTGGTTTGGATCTGGTTGCTGATCGCGACAAGTCAATCATTATGTACTATGATCGGTCGATAGACTTGCCCAGGCTTCACGGTGAGTTATATATTATATGGGGTTAGACGAATTTAATAATAAATTTACGCACATAAGGTTTGATTGAAAATTTCACTTTTAGTGTATATGTAATTATATACCTACGGAATGTCTCCACATTTAATTTTATATTTAATAATTTATTATGTAAACTTCAAATTTATTTAATTGAATGATTTTATTTTGTGAGTTTTTAAAAGGTAAAAATTTACACGTTATAATATATAAATATTATTCTATTTGAAATTTACGATCATCGCGTTTAAAAATATATTATATAATGCATCTGTATCATAATATTATAAATTTTCTTTGTTACATAAATTGTTTTCGATATTTTGTTATTATACTAATGTTATCCTATAATATATTTTTTCTCAATTTGGGGGCGTGAACACATTGCTAAGGAGGTACAAGCAATCATCACAAAGTAAAATTATTGTATTTATTACATTTTGTATTTTACAATGTAGGGGAAAAATAAAAAATGAATAACGACCGTATGTCGGATAGATTTGTTTGCTTATCGGCCTTTATATTAATATTATATATATTTTTGTTGATGGTATTTATTTTTTTTTTGAGAGGAAAGGGGTGATATTTTTAAAAATTTACAAAGGGGTAGAATAAAAGAGGTTGGGAACCACTGCTATAGTAGTATGTTTTTGTTTTTGTTATAGTTAGTCCGATTTATATTTATACATTTTTTTTTTTAAATACTTGACGTATCTTTTCTTGATGGATTTTTTGATAGATTTTCTGTATCTATATGCAATTATTGAATGATAATAATATTTATTATCAGAATTTATGAATATTATATTGTTCATGCTTTCATTTTTACAAAGCTCTTTTAAAAATTCTAATCTATTTAGTAACAATCTTAGTATTATATAAATAGACGGAAGATCTTCTACTCGCAAGAGTATTAAAACTTTTGAGTTACGTCTTATCAGAGATATTTATATTGTTGATTGATTCTATATTAAATACAAGATTTAATAAAACCAAACAAATACTTATACTAATTCATTGTAATGGAATATTACATAAATATTTGATTTTGAATTTTAGATTCAAAGATCTATTGGCTTTACTATGATGTATTTTTTTTTTTTTTTTTGTCTGTAAACAACTTTTCTATCAGAAATCTTGCTCCGACGTATGTAGTGTAGCACCTTTTCTGAAAGGTAATTTTGTTTAGTTAGTGTATTAAAGAAGTTAATTTTTAATTTTCCAAGTGTTCTTCAAAATAATTAGGAAAAACCGAAAACTAAATTAAAGGTAAACGGCAAATATTTACGGCGCGTCGCGACTTTACTGATTTCATTATTTCTAATTGTTGCGAACTATGTTTTCTACGATAAATAATACTTTAATAAAAAAAATTGCTTAGGTACCTCTTTAGATCTAGTTGTTTAATTAAGTGGGTTATTTGTTTATTCTCTTAATCGTTTTTCGTTAGCAATAGTTTATCTTTACGTACATATATAAGTTAAATAACTTTATGTATATTACCTTTCTAACTTTCCAACTATACAACAGTGGCTGTACGCTTGCACCCCTCTCGAGTATTAATTCTTTTTTAATTCAATTATTTCGAGATATATAGTTATATATAAGTTTGAATCGTGGTCTTTAATAGCAATTATTGTATTCACGCTGAATACACTTCAGTTTATTATATTTTAATGTTTTTTTTAAATCCCTAACTCCATTCTTATTAGAAAATTATTACGAGCACGCCACTGACCATATTATATAAACAGCTTTTGAATTCAACCAATCATCACTGAGTTGTAGTGGTTGGAAGATGATTAATTTGGTGTAAGGTCTATGATGAAATTTTAGTAGGTATCACTACTAGTAATAACCAAATTATTATGATGTACATTATCGATGTATGCGTTGCGTAGATTTCGTGAATCTAAATCAAAGGTTCCTAAACTCGATGAAATTGCCTCCTCGCTGGTCAAAATAAACTACTGGGGATTTATAAATAGACCCCTTTGAGAACCTCTAATCTAAACATAGATAAAAAAAAATTAGCCATTTTAGATAGTATTAATAGATATTATTAACGATTATATATATTATAAATTTTTAATTTGTAATAGAGTTAATAGGCCAATATAGAAAACACAGTTTATTATTTTTTTATTAGAGAATTGCACACTTTTATTAAAGATCGTTGAGTGGTCATCCATTAGATTATTAAAAATATTTGACGGGATTAATAATAACATATCATCATCGTATTTAACTTTACGATCCATCGTGTTTGTTTAAACTGAAATTCTTTATTATTAAATATTAATTATTGTGAAAAAAAAATATTCCCGTTATCATAACATATGATTTATTGATTTAAAACTATTAATATTTGGCATTTATAGTCGTAGAATTCAAATGTTTAAGTGAGCATAACTTGTGAGATTAACTTCTCACACAACTAAAGGAGAACTGTGCTTTACAAGACTACAAGGATGACGTTTTATTATATTATTATAGTTCTTACCACAACTTGCCATTTTTGGCGTATTTGTTACGCACGTTGTACAAACAAACTAATCAACGAATACTTTATAACGATTACCAACGAAAATAACATTTAAATAATTAAATTGGTAATAATTAAAATGTTTAAGTCTTATAAATTAGATATATAAACAAAAGCCCAATTCATATTTAAATTCTGCGATGTAGGTGTTAGAGTGTGTTTGAAAAATAATCTTCTGCACAAAAACAACTAATCGAAGTAAAAACTATTCGCTCAGAAGGCATTCATATTGTTCCCGGGATCTGTCCATGATAGAAACTTGAAAATTAACCATGAATGATTTTATTTTTTGTATCTTTTTATTTTATATTTTTATGACAGGTGTACAAGTTATTATATTGATTGAATAATAAAAGATAAAAATTTAAAGTAATATAACAAATCATGTTTATTTTTTGGACAATTGTTCATTTTATTTTTATACATTAATTTATTGTTATTCAGTTTTTAAATTTATATTTTATTATATTCATTGAAACATTCACACCCATTTGTAACTAGTAGTTATAAACGCCTTGGTTTATTCAATTCCGCGGTAGTATTTCTTCTTTGTATTAGTTTACTTTATACTTTTGTTCGAGTGTTTTTTTCCTATTTTGTGATTGTTGAGTTTTTCGTCAATACATATACTCATTATAGGGTATTGAATAAAATAATATTATTTTGAATAATAGTTAAATAAAAAAGTTAATTCTTTGGCACTAATGAAATATATTATATTTTTTTTAAATTGTTGTCTGTCCGTAAACAATTTTTTTACTAAAAATGATTTCTTTTTTTTCCAATTAAATTATTTTGTTGTAATTCGATTGGAAATACCTGCGATTTTTAATTATATTAGCTTTTTATAGGCATAATAAAAAATTTAAAATATTTTGTCGATTTTTAAGCTATTTATTTGAGTTTATATTTATAGCCTTGAGATATTTGTTTTTAATTTTTAATTGGATAAAAATACATTGACTCAGAAAAAATGCTCGAAAATTCAATATGAAGTTCTCCATAAGTTGTATTTAGTGATATTGAATGTAATGTAATTATTATTATTTTTTTAAACTAAATTTTAATTTTATGAAAATCATGAAAACATATTTTACCGAACTTCGATCAAAATTGTTGGTTTTGCAAACAATAATTTATCATTTCATACTACAGATATAAATTAAACTATATATCTTAGCCAACGCCAACTTCCAATCTACAGCAGTTGCACTGTGGGTATATAAGTTGAATTTTATAATCTGTGGGCACAGCGTTGTAGATCGTCGTCATCTAACCATTAACCTAATTTAACCTTTTTCATATGCAAGTTGTTATCCAATCATCTAATCTGGCTAACTACTCTTCTCTTTTTTCTGAATTTATCCGCAGGGTTCTTTTGATATGAACTATTTTACAGTATTTATAGATATTTCGTGTGTAAATTTCAATAATATATTTTTTATTTTAAAAATACAATTTTATAATATCATTAAAATTAATATTTTATTAAGAATAATTAAATAAATGTTTTCTCCTTTATAAATATGGTGTATTGTAATATATTATGTACTGCAAGCACACATTATATTCAAGTCGATGTCCCCAGTCCCCCTATTAATAATTTATACTCTATATGCAGTGTGTTTCCCATTAATTTTTTTGAGAGTATATCAAGTCGTCAAATAATACTAAAATTTAATAAAATACAAATATTTTTCTTATGGTTTAGAGGGGTGAAGGATTTGTCAATAATAATCTTGAGAGTTCAAATCGCAAATTGATTGAGGCTTGGGAGTATACGCAGTATACCTATAATATTTAACAAAACTTTGAGAGTATACATCGTATTTGTAGAATACCATATGGAATCACCCCTATTTATATATGATTTATCTGTAAAAAAAAGAAATTTTATTTTTCCTATGCATTGTCATTGATGTACGTACCTATTAATTTATAAGTTTCATCAATAATTACTCTGTGTTTCCCGTTTAACCTATATAAAAAGGGGGGGGGTCATCAACATTTACAAACGTATTTTTCTCTAATTTATAGGTTGGCCTGAATGAAAAAAAACCTAACACAACTTTTGTTCTCAGTAACGGACCAGGAAAAGCGTGTTATAGCATAATTTCCCGCAAAAAACCTAATCTAACATACGTATTTTTTCCTTTCAATTTTATAAAAGTAACTATTTCCAAAATATCGGTTTTAGCACGAATTAAAATGTGTCTTACCAACAACTAGCTATAAGTTGTCCATAAGGAAAAGGACACTATGACGTCTGATTACACTGTTTCATTTCAAAATTGTATATTTATTAATTTTTATTATTACGTTATCAAACTAAGATTCGTGGTTAGTTTTAATTCCAGTCATAGTGGTGACTTATAAAACCGGTAAGACATTTTATTCCAGCTAAAATATTGGAGTTTTGAAAAGTTAAAGTTTTGAATATTTTTCAATTTATGTGTTTATTACAATAAGATTCATGTATTCAACTAATCATAAATTTAAATAATTTTGTAATTTTGTATTTTTTTAATGCTTAACGCCTGTGTAAATGTTTATTACCAATGTTATATTATTTGTAATTATTTGGTGTTTCAGTATATTAGCTTTGGTATTATTGGTATTAAAACGTTTAATATGTATAAATAGTTACCTATTATATAGAGATGTTTCGTATATCTGGCCATCGAATAATAAGTAATAATCGGGTACTCAATACCATAGTCAGTACTCTGCCAATATTCCGTATCTGGCGTAATAATATATTATCTCGAACTATAATCCGGTACTAAGCTTGCTGTCTAATTTAACAAAATGAAAAATGTATGAAAATATATTTTTTAATTTTTTAATAGAAATAATTATAAAAATAAAAAATATATATTATTTATTAATTACCTAGTTGCTACTAGATATTGTATTTTTTGCACTTTATCAATATTAGAATCTTGATTATCACAGTATTACACAACACTCGGCTTTTATTAATATAATTACTTGACTGCTAGTTGCCCGGTATTTATGTAAATTCAAATTATTACTCAGTAAATACTTAGTACCGCGATTTGTTAATAAATAATCTACGAAAAACATTTATCTTCTTGACCTGACCTGTATATTCTCAGTTGTCATACAAAAAATATTTTTGTTTATTATATGTATAAATTGTTATTATTTAGTATGGGAGAGTTTTGACCTTTTGGTTTTTTTAAAATCTAGTCGAGTCAAGTATTCATTTTTTCGAGTAAAATTCAGAAGTCAAGTACTCGATTTGAGAAAATTCGACACTTTAGTACTCGACCAATTCTACAATTTAGTTAAAAATTCTATATATTTTAAGTTACAATTTAATTTTAAAATGATGTTTAATCTGTTTTAAAATACTATAATATACCTAATTTAAAATTTTAAGATTTGTATACTCAATAGTGTGTATTTGCAAGTATTATTTCGGCTCTCTAAGAGAAATCAGTACTCCCGTATTTCTATGATTCTTTCAACTGTTGTATATTTTTCGATCAACTGATAAACAGTGTCGACATTTGATAACTACACCTTGAGTGTAATCATGACGTCATGGTATCCTTATCTGCTTGGAATCCCAAATATCTGATTGTTGGTAAGACATTTGTATTCGCGCTAAAATTGATCGGTTTGAGTTAGTTAAATTAAAAATATATATTATTTTCTCGCTCACGTAAACCTAAACAATTTGGTGAAAATACGTTAGAAAAATATCGATGACCCCTATTGTATAAAATTGACGGAGATCGCGGAATATTTTTCCTTCAACCAACTCCAGCGTCGTCTTAGGCCGCGCGTATCATCGGTGCGTTTTCATACGCCGCATATGAAAATACATTAAGATGACGTTATACTCGCATGTGCTGTCTCGGTCCAACTAACGGGCTATATAGCAGAATCTGCCTTATGTAGACTTCGTAGAACTCTCTTAATTTTGATTTTAGAGTAAAATCACCTATTTTAAAATTTAAAGAGAATAATATTCCGGTGGGCAAAACTCATTGTTTTGCCCATTATTTTAATTATTATTCCGAATATAATGTTCAATACATCGTTTAGAATAAAAGACTAATTCATCGTTTTTAAATGATTGTAACATTTCTAAAAATGAATTTAAAAAAATAAACGCATCATCTTCCTCTCTGGAATAATGTACTCTTTTAGTTTTATAATAAGTGCTTTTACTCCAACCAAAATTAAGTGAGTTCCATGCAGTCTGTGTAAGGTGGATTTTTTTATATTGCCCTAGTTGGAATGAGACAGCACATGCAGATATACCGCACTCTTAAACAAATGAAACGTTACACAGCCTCGCATAATCATCTGCTTGCGTTTTTTCGTTGATGCGTTGACTACGAGCCGTACGCGTGGATCGTTGGTTGTCGGTATTGACATGTTGACTGTCGCGCGTTTCATACGTGGCGTTTATTAATTTATAAACATTTATATTCATTTATCCTTCACTTATCAAGGGAAAACAAGTACAAATTTAATAATGTATTATTTGGAAAGACTTAATGGATCCGAAAATAATTTTAAAATTTGTTTTCATTGTTTCTTAAATCCCCGTACGACGTTAAAAAACTTCTTTTTAAAATTCTTCGTGAAAGTAAAGGATGATTGAACCCACATTCTCCGCTCTTTTAATTTACGGTTTTTTTTTTTTATATAATTTGTTTAACACGTGTATTAATTTTTGGACGACTACTGACACACAACTGACTATTTCGATGAGTAGTATGATTCGAAACGCTTCAAAAATACTTGTCGAAGTGAAAACAAAATATGGCATGTTTGAAAACGCCGAGTATGATACGTGTTGCTGTGAAACGGGCCTAAGTACATTTAGAATTAGTTACATGCCACCAAATGTACTGTACTGATTTAATTTCAACCATCATACATAAGATTACAAGAGAGGCATACTAGACAAATTAATATTAATTATAATACTCTTGAGGAAACATACAAATTATTACCTGCATCAACAACAATCCATGAGAAAAATCACATTTTCACAAATTCATACATATACAAAAATAATGATATCGGTTTTGACAAAATTGGATGAATTGGATGGGCAAATATTATGAACGTTACAAAATTTATTATATTTGATTAAATAAATGGTATCATGGTACTCGGGAGATGCAGTGATTTAAGATTTTACTTTGTATTTAAATTTATTACTTTAGTCTAATTGGCGTTAGAACTTGATCTTGTGTGTAGGTAATATAATTATACACAATATAATATGTTATAACTAAATTCATTGGTGTGCGCAGAATAGGAGAAAGTTAGGTTTTTGAATTCCCATTGTCTGAAAAAATATTCTACGTTTTAGGTATTCAGAATTTATTATTTACTAGTTTCTCTCCCATTTTGACAATTTCTGGGTATGCTACATATAGTATGAATAGGTGAAAAGTTTGATGATGTAGTTCAATACTATTATATAATTTATAAATGAGTTGTAAAATAATTTAAATTGGGTACATATTTTTTATTAAGTATATGTAGTTATATTTTAATTATAAATTATGCATAATTTCCGACAAATTAATTAGTTTTGATTGTTTTTTCAAGCTAATTAATCGAACTATGGTTGAAGTTTTCTCTAGATCGATTACGATATTTCATAATTGTACCTACATGATGACGTTTTCGTTATTATTAAAATAATATTTTATTTGTGTTACAATATTATTAGATTCTATAAATAGAAATATTGTATACTTTGGTACTACGGTGGTCCACAGTAAAATTCAATAATTTTCATCGCAGACAATAGTTTATATATTTATTAATTCTCAAATCAAAATTAAACATTACGTATAACGTTATTAGCCAATTTTATAGTTAACAAGATAAATGTATAATTACCAACATAAATTTTAAGTAACTGTAGAAGATTATTTAGCATAAAGATGGGACATTTTTTTTCTTTTATAATTTTAAAACTATAGGTAAAATGACAAATATTTACGGCGTTCCGTTTTCATTGATTTTATTATGTTAACACGATGTTTTATATTAGAAATATGGCTCCAATTCAAAAATGACAGGAGATCGATTTTGTTCCCTATAATATTTCGCTACTGACAGAGTAAGTCGTTTTTCGATATTTTAAGCAGTTTTCTTGATAATTGGAAAAAGTTAAAAAAGACGAAATATACGATTTTTTTTTTCAAATTATGGCACAATGATTTCATTATTTTAAATTTTTACAACTTATTTTTCTCACCATAAATATTGCTCCAGTAGAAAAACATCAAAAGATCTTTTTTGTTGAATTTTTATTTAGTTGGTGACTAAGAAAGTTGTTTCTTGATTTTCTATGTAGTTTTTTAAATAATTGAGCAAAACCGATAAATATGTAGAATAAACGAGAAAATGTATGAAAATGATTCTTTTATACATATTTTAAATTTTGTTTTTTTTTTAATGTTATTCAGTTTAAAATAATCGTAGGGACTTAAAATGTTAACAGACAACTTATATTTATTTATTCTATACTTAGTAAAACTTTCAGAACATTTGAGCAATTTCTGAGCTATTTATAGAAATTTTAATTTTGAGTTTTATATGGTAGGTACCATGTAGATAAATTGTTAAACTTAATAGAAATGATTGGAAATTTAATAGGAGATGGTTCATTATAAGTGGTAAAAAAAATTATTTTTAAGTTGTTTTTTTTTTCATAACAGTTTTAATATCAAATTTTTGCGAAAATTATAAAAATTACGACATTTCAACATTTGGGTAACGGAACTTCGCTCTAAATCGTTTTTCGTTAGCAACGGTTTATCGTAGGTTATAGATATAAATTAAATAACCTTATGTATTCCACCTTCTTAACCACTCGCTTGTAACAGTAGCCGCATCCGTCCGCAGTATCAGCTCTTTTTTTTCCGAGTATAACCGACAGCAGTAAGGGGTTTGTTAACACAATAATTCACTAACTACTGCTATCGTTTATTAAATAACTTATGAATTAGCTTATCGTATGTAAAATTGACGCTTTCCCCATCTGGCTTTAGCCAGAAGGCTAAATTATCCTTAGTTATATGAATCAACCTTAGTGAGATGTGGGACTCTCGTCCATCAACATCCCCTGACAAGCTTAGCCTAGGTGGGGGCCCTTTATTTTCTCCACCTGGTTAGAACCCACCGGTCTGGGGTCTTGTACGTGATGCTATTCGCAGCCGGTGAAGTGAGAGCCAGGTAGCTTGAATAGCCATGCAGTGTGTGTTGTTTTACGACAGAATCGTAGAAGACAGTGGACTGCCACATTACGGCAGTCCACACTGATAATGTCCATAGCTTTTGGATGTAGGTATAGCACTACTAATATAAAAGTAAAAATTATATGACAAGTGTCCGTCAATGTGTTAAATTAATATTTAGTGGACCATTTTGATATAGACTTAATGGTATATATTGTATCTCTATTTACTGTAATCATTTAAATTTACGTCCTTCAATTTTAAACTCCTAATTCACACTGGTAGTATATTAGTATATTATAACAAAATAAATGTTCGTTTCACTTAGCAACCTTGCGATTTATTATATTTAATTGTTATATAAACGGTATGTCCAAACAAATACATATTATAATTTTCATATATGCTTTATTTAAGATACATTAAGTACGTAGTTATGCATACTGCAATGTTTTTGAAGTTCAGTTATCTATGTAACAGTACCAATGCGTGTACACATATTTTTAAAAAAAATTGCATACAAATATAATTTTGTGCTATGATGCTAATTGGTATTTATTATTTACTCGTGTATTTTTTGACTAGGGATTTTTTAATAGTAAAAATAGTTTATTTAACCCTATTGTAAAATGTTTTGCAAACTATAGTTTAATATCTATAGTTAGATGGTATAGATAAATATTTTTATTAAAGGTTTCCTTTTATTATTATATTTAGCTTGGCGATTTTTTAATACCTACATAATGTTAGTTAAATTAGTTGAAGTAAAATAGAAAAACAACAACTATAACAAACTAAAACACGATAAAATAGTGGAATGTGTAATATGATTGTTGATTATATTACACTAGTCGTGATTTTATCCTCGAACATTTTTTATTAATACAGTTCTACGATGTTTTATGATATTAAATTTGTTGGCTTATTATCTATAGGTAATAGTTAAGATTAATTGATTTATTGGATTTCTGGTTCTTGAAAGGCCTACTTATTATTACGTATTACCATAGACCTAATATTAATTAATAGTAATAGACTACACAATGATAATAAATAATAATAATATGTTGCGTTGCTAATATGAACGTGGGACAATCATAGATAAAGCCCAAAAATATTTTAGCTTGACATAAAATATTTCGCCCAAATTAAACGTCATGTTTTACGGTCTTCTTGTTACTAAACTTAAAATTACAAATGTAGCTGTAACAATAGTAACGCCATTCTCGTTAGTCTTTCACATTTTGTCCAACACTACATTGTTTATCAAACATGTTGCTTTGGTATGACAGTATAAGCATGGTTTTAAATTTTGTCTGCCACATTTTGCGGTATTTCTGCGACTATGTAGTGAATTCTTAGTGGGTTTTTAAATTCTTGTGAATAGTAAGACTGTAATTCCCTGTTTATGTACAGTATTGATTGACTATTGTACTCCGAATTTTTATTTTAAACTGCTCTGAAACTGCCTGTAAACTATTATAAATTAACTATTTATATCTATTAATACCTGGAAATGGACTGTTGAAAAAGGGCTATATTTTATTATAGTTGACCATCTCCCAACCCGCATGGATCGTAGTTGAGTAGTATCGGAATGAGTCAAGTTGACTATATAGCGTGACAGCGGATACAACTCATTGCAATTTTGTTTTTCCCCATTAATGTAGTAGTGCGTTATTATATTATAGCCCATGAGTTCAAAGATTATAAGTAAAACATTAACAATTTCATCAAAATCAGCTCGTTATTTATTATACACATTTATCCATAGCTAAATATATTTAATTATTTAATATATTTATTGACCACAATTAAAAAAATAAAAAATCTGATACTTGGGACGTTTGTGGCTACTGTTGTGGGTAGGAAGTTGGGAAGGTAGGATATATATATATATATAAAGTTATTTAATTTATAAATGTACGCAAATAAACCATCACTAACGAAAAACAGTTTGGAGCGAAGTTCAGTAAGACATATTTTGAAATGTCGTAATTTTTACGATTTTCGTCAAAATTTGATATTAACTCTTAAAAAAAAAAAAAAATTGAAAAATACTACATTATACATTCAACTTTTTTTTTGGCCATTAAGTACAACTTATAATGACCTCTTATTAAATTTTCAAGCTTTTCTGTTAAGCCTAATAATTTTTCTTACTAAGTACATACCAAATAAAATTTACTTAAAAAATCCACAAAATTAAAATGTTCGTAAATAATTGAAAAATGGGTCAAATATTTTTAAATTTGAGCACATCTAGATAAGGCAAACAAGTTTTCTGTACAAATTTTAAGACTATGGATATTTTAAATTGAATTATAACAAAAAAACAAAATTAAAAATAATAAAAGTATTATTTTTGTAAATGTTTCAGTTCATTATGTTTTTTTCGGTTTTGCTTAATTATTAAAAAAATAAAATTCCAAGATTCCTTTTCGAAAAGTTATTTACAGACAAAAAAAAACACACATCATAATATAGTAAAACCAATATATCACTCGTTACCCTATGAATTCCAAAAAAACACTCATCATAGTAAAACCAGATTCCTTGCTACGCTTCGAATCTAATATAGTTGTATTTTTATAGGTCTGACATTTTTTATTATGAAACCACTAACCAGAATACTTGTCAGTGGCTATAACTTGTTCAAATTAAAGTTGGTCTCTAATGGATATAGTATAATCAAGCCCGGACATAATCACGTATTAAAGGACCCATTGTGCCATAATTTATGTATTTACATATTATATAAAAATTGTACATATGTACGATAATTTAATGTTCGTTAAACAATGTTTTAGTTTAAATATTTATATAAAGAGGGCCCATTTTGCAGTTTATTATAGGGGCCCTTTGGATCCTTACTTCGTTCTTGAGTACATTATATTTTAGTATAATAGTATCTACACTTCTACAGTGCTACTCCAGCATAATATCAATGAATATAATCATTCATTATGGATTAAAATATCATGATAGGTGGGTTACTGTTGTAGGTAAGAAGTTGGTAAGGTATAGGGGATATTTAATATATATCTGTACACAACGATTAACCATTGCTAACGAAAAACGATTCTGAGTGGAGTTCGGTTAATAATGTTTTGTCCACAATATATTATATATGTCATATTATGGTAAAATAATTACATAATATGCATTATATATTTTCTTTAATAATTATTGTTTAATATTATACCTATTTTTCCGTTTTTCCAAACATTTTTCCAGGTTTTTTCCATTTACTATGAAAACTGTTGGAAAAATCAAAAGATGACCTTGCTAAAGTACCACTCTAGTCAGATTTCTTTTCAGAAAAAGTAATATAATTGCAAAATGGAGCAAAATTGCTGGTAGAAGAGTTGTTAGCAGATAAAGAAAAAATAAACATTTTTTTTTAGTATTTTGCACAAAAATAAATTATTTTGAATAGGCGCGTGCTTAATGTTTATAATTATAACGTTTGTCTATTTTTAATACATTTCAATATTTTGCCAACAGTTGGACGAAAATAGTTACCATGTTTATACATTCATAACTATACGATTTTGAATATTTTTGATAGTTTATTTCATTATTCATTATGCTTTTATAGTAAGTACATTATGATTTAAACTATTTTGTCATTTATTTATTTTAATCAACATAATATTAAATTTTCAAATTATACATTTATGTATTAACAATTTCATAATACTTTTAATAAGGTAGATTATGTTTGATGACAATTGTTAGTGACCATATAGTCATATAGTATATATAGTTTATATATATATATAAACTATACATTTTAATATTCAATTCAAAGAGTTAGATATTCTTAAATACCTATTTAATAATTTTGAAATGAGTTTTTAAAAATATATATTTTTTTAAATTAATTTTAATTTTAAACTGTTTATTATTATTATATTTAAATAATAATCATTTACTAAATTTATGTAGACCAGATACCTAATATGACAGTATGTGGATGTAGTTGAATTTAGCAACAATGTTAAGTTAGTTTGTCTTGCATACAATTTAACTATGAATATACAAGAGAGGCTTTTTAGTTGATGGACCCTCTGAAGACATTTTGTCATTATTTGTTATATTATATTGGTTTGGTGGAGTATGATTTGTATTATTTGTATACAAAAGCCAATTCACAGGATATGATATTTAAGGCACATTTATTTGGCCAGTACTTACTGATTTTATTTAAATGGTTAAAATATAGTAGTAAAAGTATTTTTAAAATGATTGTTATTCAATGAAATTAATTCTATTACAGGTACACATTTATTTTGAAAATGCAATTTAATTAAATTCTGTTAAAGTTATTCAATCATAAATTAAATATTTAAGTATTTATTGAGAAAAGGTCACAATACCATTTAAAGGAGGATTTTCTATGACCTTAGAAATATGAATTAAACTGGTTAATAAATCACAAAACTATACAGTATTACAATATAGTGTATACATATTAATAAAATGTGCAAGGTTTCTATCTCCCCCCCCCCCATTTATTAACTAAATTAATACAAATTTCAGTTATGATACACATTTATAATATATTTTGTATAACTATCAACATATATTCTTCTCTTTTGCTTTCACACCAACTAATTGGGGTAGGTCGCCCTTGTATTAAACTTCCATTTGACCCCAATCTCTCACCTTGCATATCATTCTCAATTGCATTTAATCACCTCTTTTTTTGTCTTTTTTTCTACCTCTTTCCTCCATGTTTATTTTCATTACAATTCTTACTGATCATGATTTCTCTCTCTTCATGACATACCTAAATCATCTCAGTCTATTTTCTTTCATTTTGTCTGTTATCGTAACCGAGCTTCCTCTTATGTACTCATACCCTATTCTATCTTTCACTACTTCACCCATATACCTAAGTATTCTCATTTCTGCTCTGTACTTATTCTCTGTTTTATTTTTCTGTCTACCACCCAACACTTCAAATCAAACAACATAGTTGGTTTTGCCACACTTTAAGTCTCATTGGAATTCTGTTTTCTCATATAAAACCTGGCGCGTCTCCAATTTATCCAAGCACACTTAATCCTAGATTTAACATCTTTGACAAAGACACCATTCTGTTGTATAAAAGATCTTAGCTTGCTTATTACATCTCCATTTTTTTTGTAAGCTGTCTTGTCCTGTTCTTCCAAATTTATACTCTATCTACTTTGTTTTACTTATTTTTAGTTTTTTTCTTTTAAGTGCTACTGTCCATTCCTCAAGCATACTATTAACTTCTTCTATCAAAGCTATATCATCTGTAAACATCATGCATCATGCCACCTCTTCTTACCTGTTGTCCCCATGCATTTCCAAGATGAGACAATCAGCTCAAGAAATTTAGAATTCCTCATACTGATTGACAGAATTTTTTGCACCAGCTGTCTACCTGACGCAATACTATTTGTCACCTCTTACAACAGATAGAGATACCATGAGAGTATTCTGATTTCTTCCCACAAAGAGAAATTATCAACAGATAGCAAAGTTAAAACATTATATTATAAACATTATGCGAGTGCCAATTTTAAAACTGGGAGTATTAAGCACTTCCTCCCTATACTGTAATTATTTCACAAGTTTAACATCATTTATTATATTAAACAAATTACATTAAAAATTTGGCAAATTTTTACGTTTTACACAATCAAATCCTTAATAGGTTTAACCATAAAAACAATATATTATAAGACCTAGATGATTTGAAAGTACTTAATTTATTTCTTTATTTAATGCCTACATAATTAATTTATTACAATAATATATTTTAATTAAAATGGTTATATCTTAATCACTTACTTAATAACAAAAGTTCTCTACAAAATAATTTACTTTTGTTTTTTAAGAAATGTTAAAACTTGTTCATTGTAAATGTTAACAATTCTATTATAGTTTATAAAAAGCAATGATCGGGATCCTTAATATTATTATATTTTATGTGTATGAAAGTGGAATATACACTGTACAGTGCCAAATGAAAGAATGTTTTTTACAAATTCCAAATTTTATCAATATGACGTAATATTACCTACATTTGGTACTTCTGGTTAATCTCACATATTATATTAAATTTGTTTTTTCATATCTTTTAATAATTGTGTTAGTAATTTCTGATTTAGATTATCTAAATACACTAAACTTAGTATACAATTAAAAAAAAGACATTGTTTGAATGATTTTTTTTGTTCTTGTGGTAATATTATTTTTACATTTTTAACTAAATATACTATTATATTTATTATTTTTTATTTCAGTAATTATTCATATTTTAGAGTTTATAAGTGCAAAAGCTGTATAATATTTTGGTTGTCTGTGTTTCTTAAATAAACTTATATTTTTAATATACATACCTAATATCAATTTTATTTAATTCATAGATAGTTAATCAATCACAGTGCATCAAATTATTTATATATGACTTATTAGTTATTAAAATATACTAAATACTTTTTATATATTGCTTCATATAGTTTTTTAAACAACAAAAAGTATTCTTACTTATAAATGTAATATTGTAGTACTAGTATTAGGTTATTTGGCAATAAAGCATAATGTTTGTTTATATTAAAACTCATTTAATTATCTTAAAGAATTGGACCACATAAATTTTGTTACAGAATACGTTCATTATGTAGTTGATTTTCTTGTGTTCATATATGTTTAACATTTGTTAAACTTTAGTTAATAAGATGTATTTGTAATGTTATACTTATATGTGTTCAAAAAATTGAGCTGATTAATTAGTTCTTGATAATGCAGCTAAGAGGTAAAATTAAATTAATATTTAATATATAACAGTTTTATTTTTTTTGTTAATATGAATAAATATTCATTTATTAAATAAAGTATAACATTTATTAATATATATATTTTTTTACATTATAATTTGTTTGTTTTTCTTTTCCATGGTCCATATTTTAATATTGTTTCGGAATAAATGTTATTGAGTACAATCCCATTCTTTAATGTAAACATTTTAAATTACAGAAGCCAATACAACTGAAAGAGAACAGTTGTTTATTCAGAAAATGCAACAGTGTTGTGTGTTATTTGACTTTATTTCGGATCCACAATCTGATTTGAAATGGAAAGAAATCAAGCGAGAAACATTACATGAAATGGTAGACTATTTGTCATCTAATCACAGTAATGTCCTTACTGAAGCCGTATATCCTGAAGCTATAAGAATGGTAAGAATTAAAACTATATACATTTTTAATAAATCGTGTGTTTAATTTATTAAAAGCATCAAGTTGTATTTATTAAATTTCACAGACAACCAAGAAATTATATACTTATAAATAAACGTCCTAATTGAATTACTACTTAGTTTTTTGTTTATATATTTTTGTGTGATCAAAAAAAATGCATTAAGATAATATGGTTTTAAAAATAATTTTAATTTTGCATTAAATGTTTGTACTTTCAGTTGGGAATTTAAGTCATATTTATATTAGGTTATTATTATTTTTCTTTTAAATTACAGTTTGCAGTAAATCTATTTCGTAGCCTACCTCCTTCAAGTAATCCCAATGGTGCAGAGTTTGATCCAGAAGAAGATGAACCACTTTTAGAAGCGGCTTGGCCTCATTTACAATTGGTATATGAGTTTTTCCTTAGGCTCTTAGAGTCTCAAGATTTTCAGCCGTCCATTGCAAAAAATTACATTGACCAAAAATTTGTCCTTCAAGTAATAAACTTAAGAGAAATTATTTTTGGTATGCAATTAAACTATTAAAACAATTTTTATTAATGTAGTTATTGGAGCTATTTGATTCTGAAGACCCAAGAGAAAGAGACTTTTTGAAAACTATTCTGCATCGGATTTATGGCAAATTTTTAAGTTTGCGAGCATATATACGAAAACAGATTAACAACATATTTTATAGGTAATAATATACATTATACAGTTTATTTTTTTTTTTTTTTTTTTTTTTTTTTTTTTTTTTATTATTATTATTATTAATAAATAATAATTTTTATCATTTTTATCCTTTACAGTTTTATATATGAAACAGAACACCATAATGGTATTGCAGAGTTTTTAGAAATATTAGGAAGGTATGTCATAATTAATATAATAAATTTTGTTTTATGTATTAATTTATTTTATTTTTACCCCAATTAGTATTGTCAATGGTTTTGCATTGCCTTTGAAAGAGGAACACAAGGTATTCTTAATAAAAGTTTTATTGCCGTTACATAAAGTGAAATCACTGTCTGTGTATCATCCGCAATTGGCTTATTGTATTGTACAATTCCTTGAAAAAGATCCATCTCTTACAGAGTCAGTTGTCAGAAGTTTGTTAAAATTTTGGCCAAAAACACATTCCCCAAAAGAAGTAAGTTTTTAAATTGTGTAGATAAATATTTATTTAACATTTTATATGTTTAGGTCATGTTTCTTAATGAATTGGAAGAAATTTTGGACATAATTGAACCATTGGAATTTCGAAAAGTGATGAAACCAGTGATACATCAATTAGCTAGATGTGTCTCCAGTCAACATTTTCAAGTATGTTTTTAATAAATTATCATTCAAAGAGAATTAATGTTAATATAACCAGCGATATACAGATAGTCCATACAATAGTAATATTTGGCGACCACCAGTAGATGCCAAAACTGAGGAATGCTAGAGTAGTTAGGATGCAAAGGTTTTGATAGGCAAGAATTGCAAGGAAGTGTGTTGCTGTCACTTTTTCATGACAAGGGTACCTTTTCATTCCAACTAATCTAGTGCTTTATATTGATGGCATCTAGAGTTGGTCATCAAACATTACCATTGCATCTGGGCTATCTGTCTATTATATAATGAGTGGTATAACTAATTATTGAAATATTAAATTGAGTATAATATTTTAGTAGGTATTAATAGGTAGTAGGTGGTAGTAGTAGGTGATAATAATATTTATTTTTGTTTTATTCAAACATTTACGACAAGTTATATTGAATATGAATCTTAAAATATTTTAATAATTTTTTAAAAAAAATTAGTAATGGTGTATTGCTGTGATTAGTTTTATGTTTTTTTATTGATTACATTTGTAAGTCGGTTGGTTAAATTGATAGTAAATGTTTTATTAGTTTAACTGATGTTATAATTTAACTGTTATAAATACTTATTTTTTCATAAATAGGAAAATTAAATTAGTTATGGTATACTGTTTATAAATGAATAGAACAATTAAAAATATCATAAACCCATCTTATGGGCTAATCCAATACTTAACTTATCTTTAAAGTATATTATAGCTATATTAAATTATTAATCTGCAAATGCTAATAAACTACTCAAATAATACAATAGGCTAAAACATAATATATAATAAACATAATTAGTTTACAAAATCAGTGTTTTATTGTTTTTAGTGAACATTTGCTAATTTGTGTACATCCTGTTAGTATGTTAATTATAAAATTTGGTTTAATATCTTTAAAAACTTAAAATTAAATAAATTCTTAAGGCGAATGAATAAATTGATTTAGTTGTAGATTTTTTTTTTGTGTGCATTCATAAACTTGTAAAATTAAAAATAGTGTACTGATGTGTAACTTATGTCCAATGTTTCAATTTTTTATACTACATTATTTTTTTATTACAATTTTTTAAATATGTATGTTTATCTAATTTAAAACTAGATTTGGTTTCTAGGTTGCTGAAAGAGCACTTTATTTTTGGAACAATGAATACATTATGTCATTAATGTCTGAAAATGTGGATGAAATTTTGCCAATCATGTTTCCAGTATTATACAAAAATTCTAAAACCCATTGGAATAAGTGAGTACATGTGCAAATAAATATAATTTAAAAAATAATTCTATTCCAAAAACTGTGTGGATAATACAAATTCAAATTAATAATATTGTATCAATATAAAAAAAAAAATTTAAATCTTCTCCTTTTTAGACATATGATTACAGCATATGACATATGACAATTGATTAATAGTAATACAAACTTAATGTTAATTTGTATGCATATGAAAGCCCTAATTTTTAAAAATATCAAAGAAGTATTTGCATTCTATGCAAATATTTTACAACTCCCCCAAAAAATTTAAAGATAGCTTTAAATGATTTTTATAAGGAAAAAAACCTGTACCAAATGCGTGTCGTGCATACATTAACTTAAGATTCCATAGTATTTGTATATTTTGTTCATTATTGAAATAACTGGTTAACATATTATGTTGAAAATAATTTTTATTAGATGTGTTTAACAAGTGCTGATTTTTAATTTCCTAAGGTTTGGATGTTTGAAGAGAGGTTATATTATTATTGACTTTAGGAGCTTATATTATGTTGTACTATAAAAATGTCCAATAAAAACATTTATTGCATTTTCAATGACCTTTCCAATGATACCCACAAAGTGCGGTGAGCGAAAAATTGTCATCCCTTAGTTTTATGTTCAGAAATCTACAACTAAGTTATTTTTAAATTTTTGTCTACATCAATATATTACACTCACATTAGTCACCTTCCTATAAAATTTTATTAAAATTGATGGAATAATGACGGAATTATAAGCCTATAGATAGTACAGATAGACGAATATTATAGTATTATAAAGCTTACAATTTTAACATGTTTTATATTAACTTATTTAGAAAAATATACAAAGAAAAATTTTAAATCTTGTGATTAATTTTTGACATACGCTCATATTTTCATTGATACTATAATAATCAATAATCAAATTTCCTCCATTACAAATAATTCATTAGTCATACTTTACATTTTTTTAAAGTGATGAAAAATTAATTTTCACCCAATAAATTTCTAAAAATTATTTAATCATGGCATTTTTAAATATCATGCTTATAAAACTAACTTAAAAGTAAATAATAATAGAAAATATTTATACAAATATTTTCTCAAGTATATACCATGATAACATTAAAATTGAATAAGAGTAAATGATAATATATATATTTAAGTATGGGGTGCATTTATAAAATTCTTAAATACAAGGAAAAAAAGAACTAATACTGAGGACAGGTGCGGTCATTAATGTAAGTGCGGTAATTGGGAAAGTGGGATACATGCAGTTATTTAATTTATACCTATAACCAATGATAAATCATTGCTAACGAAAAACGATTCAGAGCAAAGTTTGGTTATATATGTTTTAAAAGGGCGTAATATTTATAATTTTCATCAAGATTTGATTTTAAAACAATTTTAAAAATAAAAACTACATTACATTCAACTTTTTTTTAGATTCTGAGTGGAGCAAAGAAGCTTATACTTTTACAAAGAAGTTTAATTAATTTTTTTTTAACTGTGTGCAACTTTTCTACCAGAAGACTCGCTCAGATTTTATGTGTAGCACCTTTTCTAATAGAAAATCTGCGTGGGGATATACTTTAAGAATGTTCTTATTCTATTTTCTCATCAAATGTGAAAAATAAAAAACAAACTGGAAAAATTACGAAATATAATTTTACGACTTTTTTTTGTGGACAACTTTTCTATCAGCAATTTTGCTCTAACTTTAAATGATAGCAAAGTTAATAAAAGGAAATTTCATTAGCGAGCTACTTACAAGAGGTCATTTTTTGTTATTCCCAAGAGTTTTCCCAGCAAATGTGAATAACCAGGATAAAACATGGGAAAACTTGGAATGTCGGTACAACATTAAACAAATATTATTTAAGTAAATGAATAAAGCATATTTAATTATTTTACTATAAAATGACATATATACTGTTGACAAATTTATCGTTATTAACTGAACTGAGCTCAGAATCGTTTTTTTGTAAGCAATGGTTTATTGTTGCCTAAAGGTATACATTAGCTGGAGCCAGCTGCACCTGGCTCCATTATCCTAGAACGTTTTTTTTTTTTGTGTACAACCATTTAGTTGTTTAGTTGTTAAGTAAAAACAGTTTTATTCATAGCGTACCTACAAATAAAAATGTACACACAAAACAAGTAAAATTTAAATTTTTATAATAGCACAAATAGATCAAATGTTTATAAAATGTTACCTCATCTAGAAAAGGCAAATATAAGTTTTCTGTCAATATTTCAAATCTACAAATATTGGGTTAATATATTCTGTACTCTATGACAGTGATTCCCAAGCTTTTCCCACACATTTACTATATTTTTGGGTATGCAACTCACATTAAAAAAAGCTGTTCTAGGATAATGGGGGTGCAGCCACTTTTGTAGGTAGGAAGTTGGGAAGGTAGGATAAGAAAAGAATTTAATGTATATCTGTAAGTAATGATGAACCATTGCTAATGAAAAACGATTCTGAGTGGAGTTCAGTTGATAGTGAGGCTTTGTCAACAATATATATGTCATTTGATATTAAAATAATTAAATAAGTATTATATATTTTCTTTAATAATATTTGTATAATATTGTACCAAATTTCTTATTTTTCCCGGTTTATCACATTTGCTTGGAAAACTCTTGGAAAAATCGAAAAATTACCTTCCTAGTCGAATTTCCTTTCAGAAAAAGTGCCTTTATTGAAAATTGAAGCAAAATTGCTGGTAGAAAATTTTTTTACAGGGAAAAAAGCCCATAATGTTTTTTAACATATACTTCCTACATTTTCAGTTTTTCCTCAGTTGCTTATTTTCTTATTATTCTCACTAATATATTTTTTATTTTTTCTATTTTATTATATTATAATCAAAATATTTTTCTTTCACCGCGACTCAACAAAAATATTTCACAACCCGTAGGTTGGGAAACACTGCTATAAGGGTTTCTACTTATTTTTTGGTGCTCAATTATTAAAATAAAGTACAAAGAAAACAACGACTTTCGTGATAACCAACTGGATTAAAAATTGAATAAAAAATATCTTGTTTTTATATAGGAGCAATATTTCTGGTAAAAGCAGGAAATGTAAAAGTTTAAAATATTAAAATTGTTGCACCGTAATTTAAAAAAAATAAAATCTTATTTTTCGTCTTTCTTAATTTTTTTTTTTTGCAAATTATTAGGAAAAATAATTTGGATATAAAAACGACTCTCGGTCAGTGGCTATATGTTAAAGAAACAAAATCGATCTCTTATTATTTTTCAATTGGAGCAGTAATTCTGGTAAAAAAAATTATTTGCGGAAATCAAAAACAATGTAATATGTAATGCCGCACGTGAATATTTTCTGTTTTATCTATAATTTTCTTTCGGGTTTTTCCAAATTATTTTAAAAACCTCTTATAAAATGAAAGTACTCTTTCTTGCACCAACTAGATAAAGTTACCTTTCAGAAAAGGTGATACACTTAAAACTTTAAAGTAAGTTTTCTGGTAGAGAGGTTGCTCAGATACAAAAATAAAAAAGAAAGTAAAATAGTAAAATCAATAGATTTCTTGTTACACTTCAAATTTAAAAGAATGAAAGAAAATACCACAGTAGCACATAAAGCCCTTAACATGAGTTAATATATGAGAGGGACTACTTAAATAAAGGTGTAAAGTAGATAGGCATGTTATCGTTTATTATTTTCTTACTTTATTTTTATGTTATATTGTTATATATAATATATATATGTGAGGAAATATTTTTTTAAATATTTTTCATTATAAGGCAAGTTTAAATTTGTTTTATAAGCATGATATTAAAAAAAATTCCCTTTATCTATGGGGTAATTTAATCTTACCTCATTAATTATGAGTATGTATTATTTATTACATTAATAATTTAGTATTTTTGTATTTATTTATAATTAATTATTAGTATTTTGATAAAAAAAAATAAAGCTAGGTTAATAATTAAGTATCTATATTTATAATGATTAACTAAATAATAGTGAATAACTATTAATATCTAAGTTGATAATTCTAAAATTTTAAAAATTAAGCTTAAAATGAAACATTCAGCATTAATAAAAATAATTAAAGTATATAACTATAAAACGTTCTCTCCTTCAAATTTGTTTGAATTATATTTTTAGCATCTCTTATTATAATAATATATTTATATGAAGATAAAATGTCTTTAATTATTTATATTACTCATTTTAGAAATATACACGGTCTCATGTACAATGCATTAAAAATATTTACCGAAACTAATCCAGTTCTATTTCATACATGCACTCAACAGTTTAAAGAAGATAGGAAGACGTAAGTAAATTTAATTATAAATTATTGGTATTATTTGTAAAACTATTTTTATTGAACTTAAAAGTATTGTTTATAATTTTAGTGAAGTGGAGAAATTAAAGAAACGAGATGAAAAGTGGCATCATGTTGAAGAGCTAGCTAAAAAAAATCCAAATTTTACGGTATCTATTGACAGTAATTTGTCATACTATACAGACTTTGTAAGATCACCAATTAATGATTTGGATCCGACTATTGATTTAAAGAATTTAGAAGATGCTACTAAGTATCATATTGATTCTGATGTAATAATAATTCATAATTAATATTGCAATATTTTTATGATAATTATTACTAATTTATTTGATTATTTTTTTGTCTATAGAACCGTAAAAATCGAAAAGAAAAACCTTTATTGAGACGTAAATCTGAATTACCACATGACACATACACATTGAGGGCATTAAATGATCATAAGAGAGCTGATGAGTTTTTATCTACGCCACCTGATGTTAATAAGTGCTAGCCAATTGTTCAATGTTGTGTTGACCGTTTTATTTCTACACTTTTATAGTCTAAACAACTATGGTAAATTAATTATTTCTATTAATTAATGTTATTTATTGATGCCCATAGTTTAAACTAAATACCTATCTAAATTAAAGTTTTATAGGAGAACCAAAAATCATTAAATATTTATGATTCATACAACTATAACACCAAAAAAATTAAATTAAAATAAACAGATAATTTGATAGTTCTTTTATATTATTATAAAATATTGAAATGTATATTACAGGGATGTTGCACTGAAATTACTTTATATATTTTTTATGATAACTTTATACACAATTTATATAATTTACAATTATCTTCATAAAATAATGTTTTTAGTGAAATTGTAAAATATGTTAATAGTTTTTAAAAAAAATTTAAATTGATTTTGTTTACCTAAACCAGTAGTACTGAGCCTTTTTTTTTAATCCCTGTACCATCTACATATTTGAAATATGATTACTTACAACTTAATAAAAAAAAAAAATACTTCAAAATGCATATATCAGTAAAGAAAAAGGTTTTATTAATAACTAATTATAAAATATAATTATAGTATGTATACATGGTGATTTTTTTTTATCATAAACCGGTAGTTATCTCCGAGAATTTTAAGTGAATTTGATTTCTGTTTTTTCTAATTATTATGGAATCTTTTAATCTTTATTCTAAAATTATTTTTAATTTTTAATCCTACTCCTTTTACCTTAAATAAGTATATACTTTTGATTTTTAAATAGGAACTCCTTTTTATAAACACAGATTTGAATAGAGAATATTTTTCTAGAAATTTGAATATGCTTATAACTAAAAACTGAATTTAATTGCATAAAAAATAAAAATAATTAGATAAATGTTACTTTTTTTAATTAAAATTAATAATAAGATACATTTTTAAATTATTTTCATTAAAATTAAATCTTCTATTACTTAAAATATGTTTGTACAAAGAAAAACTAAAGTATACCCTAGTTATTGGTGCATATTTAAAACAATTTAATAAAGTATGCATTATATCTAAATTAACATTTGTTTTACCTGACATGACTTCATATTAAGACTTAAAAGTTGTATACCTTTCTTTTTTTTCAATTACATACATACATTTTTTTAAATTTTTTTCCCATTTGGATGAGGAATATTTGTTAAAATATCTTTAATTTTTCTAAAAATATCTATGCTTTTCAGTAGGTAACTATTAGATTCTTTCAAATTTTTAAGATTCATGGATAACTCTGATAAGTTTAATTTTATGAATGCTAAACCACATTTGACTGCATTATTTTGTACAAGTTGTTCAGCTTTTCGACACGTGTAGCATCATCTGTTAAACTTTCAATCACGTTCTTAAACTCTTCAAAATGATTATTTGCATAGAAAAGTGCAGCATTTAACCATGTTCCCCATCTTGTAATAATAGGTTTGGGTGATTAAGGTATATTCAGCATTTCTCGTCTGTATTTATTTATTTTCGATGGTGCTTTTTAAAAACCTTTTTGTCCTGAAATAAACAAAATAAGTTACATATGTATTTAAATTTTAAATAGGTACTTATATATATATTACCATTGTTAATCAATTTATTAATTTCGGGATACAATTCTCGAATTTTCTCTTGAACTATCTAACTGCGTGCGCTATACATGTAATATGAATTCATTTCGGGAAAAATATTTTTAACGTTTATGCTGCTTTGATCATATAAGTACCAGCATTACTAATACAAAATAATACTTTTTGTTCAATACTAGGAATTATCTTTAACAAGGAATTAATAAACTGTCAAATAGTTTCATAATTGATGGATTCTAGTTATTTACATTTAACATGATTTACTAATTTACCAATTAATAAATTTGTAATAGTCAAACCTAAACGAAAATAGTATATTTTATTATATGAGAAATTAAAAAAATTATTTATACAAACCTTTTGGATTGGTTGTTTCGTCAACAATTATGAAAAGTAATTATTTCCAATATCACTAATTATTTGGTCCATAACGCTTTTATAAATATTTGGTATGTAATTTTTTCCTTTAAGTTCTTTCGTCCAAAATTGATTTGCCAGTATGTTTTTTCAAAAATAATTTTAACACATGATTGCCCAACTTATACAAAAGAATATTTGCAGCAACAAATGCATTACTTAAATCTTTAAAGAATACATTTTTAGTATTCAAATTTTGAGAAGTAATCAAAAGCTGTTTTTTTCTTTATTCCTTTGTAATGCATTTATGTGTTGAACTAAAAAAAATATACATGTATTTTTGAAATAATATGTAGGATGAGCAAAAATACAAAACTTACTTGTTTTGGAATGATGATCTAATAGATATTTTTTTCAGTAGATTTAGATTTATTACATATGAGACAATATATAATCTTTCCTTCTGATAAAATACTTCTTTATTTTCATTGTAAGGAGCAATCCAATTCGAAATTTTACTTTTTATAGTTGATTTTATTTTAGGCATTACGTTGAGTACGTTCACTGTGCGTTCAAACTGATCAAAAATTAGATCAAAGACAAGTAATCGCACATGAATCGCTGTACAACTATGTTGAATTTATCACCATATATATATATATAGACACTTATTGCTCGCTGGGCTCTCCAAGCTTCTAGAAAATTTCAGATGAACGATAAATGCCTATTATATAAAAACGTGGGAAAATTGAAAAAATTGCATTATAAAATTAAATATGCAGAATATTATTAGTATGTATCGGCTATATATTTAATCAGATCTGATTTATCTTTAATGCAAAAAAAATTGCAATATCAATTAAATCCAGTCTTAAGTTATAACAGTTTAAAGTTTAGAGGAATAGGGAAAGGTAGGTAATAGATTGGCAATTTATTACACTAGTGGCCTAATATGTATATTAGGGTGGTCCTTAGTTTTGAAGATTATTTTTGATGCTGGACCCCTTTATTTTTATGATTAAAATGTAATAGTTATTTGTGTGAAATTTGGTCATGATAACTTACCCCTTCCCGTGCTCCAAGAGGGTTGAATAATTAGGAAATAGGAAAGTTTTGTGGTTTTTCGTAAATAATTCAATAACTATATCAATGATCATAAAATAATATGAAGCTGTTTGGTAACTCTTTTTAATATCTATTTAATTGTGATTGTAATACAATTTACTGTAAAATTTGTTTTTTGGGATGTTTCCAAGAAAAATAATTCAGGTATTGCAGAACTGATTTTTAAGGTTATTTAATTATATTTGTCAAATGGTTGAATATATAAAATGATGTTTAGTAAAAAAATGATACAAAATTTAATTAATTCAAAAAATGTTATTAATAAAAACTTGATAGTTTCAATTATTAAAATTGTATACTACTCGGTGTCGTCTGTGGGAATTATATATAATTTGTTTTTATTGTTATCGCTTAAGGTATTTGACATATATTTATAGAAATATTAGATTTGATCTGCCCAACTAGATTGACATTTTTATAAAATTTACATTTATTTTAAAAAATTCACATCAATGTTTTAGAGAAGAAAGTACTAAAAATAAAAATCGGTCAGAATTTTTTAAATTTAAATTTAAATTCAAATTTTGTTATCGTTCATTGAGATGGAAAGCTAGTTCCTGAATTGAGTTGTCAGGGAGAACTTGATTGTTTATCGATAATTTTAACTACTACTAATCTAGAACAACTTATTGGCATTCCACAAATTCCATCTTGAGTAGATTTTGAAATGATATTTACCGTATTCAATACACTTGAATAATGGTTTCTACATGAAAAAGTTCAAAGATTTGTGTTTGATGTAACGCCCTCGAATACAGGTAGACTCAATAAAACCTGTACTCTGCTGGAACAACAACTAGAAAGAGAAATTCTTTACTTATTCAAGTTTTGATTGTTGAAACAAAATTCTATGTGTCATCCAAACCAAGTATTGCTATTTTTAAACGTTTTAAGAATGCATTGAAAACCATAAACACGAAAAATATATCTGTATACGACTTGAATGAAAAATTAAAAAATATTTTGTCTTCAGTACGCCAAGAAATGTTGTCATTTTGTTCGAAAATGATTACAGAGATGCAACCCAGAGAAGACTGTAAAGAATTTTTGGAACTTGTGAAACACCACCTGGTGGGATAAAAATTAAAAATCTGATAGGTTGGTGTGTATCATACAGCAAGATCAATGGTCAAAGGGATTTATTGTTTGAAAATATTTTTAGATTATTGATAGATAAGATTGGATAAGATTGGATAGATAAGATTTAGATAAGATTGGAATTCAACGTGACAGTGACAGAAAAAAATGCGTATAGCAAAATTTGAACTTTTATTATTAAAATTTATATAGTTATATACGGTAACAAATTTTAGCAAGGAACCTTTGAATGGTTTAAATTTAATATGTGCATTGCATGAATATACGATTGAGGATAAGCAGTTAGCTCTTTTTTCACATACCACTAGTTTTCCATATTATATTGCTACTGGTTGAAGAATCATTGGCAAAAACTATTATCATTAGAAATTTAATATTTAAACAATTTATTGTTAATCAAAATTTTTAATGAATTAATTGTTATTATACCTCACTATAATTATTATTATATTTGTTGGTATTTTATTATACATATATATTAAATAATAAACAAAAAAATTAATGTTAACATTGATTATAGAATATATTATTCTATAATTAATAATTTTATGTAAGTGATTTGTTGAAATCTATTATGCCCCCTTCAAGTCCCACTAATATAACAAACATATTTGGTGATCACATATAAATTTAAAATGTTTCCATTATTCTGTTTGAAAATTTTTATAATTATAAACATGACTGTATCCATCATTTTTTTTTAGGAGTTTTCATGTTAACAATGACTACATAATAAAAAATGTTGTGACTAGTTAATACACAAAACAATATTTTTGAAGATATTTGGGGGGGGTGGGGTTGCTCTCTCTGAATTTGGCTATAATAGTGTATGAACCTTTTTGATATTTATTTGAACTTAAAACCTTATCAAAAAAATTATTTGTTTTTTCAATTTTTTAATATATTTTTTTTTTCCACAGGATTACTCAAAATAAATTATAATGGTTATTCATCTCACTAGGGGTCATATGTTAAGTTTATTTTTGTTAGGATTAACATGTTATAAGTAGTTCAACCATTTTTACATATGTGAATGAAGAAAATCTAGTGAAACAAACACACTTTAATCTACTTTGGTTGTGTTATTTATTTATAAAATAAACATAAGATGTGTCATTTATATTTTATTTATTTTACCACAGTATAATAGTTTTATTTTTGTCTTTTTAAGAGTATAAATTTTAAAATGTCTCTTAACAAAAAACACAAATTTCAGTGAGATTATTACATTCAAAAATAAATTCCGGAATGTTTTTGAATATTCCCTAAAGGGTTAATTATTTTATTATTTTTATTCCTTTTTTAACTTATATTTTTTTAATACAGATGTAATGAAATTTATTTTGTATATATAAAACAATATGGTAACATTTTATTTGTATAATACGTTTTTAGTGTTCAAAAAATATTTTAAATAGTGTTATAAATTTTAATTATTAATTTTATAATATGATTACCAAAAATACAAATTTCTAAACAGCTACAAAAAAAAAATATTGCCATAAATAAAAAGTTAGGTGTAATATTATGTGAACATATAATAAATCTGATATAAAACATTTGCATGGATTGTGTATTATTTATGCATGGTATAAATTAAATACATACACATGTACAATAGTAATTGATGAATTTATGTATCTCTCCGAAAGTGTTAAGTATTTTTTCTGATGTCATGAATTTTTGTCATATTTGAATGTATACTCCTTTTAAGGGTAGACCCGTCAACAGGGATGAATTATTGTTTTTAAACCTCATTATAAAATGTTATATCTACGTATTGTTATATATTTAACTAAAATATTTATGTAAAAGTAAAACAAAACTACAATTATGAAGTAATATGGAATATATATAATTATTATATAATAATTATATATAATTATACAAATTAAAAATTATCATTTATTTTAGGCTTACGCCTGATATCAATGTATTATGATATATTTTTTTTTAACATATAATTGTCCATACAAATCAAATTTTTTGAAATACTATGTATAGTGTTGATAAGCTTATTCAAAATTTTATATATATATATATATATTATAATATATTATATGCAAATGCAAAGTATTATATAATATATATGTTTGTGTGTAAACTGTAAATGTATTGAACAATTTATTTATTTCAATTTGATAACAAAATATATATGGTATAGTTTCAAGTGTTTGTTATTATTTGTCATTTAGTAAGTGATTTATAAATTGTTTGTATTTTTGTGGTCACAATTTTTCACAATAAATATAAATTAAAGAATTTATAGTGATATTTTTTAAACCTTACTAGAAAAAGATTTTGTCATAACAGTCAGTAGGTATACCTTAAATGTAAGCATTTAATATCCAAAAAATGGATTATAAGTTATAACATTTTATTAAAATGTTAACAATCTTTCAATTTATTTTTTATTTTTCATTCAAGTTCTGGTCAAAAGCATGTAAATCAGAAATATACTTAATATGAATTAAGTTATGTTGTAACTTATGAAAATCAATAACAAATATAAAACGTGATGATCAAAAATAAAATAAAAATATTTATACAATTATTGAAATATTAATAAAAATTAGAATTGTAAAACAAAATTGTGTAAAATTATCAAACATTTCTATTTAGCCCAAATAATAAAAAGAGCTGATACTAGGAATGGGAGCGACCACTGTTATAGGAGAGAAATTGGGAAGATAGGATACATAAGGTTATTTCATTTATATCTGTAAGCAATGATAAACCATTGCTTGATGAAAGACGATTCCAAGCGCAGTTCGGTAATACATAGTTTGAAATATCGTAATTTTCGTTTAAATTTGATTTCAAAACGTTTATTAAAAAAAAAAGTCGTCCCATGATTTTGGAAATTTTACCACGTCTAGGTAAGTCCAATATAACTATTATTACCAAGTTTTAAGTCTCTACGTGTATTTATAACCGAATTATAGCAAAAAATTCCCTTAAATTAAAATTCCTTAAAAGTTCAAAAGTTTTGGCGATGATACCATTAGAAAGTAAATCAAAAAGGTGTCTTGTGATTTTTCAATTAAATCATTTTTTCTGGTAGAAAACGTCCGTGATTTTATAAAATAACGAAATCGTGAAATTGTACGTTTTCCTACGTTTTTTCACATTTAAGTGCTTTCAATTAAAAAATGGCGTCAAAAATCAACAAAAATGACTTATTTAAAGTACAATTTAGACAACTTTAACTTTCAGAAAAATTGCTACACGTAAAAATCGGAGCAAGTTTACTAGGAAAAAACGTGTCCACAGACTAGAACAAAGAAAAAAATAAACATCGTAAAACCACAAGCTCCCTCGCTACTTAAAATTACTACGGAATTAAAAATAAATGAAAATTTCAAGTGCCTATAAATAGCTTAAAAGCAGCCATAATAATTTCAAAATTGTATACATCTAAAAAGATTAATACAAGTATTCGGTGAAAATATTGGGTTTCTATAATAATTTTTAAACAAAATCATCATCAAAAATAATAAAACTTATTTTCGTAAAGTTGTCTCCACTCACATGGACAAAATGACACATGGACTCTAGACCGATTGAAACAATGTAGATTGTAATAAACATAAAACAATTTAACCTTTTTCAGACCAACTTCGCATAGCTGTAATACTATCATACATCATACTATCTGTATTACATGGTTTCGATCGTGTGCAGTTTATATGTGGGTATAGTTAATCGCGTGGGATATTATGTGGTATAATTTACAATGTGTTTTTAAAATTCTTTTAGTCCCCATGTGCATACATTTTAGATTCTGAGTTGAGCGAGAAATGTATTGGTTTTACAATGATGTTTATTTATGTATTTTTATTTTCTGTAAACAACTTCTACCAGCAATTTTGCTCCGATTTACAATTATAGCAATTTTTCTAAAAGAAAATCTGACTGGGATGGTTCGTTAGGGAGGCCATTTTTTGATTTTCCCAGCTGTTTCCATAATAAAAAGGAAAAACCGGGAAAATAGATGCAATATTAAACAATTATTATTACAGAAAATATATAATGGTATGTAATTATTTTACCATAATGTGACATATATTTTGTTGACAAAGTAAAGCTATGCTCAGAATCGTTTTTCATTTGTAATGGTTAATCGTTGCATACTTATATAGATACATTAAATATTTAAATTTCCTCTTTACCTTCCTAACTTCTCATCAACAACACCCACCTACGTTTGAAGTCCTAGTTTTGGTATGTCCGTCTTCTTTCTATTTGTTAATTCTTCTTTTGGCTTTTACCAACCAACACAATATCGCGCCACCTATTCCCTTCGAGCACAATTTCTCTCCACGCGTCTATTCCCATATTCCGTAAGGTCCTCTTCGACTACATCGATTCACCTCTTCCTAAGTCTTCCTCCAGGTCTCTTTTCCTGAGGTTTCCATTATAGTATAAATCTAATTGTATCGCTTTCCTCTCTTCTCTAATGTGTTCAAGCCATTGTATTTTCCGTCCTTTGATAGATCTGATCACCGGTGCCACATTAATCACACTATACAGTTTCTTGTACCTTCTCCAACTATTTATTACTTCATCATAGACTGAGCCGCATTTTTTTCTCCGGATTTTGTTTTCAATCATCCTCAATCTTCTCTCAGTTTGTTTAGTCATCGTCCACGCTTCGCAACCATACGTGAGAGTTGGTCTTACTATCGCTACGTTTAATCTTACTTTGGTTTTTCCAGAAAGAAATTTTTACCTAAACAATTTTGTTAACATGAAAAATGTTTTTCTGCCTTATTTATTCGAATACCTATCTCCTTGGACCAATCATTTTTCGTATTCAGAGTTGTACCTAGGTAGGTACTTAAAATCTTTGACTTTTTCATATATTGACTCTTCCATATCTCAGGGGTCTTCATCGCTTTCGAGAAATTTCATTATTTTGATTTTATCGTCATTAATGTACAATCTTGATTTTTTCACCTCATTCTTAAGTTTTTGGATGCGTTCGCTACGTTCTCTAAGGATTCACCTAGAATATCCAAGTCATCTGCAAAGCCTAGAACCCGTATTCTGTTATTATTATTTCGTGATTATAGTTTATCGGTTTGAAATTAAAAATGTAAATATGATGTCAACTATAAAATACCTATACTAAATACCAATTTTCTATAGAGGTATTTTAAAATAAATGATCATTTTTTCGAAAATTAGTCGAAAATAGAAAACAAATAGCTTTGTGTCACAACTCCAGTATCATAACTCGATCTAGTACCTTCGTCCTATTTACTCTAGATGGAATCCTTAGTCGAAGTTCGCCAAAGTCCTTTGGGGAACCTATTGGTTTCTGTGAAAAAGAACACTTTTGAAATACATTAGGAAACCGCCTAAAAATCGGGATGAATGGCAACTCTAATTTATCGCCGATTAAAATTAGTATCTTATATCATATCTTGTTCAATGAGGATAACCAACTAATTATTTAGGATCGCCAAAAATACAAAATATTGGGTCCCCGTGTATAAAATATTTATTTAATGAATCGTAACAGTAAAAAGGTTGAGAAACACTGGTGTACACGATAATGTTGATGGTAATAATATACATGAATCATTACAATCAGGTATATGATTAGTAAATTATGAAGGTATGAAGGTAAATGATTCATGTACAATGAATGTTAACAAGGGCTGGGATTTCAGTGCATTTTGCATTTTTTCCCTAAAGATTGTGATCCCGTGTGGTGTTCGCGTATAGTCACAAATTCGTTTCATGAATTTTTGAATAAAGTTAATTAAAGTTGAATTAAAGTTTGTTTTGCATTTTTGGTAAAATTACGGTGTCAGTCATTTTCTTAATTATTAGAGCATTTTAGGGTTTTAGGGGGTATTTTGGATCCAAAATTAGCTAACATAATTTGTACATAAATATAACATACTCGTATTTTGTAGTACAGTGTAATATACATATTATTGGACAACAGTAACAGCAAAATCTGAGATATATCAAAATAACTAGAGTTAAATAGATAAGGCAAAACCAACGTGTTATTATCAGAATCATCAGATTTCCTGTTAAAATAAACCGGTAGAGCAGTTAAACCGACTATATCGTTCTAGTGGGTATGAGTTTTGTTGTCGTGAATTGAATTTATAACATTATAATTTGTATCAAAATTATCAAAAATAAACACGTTTTTAGTGCATTACATGGAATTTTTAGGGTTTTACAAGGATATTACATTCCCAGCCTTAACGATGGCTAACGAGGGTTTTTGTATATATTTTTTTTTTTTTTTTTCGAATGCAATCAGCATCAAAAAATAATAACGTAATCTGTTTTTAATAATATAATATTATATTAGACAAATAACGAAAACCACATATCACAACGGTAATGAAAATAGCACATTAAACGAACTATAGCGCAAGGGCACAAATTTGTCCGTCACGACGGGACGGGCCGTACTACAGTGTTGTTGACGATGGTGTCACGGCCACGCGAACAGTAAATATCACCCGTTCGTCTTCTGACGCCCTCGTCCGGGCAAGACCCGTCCACGTCGCCCGCGCGTGTTTGTGCTCCGGCCGTCGCACGGCACTGGCACGGCGGCCCCGCACGCCGGGCGAAAGTCGTCGTTTTCGACGGGACGTTGTAACTGTCTGATTCTAGTGCTGACGCCCAGGCACCCGATGTCGCCAGCGAAGAAGTCGGCAAAGTTGCTCTCCACGTACCACGGGTAACCGAGTAGCCCCGCGGTCACCATGAACGGTACCCTGGACTTTTGGCTGCGTAGCACGTACCTGTATAGCGTAACGATAACCGTTGGCGATTACATGCTCGGGATGATGTCTGCCGCGCAGTCGTCATTTCGATAATGATATTACTCAGAGCTGTGTGTGTGTATGTTGTTGTCGTTTGCAGACGACATTGAACTATACATAATATTTACGATTGAGCGCACGTGCGTGTATGTTTTAAATTCGGACCATCGGTTTTACTACTGTGTTTTGTTTTTTATTTTTTCGGTCTGTGTGACAGCTTTTCTACCGGAAAACTTTCACCGCAACGTAGGCTGTAGCACCTTTTCTGATAGGTAATTCTCTCTAGTCGGTGTACCGAGGAGGTAATTTTTCGATTTATCAAGGGGTTCTCGAAATAATCGAAAAAAACCGCAAAGAAAATTATTGGTAAAACGGTAAATTTTTACGGCCCGCGCCGCAGCGCCGCGGAGTTTTCATTGTTCTTATTATGTTAACACGGCGTTTTATACCAGAAATATTGCTCCGATCCAAAACTGACATGAGATCGATTTTGTTCCTTATAATATTTCGCCGTTGACGGTGAAAGTTGCTTTTTGATATCTAAACTATTATCTAATTATCGGGAAAAACCAAAAGAGACGAAATTACGATTACGAAATAGAAACGAAACAAAAACGATAGTGGAACGGACTACACTGATAATCGAAGAGCGGGCGAACAATTGTAGATTGAAATCAGTAGCGCGAGCAGAATTTTTTTTTCGGAAGGGGTTTTTGCTTATAACAATTTCCTAGAGAGGAGATGGCATATATTACAGTACAGTACTATCACTATTGTTATTGAATAAATGATTTTCGAAGAAATTAAATTATATTTTATTCTGTGATAAAAGCACACGACATTTATTCGTGTGTCGTTGACTGTAACACTTGATTTAAAAAAGGACTGACATACTTCACGCGTGGGCGCAACCACTGTTGTAGGTGGGAAGTTTGGATACAGGTAGGATACAGACGGTAATTTAATGTATATCTGTAAGCAACGATAAACCATTGCTAACGAAAAAAACGATTCTGAGCGGAGTTCAGTTGATAGTGTTGCTTTGTCAACAATACAATATAGTATGTAGTATATCTGTCATACGTCACACGGTAAAATATTTTCATAAAAAAAATAATTAATTTTCATGTCTTGTGTAAAGACATACTGAAAAATCAAAAAAAAAAAAAAAAAAAAAAATACTGTAGCAAAAATAGTCTTGCTGCATATAGAGCGAATGGTTCGCCGCAGTCCGGCGCGTCGCAGCGTCAGTCGCACACAATGGAATCCGTACTCGAGCCGTGGGGCCGAAAAATCGACAGTGCGGCTGAAATTTAAATCGCGCCGCGCTGCGTCGCGTCTGCAGACACGTGTGTACAGGAATCGCACCTTGAGGGTTCGTGATTATTTATTAACCGTCACTGCGTCAGTTGATTTTACAATTACAACAGAACAGCGTCGTAAGACGTTTCTTATCGGTTAAAAATTAAAGACACTTCGGGGGTCTCGTTATCGCACCTCGTTGTGTAACCAGTATATCTTTAATCGTGGTGTTACTGCAGACGGTGGGAGAACTATGAGTGGAATTAATAGAGGATTAATTGGAGAATAAATGTAAAAATTGGCGGAAGAAAGATGTGTGAAGTACCTATGATATTTCATCGCGTCATACGTCAACAGGCATTGTGTTGCAAAGTTTTAGCATGGGATGATTTTAATGAATATTGTGGTGTCGACAGTTAACTACATACGTAAATATGCTTCAGCACATCGTCAGTTTAAAATGTTTTTTGGTTATGCTGAATGTGAGGATATAATATATTTTTCCGAAATAAAGTGGTTGAGTAGAGGTGTAGTTTTGAAACGGTTTTAATTTTACGAAATGAAATAAATATTTTATGTCAGAAAAGTTTAAAAATATGTACCAGAATTATCAAATGAAAAGTGGGTTCATAATCTTGAATTTTTAACTGATGTAACAACATTACTGAATACGAAACTGCAAGGTAAAGACAAATTGCTGTCAGATATGTATTCAGATATAAAATCATTTCAAGTGAAATTAAAATTATTGCACAGACATATTAATGAACAGCGATTGGATCATTTCGTATGTTGTACAATTATATTAGAATCATCCAAATTAACTTTATATTGGGAAACTATACAAATTTATGTACAAGAGAAAAAAAACAAGTTGATTCAAAATCCTTTTTCTGTTGAAATTAACGATGTTGAATCTAATTTACAGATGAAAGTCGTTTAATTGCAAAACAACGATGTTCTTAAAACTGCTTTTAAAGAACGTAATGGCCTAAAAATATTTTATTCAAGTCTTTCTAAAATAGAAATGAAAAGCTGTTACAAAATATAGCCCTCGTAAGTAAAAATGTTGCCGACCTGTAGCCTAGATCATAGGTAAACAGTGCACGAGGCACGGGGGCTATGGCCAACCCTCTCCTCCAATTGACGGTATTATATATTTGGTTTTAAGATTTATGTAAGTAGTATTATAGACGTGGTGCGCACGTACCGGATACAGCGACTTAAAGACGGAGGGGGAATCGGGTGCAAAATCCCTCCCTCCCCCTGGTCTTTATTTTAGATTCAGAGTGGAACGAAGAATGCATTCACAAAGATATATTTTTTTTTTATGTGAACACTTTTTCTACCAGGGACCCTATTCTCAAACTCATACGAATAGGATCCGTTTACGAACTATTCACATACAATATTTCCATGAACGAATGGAAAATTGTATTCTCGAACTGATTTGTTCAAACTATCGTTTGTAGGAGAATGATAAACCATGAACAGCGGCAATGTCGAAAAATATTTGATTTGCCATGGAAAAAAAAGTTCAATGTGATAATTTGATGTATACATTGACGCGCTTAATTATTTATATACCTATTTCATTTGAGTAATATTATTGTAATTGTTATAGTACACATTATTATATTTGTTTCCTATTTATCATAATTCATAATATTTTCTTTCCGCTAATATTCAAATTGAATTATAGTGTACAGTTAGGTACACTTTATTATTTACTAGAAAATGTTGGAAAAACGAAAAAAATATCAATCGATAACGAATGAACAAAAGTCGGCAATGGTTGAATTTTTAAAAAGTCATCCAGTTTACACAAAGGCATTTACTCAGCTACATTTACTCAAGCTAATAGTATGCAAAAATAGCAAGGATTAAATGATATACTTAATTGTATACCGGGTCCAATAAAAAACTAGAAAGCTTACCGCAGAGTTAATAGATTGTATAATAATTATTATTGTTTACACCACGTGACAGATATCGGCCATATTACATTATCTTTTCTATGAACGTATTGTACGGTAAAAATCTAATAAATGATTATTAATATCAGTATAAACTGGATCTGTATACGGAAAACTATATCCACCTGCCTGCCCTAACAGAAACTATAGTGTGAATGTTTTTCACATAACATAACTGATTCATATATGGATAGGTTTTGAGAACACGACTTTTTCTTATCATGTGAAAATGACAATTTCTGTAAACGGATCCTGTTCGTATGAGTTTGAAAATAGCGGCCCAGATAGCTTACTGAAACGCATACTCGATGTAGATCCTTTTCTGAAAGAAAATTTTCTTGGGGTAGTGCTATAAGTAGTTCATTTTTCGATTTTCTCAGGAGTTTTGTTATCGAATGTGAGAAATCGAAAAAATATGGTGAAAAACGGGAAAATATACGAAATATATAAGTAGAATATTATGATTTATTTTATTCTGTGGAAAATTTTTCTACCAGCAATTTTGTTCCGATTCACAATGATAGCACTTTTTCTAAAAGGAAATCTTACTGGGGTAAGGTACTTTAAAGATTTCATCTATTGATATCCTCAGGAGTTTTCTCAGCAAATGTGAAAATCCGAAAAAAAACGTAGGAAAACCAGGAAAAACGAGAAAATCTAATCAATTTAAACAAATATTATTAAAGAAAATATATAATATATAATACATAATTAAATAGGCATATTTAATTATTTTACCATAATACGACACATGTATTGTTGACAAAGTATCACTATCAACTGAACTCCGTCCAGAATCATTTTTTCGTGAGCAATGATTTATCCTTTCCAACTTTCTACTTAAAACAGTGGCTGCACCCGTCTCCGTTATCCTAGGATAGCTTTTTTTTTTTTTTTTATTTAAGTATTATTTACATTGCCCGTCGTAATATGTGTACTACTACTACACCCGCAAACAATCGTTTTCTTGTTTAAAGAGAAAAAACGTTTATAAACGTAAGACAATATTATTATTATTAGGACTGTGAATTTGTAGGAAAATGCATTTTTTTGATTATTGTGAAATGTAGCTTTCTAAGTACATAATTTGAATTATGTACTAACAAATTCATTTATGAAACTTTTATTTTGCATTTTTTGGACTTTTTAAATCATATTTTCCTTTATTAGTTCATTTTCCAGTATTTTTAATCAAATCCCGTCAATTGTCATCTTTATACACGTATTTTTTGTTTTACATAGGCTATATAATGTGAATAAACGTCAAATTTATATTTTATAAAATATTATATCACACAAGCAGATTCGATAAAATAAGGCAATATTGCTTAGATTAGTGATTTGTGGGCTTGCGATATATCAATATTAGTAATATCAGTAATATCAAAATAGACATAAAAATTAAATTAAAAACAATTTTAAGTGCATTTTATGTTGCATTCTTTGAGACTTTAAATGTAAATTTTGTTGCACTTTTTTCATTTTTTTGAGTTTGATTAGTTAATGTTTAACGTCATATTTTAAGGTTTACCACTGCATTTCATTCACAGTCTTAATTATTATGTTTCGAGATGGCCTTTTAATTCTAAAACCCGCGCTTCTCTCCCGAAAACAAGCCTTCATGACCCCCTACCAGCCCGTCTGTAGAATTTAAAAAAAAACCGTCCGTCTCCTCTCAAGTTCCAAGACCTAGTCCAAATCATGCCACTGACCGGATAAACCCGGTTCGGCACCCGAGTGGTAGCAGCGAGTAGTAGGGGAAGGACACAGGGGTACGTGCCCCCCCTGTCAATGGACTACAGTTTTTATTTATATATTTTATATTAATTTAATATATAATTTATACTAAATTGATTGAAAATATAAATAATAAGCCCCCCCCTTTGAGAAAATTTTGGATCCGCCACTGTCAACGAGGTTTGAGCTTGAACTCGTATATTTATCAATATTAGTTGCCGTTGTCGCGGTGGTGTTTATCGAACCGTGTGTTTAGACGTGTAAGACATTTCGTTTACGTAAACTTTTATAGTATGTATGTATATACATACTATACAGGTGCTGATAAATTTTCGATAAGACAATCATTATCTAAAAAAAAGATTAAAATTTTCGAGTTTGAGCTCTTTTGGTCCAGAGGGAGCCGCCAAAAGTTTCCTAAAGTAGCGGGAAAAAGATTATAAATTATTTAACTGACGCAATTCACAGAGTGCAATTCAGTTTCTATTTTCGGGAATAATTTGACAAAATTGTCCGGATTCCCAATAGTTTTTCTATGCAGTTTATAAGAGACCAACTAAAAAGTCATTAATTAATTAAGACACATTAATTTTATTTTTGTTGAGTATTGGGTTTTTTCATTTTTAATAATTTGTCATTGCGTAAACTAACGTAGTTATCCTGAATGTCTTGTTTAATCCCGACTACCCACCTACAACAGTGGCATACCCGTGAGTAGTATTAACTATTGTCTATTTCGTCTTCATAGTTTTCTTAAATTTAAACAATAGTTAACAGGTTAGTGAAAATCATGTTACGTAAATCGCGTTTATATCGGTCATTACTCGCGTTTAAAACGCGAGTAATTCGACCATTATTGATAAAATACATCAGCCTCGTCGTATACACACGGCTAACGATATCCATTGCAAATGACGAATACACATATAACTCGTCATCAGAACGGAATAAGACGGCTGTTCTTTTTTCAATTGAAAAATTTGTCCCGGGTCTAACACGGGTTTTTAGAGGAGAAAACAATTCCAACATACCGAACGTCGGCTTACATTTAATATCGGGAGGAAAGATGTTTTTCCTATAAATGAAAAAAATAAGACTGGCCATTTACCAGGGCGTTTTAAGACCGCCGATTAAAGTGAATTCAATTGTGTGTTCAGCGAGCGAACGCCGCGCGCCTACGGGGACTGACGGTAATGTTTCGCATTTCGCCGCCGTACCGACGCGGCCTATATTTTATTTGGCGCGTTCTGCACGCGGGTCGACGGGCGATGATATTATTTACCTAAAATTTTCGGCGCGCAACGGCGTGTTCACGTCCCAACTCAGTACGTCTCCGTTGTCGCCGGTCCGGAAGTAGATGACCGACCCGCGGTCGGTGCCCAGCACAATCATCTTGCTCGGTTTCCGACCGGTGATCACGGTCGCCAGACTTACCGTGGTCTCGTCCATGGCGTGCACCGGCACGTACATCATGTTGCACGACATCCCATACGTGACGTAAAGCCGCAGTTGGCGGACCGGGCCGCCGCCCGCGGCCTCGTCCGTTACGTCCACGCGGGCCATCGCCATGTACATCATGCCCCGGCGTCCGCATTGGCCCGCGGGCACGTACACTTTGAACGAACGGTCGCAGCACACGTTGTACACTATCACGTTCCCCGTGCCGGCGTCGGACACGTACACGAACATCCCGGCGCCCGTGCTCTGATCCACCAGGATCGACTGCAACACGCTGGCCCGCGTCGTAGCACGCGACAGATCGATTGCCCGTACGATCTGTGTGCCCAAGATACATTGCGCCACGCACGCGCAGAATAATAATTTACAACAATGCACAGTGCACTTTTAATTTCGGTTTTGTTTTGTTTGCTTATTAGCATACGTTTAACATGGATCGCGGATCGATGTAAAATTACAATCGAGTGTAAAATAATCGACCCGACGATCGGAAAGTCTTTCGGACGGTTTAAACAATTTGTACACCGTTTAAGAAAATAGCCGAGTTCGGTTTTTTCGCTATAGCTAATAGACGAAGAACGGAGGGATAAAGTGATTTCCCGTTTGCGTTGCGAAACGATTTTCGTTTTGGAATTTTCGACTTACGCGCGCGAGAAAAAACAAAAGAAATTACCTATGGAATAAAACAACGTTCAGCTTGTTGACCGGGTCACAGGCGCGTTTAGACTTTCACGGTCGGCGTGGCGGGCGCCGATATTTGTCGGGGAACCCCACTAATAGAGGAACGAGAAGAGCAATTATTACGGCACTTGAATATTTCATAAACTTAAAATTACATTATTTCTCGACTATTGTTACGCGCAAGTGTAATATCGAATAATACGCGTCACGTGGTTTTCGGAACACCGTTACCGCGTTAGATATCCTCGGTGCGGTAGGCGCCGGTGTGGTACACGTTCGTTGAATATCAATGTATTATACCAGTATCGGTTAATGCCCGCTATAAAATTAAGAAAACGAAAACCGATAAAATCGCATTGATATTATTTCAATAACGATTAATACGGTATTCCGGATATAATTGAACGTTAAACTACGTGCGGGGTAAACGTATTATTTTCGACGGTCCGGGAAAAACTGCAAACAGTAATAATACGAATGTAATCAATGGAACGCGTCGTTTACTTTATGCCCGTCAAGTTGGCACCGGCACGCTATGACTAGTATCGATATTTCGCTGAGAATTCGCTGGATTACGCCAGGGCCTTTTTGAATTTCGCTATGGCCCGCAAACTTCGAAAATCCACAAACGAACGTGCTGGTGCTATTTTTGTGGCTGCACCGGCACAATGTTTGATTCAAGAAAGAATTTTGCCAATATATTCAGCCGAATTTGCTAGATTTTGCCTGGGTATTTTTCGATATTACTAGGACCTCTGTCGCTTTCGGGAGAGGTTTAAAATTTGACTTCAACATCGGCATATTGTCCGTTTTCAAAAAAAAAAAAAAAAAAACGATGCCAATATAATATTTCGGAGATACCTGGTTATTGCGCTGAGCCCGTAGAGTAATATTATCCTCTATGGCCGAACCATTGAACAAACTATATTTGGAACGTGATGTGTTAATCTTCCTCAGGGGCGGAGTGGCCGGTCTGTAAATGGGAATTTTAATGTCAAATTTTGACGAAAATCGTTTCAGTAAAAAGTAATGATGAACAAATCTAGTTTCTGATCCATACAAATTGTTTCAATGTATATTTATTTTATTACTACATGACAAATATAGTTTTAAAAAGCAACATTCTTCTCAGAATCGTTTATTGTTAGCAATGATTAATCTTTGCTTAAATTATTCTTCTCTATATCTCTTTAACTTCCTAACATCCCAATTTTTCATCGTCCACCCATCGTGCAAAGTATGTCCGTCTATTTTTCATATTGTTAACAACTTTTCTAATAGAATTTATTAGTCTGACGTACTAAGTGTAGCATCAAATGTAAAAAATTGAATACAAGATACATCGTAATGACTATTAAACAAATTTCATTTTGATTGATGTAATAAAGACGATTTTATCACTATATCGTTATTATTTTTTTTTTTTCCAATACCTAACTACTGACAATACTGATCATGTATCTACTTTCAATAATAGTATTAAATTCTATTATCAAGTTAAATTTTATTTGCTTTATAATCGGTTTAAAATTTGAAACCTCACCTAGAGACGATATGGGTCCTAGCAAAGTACAAAAATGCCCTAAAACAGAATCTAGCAAATTCGAGTGATTATATTGGCATAATTTTTTTTGGGATCGGACAATGTGCTAGTGCAGCCACAAAGATAGTACCGGCATGTTTGTGGATTTCTAAAGTTTGTGGGGCCTAGCAAAATTCAAAAATGTCCTATCAAAATCCAGCAAATCCCTATAAAAATATTGAAACTAGTTGTAGATTCCTAAAATAATGTGACAATGCCAACTTGACGGACGTGTTTATTTTTTATACTAACGCCTTTTTAACGCGTTTATATAATTATCACGTGATTTTAAACGCATTTTCATGTTGTAATTGATCTTATATAATTAATTCGCATGCATATATCTACCCTCAAATAGACTTTTGTGATTATTATTATTAATTATATAATTATTTACCGTCCGCGTAAGGTCAAATGTCTCGCAATCGCGTGCCGCGGACTCGCGTCCTCTGTTGTTTTTATTCTTATCATCATTATCATCATTACCATTATTATTATTATCAGTCTAGTAAAGTACTTGAGTATTCAGATACTTTTTAAGTACACAAAAACGTATTTTAAATACATTTTAAGAAAGTGGCATAGTATTTACATACTTTTTCGTCTTACTTGATGTACAGAAACGATAATTTAAATAAAATAATTCAAATTTTACAACAATTTTATTTTTATTTATAGATTGTTCATTTTGCGTATCAGTATATATATAGTATATAGTATAATATATATAATATTATAATAAAATTAAAAATATTTTTACTTGAATAACATTTTCGAACAAAAAAAGAAATCTGAGTATTTGAAAATATCTACAAATACTTTTGAAAAGTATTTATATTTGTACTTAAATTTGTCCGAGCATTCAAAAACTTATTTAAATACTTTAGAAAATAAGTATCTGTATCTGTACTTGAATACTTTTTAAAAGTATCTTCTTTAATTACTATTTATTATTATAATATTATGTCGGTGCAGCAATAACAATAATTGTGCAAAATTACTATTTTGGGTACTATCGGCGGAGTGCTCAGCGAGCGGCTCAGGAAGCTTTAGTCCCCCCCTCCCGTCTACGGTTGGCCGTTTTAAAATAACATAATACAGGCAGTGTTGAATCCAGTCAATTTTTCTAGGGAGGGGCATTACTAAAATTAAACTATGAACTTTTTTTTTCTTATCTACCCTCTTTTTAAGATCATTCAAATTTGTTTAGTTATTTAATCAATTATTAATTTACCTATATTTAACAGGAAGGGCGAACAAAATTTCAGGGGGATTAATATATTTCCCTGACATATACCTGAATTAGACACTGAATACAGGACGATTGACAAAACGTATAAGACATCCGTTATTCATATACGTATTTTTCGGCATTAGAATATCTTGGGTATTTATGAAACAAGTGGCTATAAAATGTTTTATATTAGCGTTTTTTTTTTTTTATCACCCTTGTTTTAAGTGGTGAAACCGCTAATGGGAAAAAGTGCTCTAATCTTTACAAAGCGTCTGTAGTTCACGTGAAATATGGCTGTGATACTCTTGCCGAAAATAAATCGTGGCAGTAGATAATAATTTTTTTTTTTTTTACCTTCGTTTATTATATAACAGTATCACCTACCTAGGTATAAATACCTGCAGTCCTCTATTTGCTGCGTTAAGGTTGTATTACGGAAACAAAATATTATTTTGTGTTCGATTTATATCTGCGGTAATTAAAATGGAAAATGTACTTTGACGCCAGATTCGTATAACCAAGAAGGACATCAGATAAAAAAAACCTATATATTTATCTTGCGGAAATAATTATAATGATTGAATATAATAATATAGTACACAGCTTGAACATAATCCCGAATAAAACTCGCGAGAATAACGTATTACGGAGTATAGGTTTTTAGCGGTTCACTCTGGATCAAAGAGCTCAAAATTCGGGATTAAGTGTTTCTTCATAAGCGGTATTAATAAAACATTGGTTGAATTTCAAATATAAACTTCGCCACGAGGAAGAGCGTGTTTTGTTCAGCTTTTTACATTTTTCCAATTATCGAGAAAACTAAAAGGAAAATCAAAAATGCACATTCTCGGTGCATCAACTAGACAAAATTCGCACTCGGAAATCAGAGCGTAATTTCTAGTCGACTAATTATGTTCACAGACAGAAAACAAACACATCTTAGTAAAACCAGTATAACATATTTAGTAGGCACGTAAATTACAGAAAATAATTTCGGAAACTCCGGAGGAGGTTCAGAAGTAAAAAATTTATATATTTTGAACCACAGAACTATCTTCGAATTAAAAATTTGTATATACTTACGAAGTAGATGTATATATAATTATTACAATAATAATATTATTAATTATTATGAAACTTAAGCCAGTTTAATATAGTAGGTATAATAATAGAATATTATAAAAAACTTAACGGTTCTTTTTCCGATTGTGCCGGTAAGCAATCAGTGCATATTATACTTGTGTCCGAGATCGTTGTCTGTAGGTGACTTACGTCCTACTAAAAAAAGATTCAAAACGCAAAAAAAAAATAGCCTACTTGCGTCCAGGAGTACCTTTTTTTGAGCAGCCTAGTTGCATCCTAGTTTTTAATTATGTAATTAGTGTAGTTATGTATATACCAGTAAAATGGCGATTATTATATTATTATCTGAGGCCATAGAAGTAACCCATTTGCCACTAAATTTAGTACGAATAATTATTTTTGACGGTTTTGCCGATACATCTGAAATTGTTTTAGCCTATTACTTAATTTTTGTCGTAAAAGGTGTGCAGGTCTATTGGGAATCATAATTGTGTGAAGTTTAGAAATTATATTTTTTTTGATCATTCAGCTTTAAAAAACTTTTCGCAATTTTTATTTGTGCCCTTCCCCACCGTTGTGTTTCACATTCAAGCGTGTATTATGGTGATCGAACTTTTAGTTATTAATCATACGACTTTTTACAGTTGAACAATTTTTTGGTCAATTTAATCGACCGTAATGTATGATAATATATCCATCAAATTAAATGTGTATCAACTATCAGATATTGGTTTTTAAAAATATTTAGTACGTTATAAAATAAAGCTGGAAAATTAACGACAACGTTACGGCGCATATTAAATATTATATTCCACCTAACATTATCTTTATCTTCTACACGCTGTAGGTATTTCATCCATAATCTTAACGTTTAAGCGCAGTTTCATAGGTTCGGGGATGTAATTTAGTTATGACTATTATGATGACAGACGGGGAAAATAACACAGCCGAGTTTCCGGGTGAATTCACTATGCCTGCAAGCAGTGGCGTAGTTATGGGGTGGGATGATGGGAATGAATTCCCCCCCCCAAAGTTTTTTTTTTTTTAATATTACATTTATTTCACTCGTTGTCACAAATTGTGGAGTTGCAAATTTAGCAGAACTAACATAGTTTTAAAACCAGCTCTTCAAGCACTTACCGCGAGTGTGATGATAAAATATTTTCCACCATACTTAGTGATGATCAAAACAAGACCAAGACCAAGACTTTCAAAATCTTGGTTTTGGTCTTAGTTGTGCAGAGTCAGTCTTGGTCTTTGGTACACACGTTAGTCTTGGTCTTGCGCAAGACTCTTGCTATTTTAACAAAATGTATAAAAAAAAAATTTAAACACCTCATATAGGGCATGTTGTAAGGCGTATTATCAACAGACTACAAGTCCATGACAGTAAGAACATGATGTATAAGACATTAATTTAGGTACACAAAATCCAATACGGTAACCATATCATACAAACTACGAAAACAAAATTAAAAATATATTTACAATAATGGTGATACCCACCGTATTGGCTTATGTTATACTAATTCCAATTATTTCCAATCTTTTTTAAATAATTAGCCATTTTCTCGAAATATCGATAAAATTTAATAAAAAGATAGTGTCTTATTATTATCGTTATGAATTATTTAATTAAATCTAGATCCTCTTATGTGTTTCCGAGAGAAAAAAAATTGCAATAATGCTCGTTTCCATGACAAGGGATTGGGCCACAACTCACCGACTCCGGATAAACCATTACTAACCAAAAGACGATTCTGAGCGGAGTTTCGTTGATAGTGTTGCTTTTTCTACGATATACGGTATATGTCATATTATGGTAAAATGATTATAACAATTAGCGTTTTCATGACAACAATGATTGTTTACAAAAGATTAAAATAATAAAAAAAAAATTAATAAAAATGGTTGCCAATGACAACCTTATTTTTAGTCTTCCAATCTGTTTTAATCTAATGAACCGGATTTTCTTCATTATTTCGAATATTAATAAGAATTTCAGAAAATAACCTCTAAACCACCCAGGGAATATTTTCTTTCAGAAAAGGTGCTATGCTTGGAAATCGAAACAAGTTTTCTGGTAGTAGAAGTGTTCACATAACAAAAAAATAATTAACGTCTTTGTAAAACTAGTACATTTTTCTAAGAATCTAAAAATAACAGTGCGAAATTAAATGCTCTTTTTATTTTTAATAATTTATCATTAATTTTTTAGTACAACATATAAATTTATATTGTAATTGTAAATATAAACTATATAATGCCACAATGAATTTTCACATCCGTTACAAATTTAAAACGAACTGATTGCAAAAAAAAAAACGACCAATGGGGGGGGGAGGTTAAACCCCATGAATCTATCCCCCCCGAGCACGCCCGTGATTCTAATATAAGTTATAACCTAAATTCTAATGATTAGAATATAATATAATCCAATATAATAATAATATAATATAATAGATTGTACAAAGTTTAGGGGAATCCACAGCGATAATTGTTCTATGTTTGCACAAGGATACTATCGAATTCCATATATATAATAACATTCAGCTATAAATATTATGTGTCATAATGAAAAATCGTCAATATCAGTATATGATCTTGATGTAGTTCTCCTGAATATAGTGGAGACAAAAGATATTTTTGACGACAAGACTAAAATGGAAAACAAGATTTTAAATAAATTTGGTGCCTTAGTAGTAGGTATCGAATTATTTAAATGTACCCAGAGATATATTTGAAAAAAAAAACATAACTGGAGAATTGGCCCTTTGGCACGAGTATTGACTCAATGAGAAGCAATAACTATTACCTATGACTCCTATTGATGTTTTGAAACGTTGTGACTATGACTGCACTTTTGGGACCAATATTCTGTTAAATATACAGTAAGGTATACACAGAGGCGTATTTAGAATATATGCGCCCCGGGACGAAACTGTTTTATTGCCACCCCTTCTCCTACAAAATATTTCACCCACTAATCTTTACCTCAGACCTTCGCTCCCCACCCTAAATTACTGATAAATGTGTCCCTTGCTTGTTTTGAATAACATTTTAAAATTTATATCCTTGGGACAATTTACAATTATTTCAAAGTGTTTTATATTCAAATAAAAAATCTACTAGGATAATGGGAACGGGTGTAGTCACTGTTATAGGTGGGAAGTTAGGAAGGTAGGATACAGAAGGGAATTTAATATGTATATATATATAAGCAACCATAAACCATAACGGAAAAACGATTCTGAGCGGAGTTCAGTTGATAGCGATGCTTTGTCAACAATATATATGTCATATCATGGTAAAATAATTAAATAGGCATTATATGTTTTCTTTAATAATATTAGTTTAATATTGTACCGATTTTACCGTTTTTCCCGGTTTTTCCATTTCTTGACAATAGCTCCTAAGAACATTAAAAAATGATCTCTAAAGTACCTTCCCAGTCAGATTTCCTTTCGGAAAAAGTGCTATACTAAAAATTGAAGGAAGATTTCTTGCAGGAAAGTTTGCACAACAAATCGAGGGGTATTTTTTGATTAAAATAGTCCGAGCGAGAGATAATTAGGTCTCCAGATACACCTGAAATGCATTTGTTTTTTCTCTGTTTAGATAAAAGGGAAAAAACAAAGGCAAACTTTTTTTTTTTGAAACCCGGGTTTGGACTCGCGAACCCTAGGATGACATTAAGTATCTATAACCATTCGATTACGACAAACATAATTTAAAGAAGGCTATATAGAGTTATTTAACATAATATTATATAATTTCTGTATAATATCAGAAATTCAAAAAGCTATTAATTCGGAACTTAGTCAGTCATATATTCAAAACAAAAAAATTGAAAAATTATGATCCACATTTTTTACTCAAACGATTTTCGTCAAAATTTAATGGTAAAATTCCTTTAAAAAAAAAAAATACTACATTAAAAATTCTTTTTGGACCACAAAGTAAGACTTTTAATAAACCTCCTGTTAAATTTTCAAACATTCCTGTTAGGTCTGATAATTTTACCACAGTGTACCTATACCGTATAAAAATTACTTACGAAATTCGCAAAGTTGAAATGTCTATAATTAGCTCAAAAATGGCTAAAATTTTTAAAAAATTTACTATTTCTAGAAAAAACAAATATAAATTCTGTTTAAATTTCAAGTCTCTACGTATATTTTTAGTTGAATTACAATAAATAACTAAAATAAAATAAAATTGAAAAAATAATACAGCAACGGAAATCGTAAATTTCCTGTTTTTCTTACATTTTTTCCCTTTTTATTGGGAAAACTACCAGGAAAATCAAAAATTGACCTCCCTAAAAGTACTACCTCAAGAAAATTTCCTTCCAGAAAAAGGTTTACATCGTATATATCAAAGCAAAGTTTTTGGTAGAATTTTTTCACACAGTATAAAACAATAAAAAAAATAAACATCTTTGTAAAACCAATTCATTCTTTGCTACACTCAGAATCTAAAATATAGTTAATAATTATTTAGTTTTGTTTTTGTTTTTTATTGCTTAGATTAAATAATATAAAACATAACTGTGTACGGCAGTATTTTAAAAAAATATGTGAAGCTCTCACTCTAGGTTTACTCAAAAATGTATCTATCCCCGCCCCGAATTAAATCATATCCACGCCACTGTCTGCAAGTGTAGTACTAGGATTATTATTCGCATGCAAGTTTTGCTGTATAGAACGCGCAAATAGCGTGTGTAGCCTGTATAGCGGTACAACCAGGAATGGTTGGGGGTATTGTTTGGGGGGGGTGTTATATATCTACGAATGTAACAAAAAAATAAAATAAAAAAACACACGTCACATCTACATTACTTAAATACACGGATGTAGGGGTGGAGCATGGGGCTCAGATGCTTAAAACATCCCTGCGGTTGCGCCCAAGCTGCAGTGTCGTCGATGCAAAACGCATAATTCTACGTCGACCGGCGTCAAAAATATTCAAATATCATATTGGAATTGAATTGATACGTTAGGGTGGTAAAATAAAACTTACTAAATTAAAAACGTGTACTCCCTTAAATTTTTAACCCTTCACCCCCCTTCTTTCCCCATGCCGAGAAAGGTTTAGATTACGACAAAAATAGACTTTTTTTTTTCAGTTTTTCAATAATTATTTAGGTAACTAAAAATTTTAAATCGCGGAAAATTATTTTTCTTCAACACAATGTTATGATAAAAATTATATTATCAAATGTATTGATCATTAATAAATACCATTACGGTTAGACGCGAGATGTTATTCAATTATATCGTTACAATTGTAATCTTTGTACCCGTTGCGTTCTAATTACGAAATAATATTATTATTAAACAACTACCGCCGTGCGCGGCGGTAAACATACATAATTATAATTAAAATACAATATCAATACCATCAGTATTATTACCGCTCGAACGCTATTATAACCGCGACGGTATAAATTTTTTTATTATTATTCCTTCCCCCTCCCCGCCTCCCCAACGCCGGAGCAAATTTCCCCCTTTCGTTTCTTCTTCTTCTCACGATTATTATTATTTCCACATCACAATATTAATATGAAGTTTTTCGTCTCGTCCGCGTTTGGAAAACCGTCATCCCCCCCCCCCCCCCNCCCCCCCGTCAGTTTCGGGCGATAAAATCAATACGTAATTTGAATAATTATAATTTACTATATTATTCGGTTCCCCCGCGTATCCACTATATTGTTCGCGTATACCTACAACAATAATTTGCCGTTCGGTCCCGCGAGCAATTTGATATTACCCATAATACAGTACAAAGACGGCGATATTCAAATCGAATCAAATTCCAAATTATTCACATTTACGCACCCTGCGGTGAGTACACATAGGTAATATATAGGTGCGTATTGCGCCGCGAAATATTTCCCTTTGCCCAAAGACAATTTATCGTGCGGTAAACGATAAACGATATTGCGATTCCTTAGAACTGTATAATAATAATCATTATCAATTGCCCTTGTTCAATCGGTACGCTCGGTTCTCGATACTCCTAGACCAGGGGTCGGCAACCTTTTTTGACGGAAGAGCCAAAAGTTACAATGTACAAAATTTTCCAGATTTTAAAGAGCCACTAAAAATTTTCTGAAGTATTTAAATATAATTTTATTTTTAAATTTTAACAGACATAATAATAANAATACATCAATGGGAGCATTGGCTTTGCATGTCTTGGCGTGACGGCGTATGACCAATTAGTTGTAGATAGCGTCGCGATTATATTAGATAACATATAAAAAACATTTTACAACTATAGACTGTACTCCATGCGGGCACTGTCAAATTATTTTTGTGATGTATTATTTCATGTTTCCAAAAGCAACAAAAATAATATACTTTTTTTTTTTTATATTATAAAATATTGTTTTTGAACTAAAATATTAATTTTTGCGTGTGCAGCTGGAGAGCCGCAACTTTAGACGGAAAGAGCCGCACGTGGCTCGCGAGCCCCAGGTTGCCGACCCCTGTCCTAGACAATTCGGATTCGTTTGATATTGTAATATTCGAAATGGCGCCCGCTCATATTATGCGTGGACAGACTGCGATGTAGACCCAGTAGTTTGTACGGGCTGCACTATTACACGGTTCGTAGTGTAATCGGAAACGTTTGTTTGATTATTAAGAAAATATCCGGTTTGCACGCGGATTATCTATCCGGCGTAGTCTACATTGTGCCGGCCGCTTAACGTTTTCAACTGGGTTTTTCTGAGTTGTTTTACACGGAAATCGAATTCAGAGACGAACATTGCTTTTAAAGGTTTTTAAATGATTTTCGAATTAAAATTCAGGTGCCTATGCCTACCAATAACATTTATCAAGTTTCACCTGACTAATGATTCGTTAATCGTATACATTAGCATACAAACGAACGCGTTCTAAGTGAACCGACGGGAAATATATTTCTTCGTCGAATGCAATGCTTTAACATGCGTTTCGTGTTAGATTATTGCGTGTACCGATATTACGTTGCGATTTGTATTCAATATTCTGAGCGGAGCGAAACGTTTTTCATAAATACATAACACTCTCAACAGATGCGTCTCAAATACTCGGCAATCGATAAAAAAAAAATGTTCGAGTGTCAGCGAATGACTTGTCAAAAAAAAAAAAAAATAAAAAAAAAAAGAGTAAAAATATCCGTAAGACAAATATTATATTGAAACCGAATGGATACAAATTTTAAAATTTATTAATTATAAATTATGGAAAGTTATTTTTATCTTCATACAAATGTTATAATACAAATTATATTTAAACCATTATTTCAAAAGAAAAAAAAAACCAAATAAAATTATTATAAAATGATGAATACAAATGAGCGAAATACTTCGCACGATGGGCGGGCCACTGTTGTGGGTGAGAAGTTGAGAATGTAGTATATTGACTGCAATTTAATTTATATCAGTACGAAACTTTTACCTAACCGTATTTAACCATTGCTAACGAAAAACATTTCGGTAGATACGAAGTTTATTTTATATATATATGTACATTTTCCCTTTTTTTCCGGTTTTTCTCAATTATTATGAAAACCTCCTGGAAAATCAAAAATCGACCTGCGTCAAGTACCATCCAGATAAAATTTCCTTTCAGAAAAAGTACTGCACTTGAAAATCGGAGAAGATTTCTGGTAGAAAAGTTGTTCACAGGTATAAAAAAGAATATAACATTATTGTATATCGCTAATATACGCTCCGAATTCAAAATTGTTTACATAGTTACTTGGTATATAAATAATTGGATTTATAATTTAGTTTGGTTGGAAATTTAATAAATTAATATTGATTTATAGTAATTATTACTAATTGATAATAAAAAATGCAGTATAAAATCCTTTTTTTAGTGTTGTCTATTGACTTGCTGTTATTTTCTTGTTAGTTTTTAAAAACAGTAAGATGTAAAAATTAATATAAACTACGGAAAATAATGTAAAAAAAAAAAAAAAAAACGCTTAATAATAATTAAAAAATTCCGTATAATATTAATATTTTATCAGTTAATATAAAAACTTCAATATAAAAAAAAGGCAGCCATAAACTATTTATTTATGAAACACGGAAGTAAATTATCAAAATTAATTAATTATAATTTATATAAAACTGTATAAAACTTGTATTTATGCAATTTAGGTAGAATTCTTGTGACAAAAAGAAAAATTAAAAAATGTTTTCCCCATTATCTGCAGTGTTATAAAACGAATTGGTTTTATTGTATTTCTATTCTACTTTTTTTTTTTTTTTACAGAAATTCTCTCGTGTGATTAGAAACTTCGTTCACAATCTTTAGTGTTGCAAGATATTGTCCCAACAGTTTCTACTTATAAGTTATAGTACTTACTATCCTTACCATTATTACATGAAAAAAGTATCTCAAAATATAAGTGATAATGACGGTTTTTATTATTATATTTTTCATCGTTAATATTATTAAAGTGACGAGTACAACTAATTCCTATACTGGCCTAGTCGGTAGTACTATCGACTAATTTAGTCGACATATTTAACGAGACAAATTTATTCCACGACTAATGAATAATTTTTAGTTTACTAAACGACCAATAACTAACTTAGTTGACTAACCAGTAATTAGTCGATTTATTTTAATGTATGTAATGCTAGTTGGTTGTGCAAATTTTAAGTCTACTAAGAAGTCGGTATAGTATACAATGTGATGGAAACTAATCAATATTTACAGTCGGTATTAATAAATAGTCGTTTCTGGCCGTCACCATAGTTAAGATAGTTTTTGTAATTTTATTCACAATTATCAAACCCATTTCATTTTCTTACTTTAATTTTCAAACTAATAATCAAATAAAATCGAAGTTTTTATAAGTTTACTGATTTGATAATTTGATATTAGAAACAATTATTTTGCCGACTGGTAGGTGTGCAAAAGGCCCACGTACTCCTATTAACTTTAAGATTCTCTTACGTATTTTTAACCAAAATAGTCTACTAACGTCTAATATCCAGAGCTTTATAATTTAACCTAAGTGAAATAACCTTTCATGTATGCACGTACCTAACTACTCGTAGTACCATAAATCAACGAGTACTTACACAATAGCTAAACCCGCGTGTTCTTTCGCAAAAATATCGAGAATCTTCGTTTACTAGATGGATACATTTTTCTGTATAGATACCAAACTGTTTGATTTCTATAGAATGTCAGATAATATTATTATACCAACTATCAAAGGAAATTGATAATAAGCTCCTATTGGCCAATATCATCATTACACCCAACTTTAACAATAGACACCTATAGCTTTTATTACGCATTCACTTTCCAAAATCTCTTTGACATTATACATAGGTTCTATCGAAAACTGGATATAGATTCGATTCTATCAGGAATACGAACTCTTTTTACATTTCATAACATCGTATTCTAATCGTTCACCCGTATGAATATATATATGTATATTTTATATTCGTGTTTCATTAAAGTAAAGCATTAATATATGTATACAAGTATGTAATTTACATTTTACTTATTGTTTTTGAATATAAATATTACACAAATCTGTACGCAACGATTAAATTATGTTCGATTACACACGTTTTGAAAAGTCGTAACAGTTATCATTTTCGTCAACCTTTGATATTAAAATTCTTATGAAAAAAAAAAAAAAATAAGTACATTAAACTGAATTTTTTTTTACCATAAAATACGACTTATAATGAATCTCCTATGAAATTTGCATGCATTTCTGTTCTAAGTCTAACAGTTTTATTCATAACCGAGTACCAAACAAATAAAAATTACGCAAAAAAACTTTCAAAATTAAAATGTTTATAAAAAGTTAGAAAATGGCCCAAATATTTTCAACATTTTACCACATTTAGAAAAGGCAAAAATGAGTTCCAAATTCAAGTCTTTACGAATACTTTCAACTGAATTACATTAACCAAACAAAATTGAAAATAATAAAATCACCGTTTTTGCCAATTATTATGAAAACCGTTCGGAAATCAAAATTGACCTTCAAACCGAAAAACCATGCAGATAAAATTTCCTTTCAGAAAAGATGTTGTTACATCAAGATCCATTATTGGTACTTTGATACATCGGAGTAAGATTTCTGGCAGAAAAGTTTTTCAAAGCATAAAAGAAAAAATACATAAATAAATATCATTAGGTATACTGGTATATATTCCTCGCTACACAATCAATCTAAAATCTAGGTAAGTTATTAATTTAAATAAAATAAGTATGGCTATCTAACTAATACACCTTTTATATTTACCAAGATATGCGATACATAAATTATACACGCGGTACAATACTTTATTGAATTTTTTTTATTCTTTTATTGGGCTAACGTCAATATTATGAAAAATAAAACTTCTGTTTTCAATAGGTTAGTGTAGCAATGTGTACGTATATGAAAATTATAGTGTCAAGTTAAAAATCGTTTAAGGAATATTTATTGAATTTTAACTTTTGATTTCATATTTCAAATTCTTTTTTTTTCCTCTTCGTTCCAAAACGTGGGATCGGCTATATTACAACTCTATACTTCTATACCCCATTCTCTATTATTACTTTTTGTTTTGTATTTAAAGTATATTATAGTTAATATAGTAATATAATAATATAGTTTTTTGATAAATATAATAATTTTACCATCTTAACAGTGTTTAACTCAGAATACAACTATATCTAAAATCTATTCTCTGTATTTAAACACAGCGACCGTTTAATGCTATAACCTGACTATATAGGCGCCACGTACATGGATGCCGGGGGCCCGAGCACCTGTTGACATTTTTTAGGGGTACCAGGCACCGGTTAGAAATATTTATATAATATATTATTATTTTGTATACTATAAAAGCTTTAGTAGAAAATAAGGGGGCTTCTGGGTCCCCCATAAAACTAGGCAAACTAGTTACTCCTCTTGCTCATCCCCTCCACTTCCGGTTTCCACATCTTCATCGACCTATTAAGCCACACCCACTTCCGTTTTTTTTATCATACATCTGGTTTCTTATCAGATGTTATTTCTTATCAGTCGCTGACACGCCATTATTCTTTGTCACTTGGTATCACTCATCAGTTGTTGTCACATACTCTGTTAGAACATACTCATACCATAGCATATACCACGAGTTACCTAACCTTACCAGTATTACCAGCTCTTATTCGCTCTAAAACTGCTTTTATCACTACGGATTCACCACGCCCAATCATTTGTTGTTTTGTTATCACACCGTCATATCTTCCACGTACTCACTTTATCCTAACACCTGTTTCTCACAAAGCTAGGTCACTCTACCTCTACCTCATTACCCGCAAAGCTACCCTACTCCGCCTTCACACAACCTATGACGATATGACGGTATGTTAACAAGACAACAAGTGATTGTGAGTGGTTCAAGTGGTGTACCCATTGTGATAAGATCATTTTAGAGCGGAAAACAGCTGTTAATAGCTGGTAAGATCGCAGTATATGCTATGGTATGAGTATGTTATAACAGAGTATGTGACAACAACGGATAAGAGATAACATCATATTATTAAGGATAAACAATAACCGATAAGAGATGACGACGTGACAACAACTGATAAGCAAACGGAAGTGCGATAAGAAAAGCGGAATTGGCGTGAACAAATTGGTTGACGGTGAGGCGGAAACCGGAAGTGGAGGGGATGGGTGGGAGAGGTAACTGGCTTGCCTGTCATTGCGGGGTGATACAGAAGCCCCCTTATATAACTACTCGCGATACACATAAAATTCTCATTTACGGTGTAAATACAAATATAACAATTATATATTAATAATGACCGTACTCACTTCGTCGGTGTCCGTGTCGAACGCAAACACCATGGGCGGTCGGACGACGATCGCGTTGTCCTGCTGAAGCAGGTTCACCTTGCCCACGTCCAAGGCCCACAGCAGTCCGCTGTCGTCCACGTACACGTCCACGACGTTGACCATGGTCCAATTGTTGTTGTTGTTGTCGTCGAGCTTCGGACGCGGCCGGTGAGCAGCCGCGCACGGATAAGGCAAGATCGGCGGCTCGATGGTGCTCGTGCACGGATCGCACTCGATGGCACCCAACGTGAACGGCACGCCGCGCCTGAACCTGGGCATGGCCAGGTATATGATCCCGTCGTGTCTCATCGCCATCCTGGTGGGAATCACGTTTCGCGCCACGTACTCGCCCGATTCCGTGGCGCGGCGCCGGTCGCCGGGGTCCGTCCACTCGAGACGAGCGCCGCTGACGACGTAGGTCAACTGGTCCACCGGCAGCCCGATCCCGGCGACCGGCGCCGGCCGCTTCAATAATGTCACGACGAGTATCTGTAACGCAACGGCGACAAAACCGGATGCCTGTCAATAAATACAATCGATCGATAACAATAACGATAATAGTTGTAATAATATTATTGTAATAGTGTTGTAGGTATCGGAAAAAAAAAAAATCAAAACATTCGCAGTACGAAAACGAGCGTTTCGAATATGTTTGTCGGTGTTCGTTCGACGCGCGGGTTTTTATTCGTTTTTTTTCCATTTTTTCCATTTTTTTTTTTTTTTCACCAACTCACGCTCTTTTCGATTTCTATGACACGAAAAATATTAATTTACATTTATCCTTAGAGAAATGTCACTTTTCTCACGTGCGACGCGATTCGACATTGTAATATTCGCACAAAAAAACGGCGAGAGGAAATGAAAAAAAAAAATTGATTGTTTACATTCTAATTTGTTTGTTGCCATCGTACACGCGTATGACTACGTTATCACGGGCTTTAGCTCGTTCGAAACCATCGAGTATGTACAATAATAATAATACGTTGTCAGGACGTGTACAGCTGTTTTCCTACACGGTAACATCGCCGCAGGGTGTACCGCGTGTTCGTACGCCAATAACATTTCAACGCGCGTACAACAATGGTTTCCTTGTTTCCCGTTTCGGAAGAAAATACTTTTGTACCTATTTTTCCGTTTTTCCTACATTTTCCCCGGTTTTCCAACGTTTTTTTCCCGGATTTTCTGATTTATCGGAAAAACTCCTGGGGAAAATCAAAAAATGACCTCCGTTAGGTACCACCCTTGTTAGATTTCCTTTCAGAAAAAGTGTTACACTTTTAACCGAAGCAAGATTTTTGGTAAAAGTTGTTCACGGGGAAAAAAAAAATAAACATTTTCGTTAACCATAAGCTTCTTCGCTCGAGAACACACTATATGTTGATTTTTTCATAACGTTTCTTTTCCCATTCTCAGATCGATTTCCCATATCTGTCACATGTAGTTCTTTTTTTCCGGGTTTTTTTAATCCATACAACTTTTGTTTCATTTTCCACGGGTAATACGTGAAAACTAATATTTGAATTGATAGAGTAGAATGTTTTACAACCGAAAACGTCAAAATATGTTCTGCTTGTTCTCAAAACCGCCATACTTAATCTATATAAGTAAACAGTATTGAACGGTATTTCAAAGAAATATATATGGACCGAAGTACAATGACATCATATGATGTCATGATCTACATAAATACCTCGATTTACGGAAAAAGACACGACGAAGAGCTATATAATCTATATTGAAAATCCAATATATTTACATACATAGGATGCAAACGCCTAGAGTGATTAGGACACACACGGAGAGCTGATGAAGAGGTATCTTAAAGCATGTCCTAACAGAAAAAGCGAATGAAAAAAACGCCCACCGGGAAGACCAAGCGTGAACAAGGTGGGAAGACACTGTAGAAAAGTATACGAGACTGGTATATGATAGCGCAATGCTGGATTGGACACCAGATAGTGAAAAATTCAGAGGCTTACTAGTTACTGCGTGGCAGCGCAGGTTCCGAATGGACCGTTAAACTGTTTGAAGACAAAGAAGTAAACAGTGTACTCGGATATCTAAACAGAATAGTTTAAAATACGTCGATGTTAACATTTTTCGTAAACGTCATATGTAAGGTATGTAATTAAATTTGAACGGTAAGACGCATATACAAATAATTAACGATTAACCGTAAGAGGGAATCAGTTAAACACCAACCCACTAGTTCAAATACCAGCAGAATGTTGAAATTTGAAATTCAATACCTTGTGTTTGATAACCAAAAATATTTAAATTATACAAAAACTTCATTAAAAAAAAAAAAAAGAAAAAAAGCCGTTTTACGTTTATCCACACGTGTATTCCGCGTTTATCAGTCCCACACCGGCTAGTAATATTTTTGTCCACCAGACTGCGTTTTGTTAGATTGTTTACCCAATTGTCACGACATTATTGTTATTATTGTTTCGGTTGCCCGGCTATCGCGTTAAAACGGTCCGAATCCTAAATAAATATTTCCGTTATTTCGCGTTTATAATATAAATCTGATTATAATATAGGCGACGGGCGTAACTATACATAATATAAAACGTAGTGTTTCGAGGTGAATTAGAACAAGAACCGGTATACCCGTATAATTCGATTGCGAATTTATTGCAGGTTATGGAATATCCACCGTGTATTACTAATTCGTGATGTTTATCGAATTCGATAAACGGCGAGTTACGTTATTTTAATAGCGAATAATAATTATCATTGTGTGTACCGCATTTTAACGGGGATTATTAAATTTAAATAAAATGAGAGATTTTTTTTTTTTTTTTTTTCGATTTGAAAGAACGTTTTTATACCTCTATTACACATTCTTTTGGTTATTTAATCAAATTAATTCATTTTTTTTTTTTTCAATCTCGTCGATAAACCTTTGGAACGATAGTTAACTTATCTGCGTATTTAATGAATTTTTATTATAATGATAGATTCCTATATACGTATACGTATATTATAATATTATACATTATCTAAAGTGACGCATTGAAAACCATGTGGTTCATTATTAATGTCAGCGGGGGAAAAAAAAAAAGTGATTAGATTAAAATAAAATGTAATTCTCAGTGTTCGGTGATGCGTTTTACGTAATTCGAGAAAGCATGTCTCGATTACTTATTTGAGAGAAGCAAAAAAAAAAAAACGATTCAGCGTTCGATGTTCGCGCACAACGTACGGGCGTAATACGCACAGTCGAAACCCTCAACTACCTATAATATGCTATCGGTGTTGTCACAGAGATAATGTCGTGTCTTTGTTTAATTGATATCATTTGAGTAATAACACGCCGTTATTGTTATGGCGCTGGTGCTCCGGGCCACCTTTCTGTACCGCCACGGTAGGCACGCTCGAAACGCCGAATTGTCGTTTCATAGACGGAGTGCCGGTTTTTCAATCGTCGCGCATTTCATTCGTCGGTATACCCGCGAGTAGTCGCCCGACCGATAAGAAACGGCCGGCGGTAACACTGTCGGCTTTTGCAACGTCAGAATAAGAACACGGGCATTTATCTGCTGGCGAACAAAGTACGTCCTCGCGGTCATCATAATTATTTATCGGTTCAGACGCGTGACGGTACCGTAGCGAGGACCGCGTCGCGTCACTCCAGGAAACGTGTAAAAAGGCCCAAGTGACTGAGGGCGGCCCGACCCGAATAGCCGCGCGACGATGGCGAAGGAGAAGGAGATCATATTACCTAATCTATTTAAACATTGTAATGTATCGATACGAATAATCGTTGTCCAATGTTTATTTGTATGTATCGTGGAAATCAATTCGGTTATCGACAGTAGTGCGGACATATTGTATTGTGGTTATAGAAAACTTTGGAATAGGATAAAAAAAACAAAAAAAAAAAAAAAACGCCGTCCCAGGATAATGGGGACGACGGGCGCATCCACCGTTGTAGGTGGACAGTCAGGAAGGTATGACGCGGACAGGAATTTAATGTATATTTGCTAACGATTAACCGTTGCTAACGAGAAAACGATTCTCAGCGTAGTTCGGTTGATAGTGTTGATTTGTCGACAATATATAATGTGCCGTATTTTTGTGAAATAATTACGTATAATTTATATTAAACATTTTTTTTAATAATATTTGTTTAACACCTATTTTTCCGTTTTCTCGGGTTTTCCATGTTTTTCCCGGTTTTTCCTATTTACTCGGAAAACTCCCGGAAAAATCAAAAAAATGACCTCCTTAATATACCTCCGCAGTCAGATTTGCATTCGGAAAAACTTCTTTCAAAAATGCCGGTATAAAGACGTTGTCTACAGAAAAAAACAAAATAAAAATCATTGTAAAACCATGAGCTTCTTCGCTCCACTCGGAATCTAAAATCCTCAAGTGTAATTTAATTTTTTGGCTGGTCTTTCACATCGACCGTATACAGAGTGTTCCACGAAGATGTACCCATTACGATATCTCGGAAAGTATTAACATTTTCGGAATTTTTATTTTTTGGCAGTTTAAGAAACCGGTAGCTCTAAAATGTTACACTGATATTATCTTTGTCATCCTTATTTTTTGCGACGAAACGATTACCCGCTTTTGATTTTCAAATAGCAACCTATATATCGGTAGATAACGTATTGGATTAAACACCATTTTGATGTTGACATTATTTTATTTCCGTCAACCCGTTGAAAAGTTATTCCATTTTTAAGTTTTTGTGACGGGGTTTGAATTTTGCCCTACCATTCTCCCCCACTCAAACTAAAAGGTGGAATAGATTTCGTCAACAGATCGGTGGAAATCGAAAACGCCAACACCAAAATGTATTTAAACTCATACTCCGCCTATTTTTCGAACTTTTAATGTATTATGTTGCCATTTGAAAATCAAAAGTAAATAGTCTGCAGTTCACTCCCCCCTCCGTCCTCATACCCAAAAAATGCGTTTGACAAATAATAATTTTTTTTTACTGTTTTATACTGTAAATGGTTTTGTAATTTAAACGATACGCGATTAATCATCGATCATATTATGTTTAACGAAAAGTATAGGTATTCGACGATATGAAAATGGGAATTTGGTTATTTTTTTTATATTTCCCTAATGTAACATCGTCGCCGTTACTATATACGATTCGACAATTATTATCGAACCGTGGCGGTATCGTGGCTAAGTGATGTTTCCGAAATGTTCCGGACAGCTTTTCAAAAGGAACTATATACACACTCGTCTGATGTGTATATCTCATCGTGCATTGTGATTGATGGGATGTTGCGGTGACCGATTGGTTGCAGGGGAGCCAAATGGTCTACGAGTATACGAATATTAGGTAAAGCCAAGAGGATATAAGTTGATATAATTTTATTTCTTTTGGTTTCGTAACGAAATTTCATAAGAAAATTGATTCGCCATCAAACTGAAAATTCGACCATACGTCTAATATATTGTAGTAGTTTTTATCGTTCAAAAAGGTATGCTTGAATTTGTCGCCGAGTAAAAAAAAAAAAAAAAAAAAAAAAAATCGATCGCTTGGAAATAAAATCTGTATGCTATCATAAACTGTTTGAAATAGTTTAAATATCTATATGAAACGATTATTCGAAAATTTAATTCTAAATGAAAAACGGCACTAATTCATAGGTACAATACTAGACTATCGATTTTGGGGTTGTTAAAATTGTGGACACTTGAACGACCCGGGGGGCTACACGACTCTTATAATAGTCTACTACACTTTTTATTTATAATTTTGTGTATACGAATTTATCATAAACATTTTAACATTATTGTTCATGGTTCACATATTATGTATTGTTTGTATAGGAAGCCTGTATTTTGTTCTGCTCGTTAATTATGAAATACACGCATAAAATATTTAGTCATTACTATGCAAAAGCCAATTGGGTATTTTTTCGAGGGAGCTAATTTAAAACTTAGAGGCCCTGAGGACCCCCTAGTGCCCCTCTAATTGCGCCTACGCGAACTATCCTTATGCTAGTGTATTGCACGAGCGAGAAAATCCCTTGAATAATAATAATAGCACCAAATTTCTTCAATAATATTATACATATATAATATCTATGTTCTATATATTATACGTATACCAACCCTTACTTTGGATAAATGGCCCGGACGTATTAAGGTGATAACTGCAATACGATAATAATAAATAGTATTATTAACTTTGCGTTATTTACTTGTTATACATAATAGTAACGTTGAGGTCACGTTTTAAGCTTCATATTAATACCCGACTGGTCCATCGTGTTTTTATCAACAGGGCAGCAATTTCTTTGATTCAACCTCTTTTTTCTATCGAACGAACGTACCTAATAATTAGGGTGCGCATTTCTAAACTTCGCAAACTAACTAATTTCCTAAACACAACACTACTCACAGTGCAATATATGTATGAGACTATATTACAACTCGATAATTAATAGCTTATCGTTTTCTTTATTGCAGCTGGCATCATATTTATCTGGTACAATCGGTAAATCTATTCCCAATACATTTTAATAATAGCAATATGAATTTTTTCAGGAGGAAATCAAAATAAATTTTATCGAATTTTCCGATAAAATTATGAAGTCTATAAAAAGAAGAAAAAATGCCTTAAAACTTAAAAATGCACTTAAATGTCAAAAAATGCAAAATAAAAGTTTCATGTTTTGATTATTTAATATATGAAACGAATTTTGTGATTGGAAAACATTGGTTTAGAAAATTAAGAAAAAAAAATGCAATTTGCATTATAACCCGCGCCCTACTAATAATATATTATTATTAATATATTTGGGAGTATGATACCGCGTCGAAATAATTATTATGCAAATTCACGGTAAGAATACTTAAAAATTAAAGAATATACTGTGTTATAGAAACGCAGTAGGTGTGTTTAAAAGCGCACAAATTGTAATACAAGTCTGCAGTAGATTATTGTTATAAGTATAGGAATATTGGATAAAAATGTAGACGGAAAAATAACGAGTAAGTACATATCAAACCAAATTGGATTGTCACTAGAATTACACGGAGAATCTGAGATTATATGAAGTATTGAAGTGTGCATATAATGTTATAACGCGTACGTTTATAATGGACAAAAAAAAAAAAAAAAAGCCAAAAATAACGACCAACGATATTTGACTAACGATATTTGAATACTTCGGTGGGACTTAGATACATAAGGGATAGAAGTATGTAGAAGGAAAAAGGAACGTAAATCGACATGGAATGATTGATGTGTGTAAGTATAATGGATACACGCATAAAAATTGTTGTGCAGTATAAAATGAGAAAAAAAAAAATTAAACTTGAACGTCAGAATATGAATGTATATTGTGATTGAATGTGGTTCTGATGAGTGTTTAGAGTCTTTAGACGGTTGCTTAGTAATCAATAATACTATGGTATTCGTAACAAGGAATCTATTTTAGTTTTTGAGTGGGGCGAGAGAGTTACTGCGGGTTTTACAACGACACGCGTATCTTTTTTGCACAGCATAAAAGTTTGTTTAAACTAAGTTATTAGAGGTTATTTCAAAAATATCTATCTCTAAAAATTAAACATTTTATACTATACAGATTAGTATAACATAAATATACATAATATAGTTAATTTTTTAAAAATATTTAGTAACTTTTCACGGACGTGGTCAAGAAATACTATTTTTCTGCAGTTTTGTGTTTATACATACGCTCACTGTTGTTTAAAACCGTAGCAGGAAAATAAATTTTAGGAATAAATTATCTATTATATGTGCCATAGAAAATGTCGATAATTATTTTATTTGTAGTTTATTTAATTTCGAGGAAAAAAACAATTTTATCGAAATGTTTATATTTAAACGGAGTTATTATGACATTATAAAAATACTATGTATCAGATGTATAAACTATTATTTTTTTAAATTATCGCTATTTACAAGTTTTATTTTTTTACTAGCGTGCAGATTGCATTTTAAATGTCCATTTTTTTGTGGTCTCTCAATTGATTCAAAAGGATTCCGTACGATTTTAGTTGAATACAATAGCTATATATATATTTTTTTTCTTATATATACCTAAGCAAATATTACAAAAATTAATACCAGTTTAATAATAATTATATTATACAGTCTACATATGGACGAATATTTACATTTTAAATTGTAAGTTTGGTTTAATTTATGTATGCCATGCATTAACCTATTGACTATACATGTTACGATATTAAATACATCATACTGTCGAGGAAAAATTTAAAAAAACATCATTAATAATAATATTCTCCTCGTAGTTACAAATGTATAAATATTGTGAACCGTAACAATTATTATTATTGTTCGCATCGTCATCATTTATTACGGTTCTTTATATTATTATAACAAATATAAGTACCTGTATAATTTTAAATAGGTAGTTTTTTTTTTTTTTTTTTTAGTTATATAACTGAGTATACTTATAACAAATTAAATACAAAATGCATCGTGTTGAAGGTAAAAATGTACATATTTTGTGTCAACTGTAGGTAGGTACGCGGGTACTCTTATTTTCGTTTTGGATTTATTTTAACGAGAAATTTAATTTTAATTTTACGATCAACATAGCTATTTGTACATTTAATTATACCTATTATAGGTACGTTAAATATAACCTTCGGGAATTATACAATAATTTAACACGGAACAAAAATAAAAATAAAAAAAAAAATAAAATGATATTAAAATATAAATAATGTTCAGATGACAACTAGTAAAGTACTAGAGTGTAATCGCCCAAAGTTTTATCTGGGTTTAAATCAGTCGGACGTTTCCAGACGACTCCCATGACACCGAGCAGTTAGTGGACAAATTGTATAATCATATCACTCGTCCACTATCAACGATCTATATGCCTGTACAAAACGTCTTCTCTTCAATGATTAAATTACTAATTTATTATAATCACCGACATTAACTTTTAAACACATCAAAACGCGAACAACTAAAAATTAAAATAATTGATAATTTATTACATTTCTCCTCTCAACCCCGAAAATCGCCCCTGTACCAATGTACGGCACTGGCGGTTTTATTGTTGGATGGGGGACGATGGGTGGATCGATCACACATTGGAAATGAAATGTGTGATGTGACTACATCATCGCCGTCGCGCAAACAGTGACTTAATGATTTGAAATGTTAAAAAATTAATTTTGTTTAAGTTTGAAATTTAGAATTAAATTGTGATTTTAATCAGGAATTTACGCGTTAAGAGGTTCTTGAGCTATGCCATTTCTTGGATTGCACTTTTTCTTAAACATATAGGTGCGAAATCAGGCATTCAAACGTGTTTTTTTTTTTCTTTACCAGGTCACTATTGTGCACTTTTTGCACGACGGCGTGATGGCGACGATATTATATTCATGCAAAATATTTTTGTCCCGCGCCCCCTTGGGTCTGGTCAACAACTGCGCCTGACGTAGGTATAGTACCCGCCATAATAAAATATGTCTGTGTGCAAAAAACGGCATTTAAAAAAAAAAAATAAAAAAAAAAAAAATGATATTTTATGTTTTATATGCGAGCATTATATAATTACAGATACAATAATTACATTTCTACATGAATTTAATTTAATATTATTATCGACTCGTGGAAACCATAAGAACAATCTCTAGTATAATATTTTATTAAACGTCAGAAACTGTATATTATTCAATAGGTTGGCATACATAATATTATATTATTGTTCTCTTGCGTCATTATTTTTGCTTTGAACACATTTTGCTTGGCGCATTGATATACTGTATTATAACGTATACGTATATTATTATTAAGCATACGAATTATACATTCGTAAATAATTATTTCCGACACGATAGCTTTGAACGTTTTGAAGTCGTAAAATGACGTGACGTCAAAACGAGATAGTAGCCGTCCGTGTCTACTTTCCGTTACTATCACGCATGATGTAAACTCGTGGAATTTGGTGTCAATTGACGAAAACGAACACCACGCGACGCCGTGAACGTGAAAATGCGTATCGATCGATCGATTAACGTTGTGGATTCGGCGCTTCTTTTTACCGGAACACCTAGCTGGCTGGCTCCGTGATGCGGACATCAAAGTCGTGACCTTCGCTACGATTGTAAATACATAAGTGAACTATATATAAGTCGTGTGTTCGGATTTGTTTTTAATATTGCGGAGTAGCGCGAATTTCGCGGGCTCAAACGAGAAATTTCAACGGAACCATTACAAATAGTTTTACTCAAATTGCGCCGCACTGCTGTTTATGGACATTGTACAACACATTGAAAATTATAATCAATACGTTTAGACAGTCAATAGGACGTATATTACGTGATTTCGTTGAAAGTATTACGAATTAAGGATTTGTTTATGTTACGGATATATAAATATATTAGGTACATTAAAACTGTTGTAAAAATAACGAAAAAGAACTATTTCACGTTTTACAATCAATTTTCGTGCAATTTATTTACGCCGTTTAAATATTTAACGGAGAACAAATTATTCTATCAATGTATATATAGCCCGTTTATATACGTATACTTTATAGATGTACATAGCCGTCTGCTGTATATAATATGTTGCAACAGTAAAATGGCACTAAAAAAAAAAAAAAAAAAAAAAAAAAAAAAACAAACAAACTAAAAACAATAATTTATTATGACGATACGGGACAACTTCCAAAATTTCTATCGGATGAACGTATTTTTCTATTATTTGATTATATTTTACATAAATAACTGTTTTTCCAAATTCTTCATACTATAAGCTAAGGTATTTACTGTATATACTTCTAAACACGCGAATAATTTTGTTTATCATATTTATACAATTTGTATTTATTATGTTTACTGTATATAATTTAAAAAAACGCTAAACTTGATATTAACAAGCCAAAACGGAAGAATTGATATAGCTGATGGATGAACACATTTTGTAGGTAAATAATCGGGAGGGTAAGATACATAGAGTAATTTGATTTATGCCTGTACGTAACTAAAAAACATTGCTAGTGAAAAACGATTCAGAGCGTGTTGTTCTTATGCGCTTTCCTTTGTTGCCCTAGGTAATCCAAAAATCATTACAGTTGTCAGTTTTTACCATTAAGAAAGCAACAAGAAAAAATACTTATTTAATGGATCAACTAGATCAAAAATGCTACAAGTCTCTGAACATTTATTGAATGGATAAAGATTTTTGGTAGAAAAGTTTAAAAAATTGTTTAAAAAAAAAAAATAAATATCATTGTAAAACCAATATATCGAATTATTATTACAAAATATTTTTACGCGAAATATTTGTATTGTATCTTTTATCTATAATATAATAATATGAACGGTGTCCTTGCCTTATTATAGATAATTGTATAGGACATGAAATAGATTAAGTCGTCTACACGGTACACGTTTATCTATTTATCGTATCGTGCAAAATACCTATACCCTGTATATTATATAGTACTGTACGGTTAATTTTATCAATTATATTGTGTTGATAATAATAATAATTATTAAACGTATAGATTACAAACCCCGTTTTCATATTTTACTATTTTTTTTTTTTTTTTTATAATGTATAGTGTTCAAATTTACAATAAAACAGTTTATTTTATTTTATTGTAGACAGTAGTATTGCGCGGTAAAATGCCAAAAATGTTTATTATTTATTATTATTATTAATTTGTTTTTTATCTGAACACTTTTTGAGGACCACCTAAAACAGTGCCCGCACCCGTCCTCAGTGTCAAATCTTTTTTAAATTTAATTTCTGTGTGCTGTACCTGTTTATTTTTATTATTTAAATAGAACTCCACATACTTTTGTCACTACGGACGTCCCCACAAGCAATTGATAAATTCAAATATACTTCAGGGGGAAGCAATAGCTCATCCTGGAATTTTGTTCAACCTCCCCCTCCCATAAAACTGTGACTTTTTATTATTATATTAAGATTATAAACAAGTTTTTCAAATTACATTTTTTCAATCATATGAATAATTAATTGTTTACCAGTAAAATTCAAATAAATTACTTAAATTCAAAACTGTACCATTATATTTTTCAGATTTTATTCTTTAAATACCTGTTACTTGTAACTTCTAACATTGACCTGGGGTAAATTTATTTTAAATATCAATTCCCCTTTTTTATTTGCACATATTATGAACACTTATAATTATATCAAATAAATTATAAATATCTCGAAGAAAAATACTATTTACGGTGTACTATTTTGAAAAAACTGACTATTATAAATTGTTTTATCCCCTATTAAAACGCTCCCTTCCTGAAAAAATGCCCGAATAAAACATTGCCCATAATTCTATAATATATATATTGTAACGAATAGTAAAATATCGAGATAAGAATTTTTTGCCAAAACAAATACATTATACATTTGTATAAAGAAAAGAAACATAACCAACTTCAAATCAATTATTGTCATCTGCATGCGTAATTGTTCGCGTTAATTATTGTTGTTGTTTAAATCATATCTTATAAAGTCCTATTTGTGGATGACCTTTTTGATCACAGAATCATTGCCTCATGTTCACAATTTAACGTTTCGCCTCTGTTGCCTTTTGTACCAAGCTTTTACTTATTGTAATAAGAAAACTTTACAGATTGCACACTTATTATTAAATATAAAAACAAAAACAAATAATGGCTGATATTACTGCCAAGTGTGTTACTGTTGTAGGCGGTAAGTTGGAAGGCAGGATACATTGTATTATATCTGTACGATTTTGAGCGAAGTTCGGGTAAATATGTTTTGAAATTTGAACTTTAAACGTATATAAAAAAACATTAACACGTTAACTGAGCTTTTTTTTTTCTAGCCCTACGTAAGAACCTTGTCGTAAATTTTTACATAAATCGAAAAATAATAAGCAAATATCGTGATTTTACGATTTCATTGAAATATTACATTATGTTCAACTCTCTTTTTTATCAATTTAGAACAACTTGTATATGGAGAATCTCGTGTAAAATTGCTAAATATTTTTGCTCGATAAAAATAATTTTATCTACAAAAAATAAAAACGAAAACATCTCCAAAATGTCTTCAATATTTAATCAATTATCTATTAGTATTTTGTACAAATGTCGGGTCTTCACGTTATTGTCGTAAACTTTCGCATATTCCTACGTTTTTCCTAATTATTATGAATATTTCTTGGAAATCGAAAAACGACTTACATGTTCATAAACTAGACGACATTTTCTTTCAGAAAAAATTTTGTCGCAGAAATTCAGAACAAGATTTCTGATAAAAAAAACCAAAACCAAATTAATTGAAAATAATGAAACTCTTATTGCCGTAAAGTCAGTTTTTCTCGGAGTTCCTAAATATTATAAGAATAACTCAAGAAATCTGAAAATGACCTTCTTATGCACAACTATTAAAAAAAAAGACTATTTTGTAATTTTATGATTGAAACAAGATTCCGGGTATAAAAGTTATTAACAGAGAGGAAAAAAGCAAATAAAAATAAGAATTCATTTTTTTAAATTAATGGGAAACACCGGGACAAAACGCAGGAAAACAAAAAAATAGGTATAAAATTGAACAAACATTATTAAAGAAAATATAAAATGCATATGTAATTATTTTACCATAATATGATACATAAAATATATTGTTTAAAAATATGAATATATGGTTAAAATATACATTTGGACAAATATTTTGTCCAAATCCGTTTTTTTGTTAGCAATGGTTAATCGTTGTGCACAGATACACATTTAATTTTCTTTCTACTACCTTTCCAACTTTGCACCTATAACAGTGGCCCACGTGCTAAGTATGTCAGTTTTTTTTTTTACACATACACAAACAATTTCTATTATATTTTATACATATTTTTCACGAACATAAATTACTTGCTACCGAACAAAATAATATTGTTTCGTTTTTTATAACAAAAATATGCATATATTTGTATTGAAACGATGTTTGGCTTCGCTGAAAATAGGAATTCGCAATAATATCAATATTTCTCGTTTCTCGTTTCATTTTTATTCGAAATTTTATTGGTCGAACCCATCTTTCGACAATAATTCTGAATTACATTCTACTTCAATTGTTTTTTTTTGTCAAAACGTAATATTTTATCAACTGGGTAAGAAGCGCATAATAATAATATGTTTCATTTTTCGTCGTGTTTTGATTTTGTTATTTTTTTTTCTACCACCAATTCAGTTTTTCACGGGTATAATAATATATTATTGTCATTTAGATTCAGTTGACTATTGAATATTGAACTTTGATTTAAAACATTTAATTTTCTGTAGTATACTATTATAACACCTATATATCATGTATTTCAATCACTTCAGCCATAATTTCATTTGGGTAAAAAACGAGCTAATCTCTTCTACAATAGTGCTTTTTTCAAGAATTACTTTTTCCCTGTTAAATCGTCAAATTTTATTGAACACGTATTTTATAACTAAGATTTAGATTCGTACGCGTAATTAAAATATATTTAAATGTATAAATATGAACAAATTAAATACCGTGTTACCGTATCGTGTAAACTAATTGTTATGTATATAGGTAAAAAAAACGATTTCATAAAAAATAATATAAGTTTTGCCAACCATCGGTTAAAAAAATGAATAGGTAGGTTCATTTAATATAATGAAGGGTTAGAAATAATGTAATAAAATATTTTAGGCTTTTTAAAGCCTAAATTAGCTAAATGGAAAAAAAAATGGGCAATTAAACTACATACAGTCGAAGGTATTTTAATGCGAGGTAAAACGGTTTTTTTTTCTTTTTTTACAAAAATGCATGCAGTTATTAAATACTAGATTAAAAAAAAAAAAAAAAACAACTTTAGTTTTTATTAATGCGTTCAATAAAAAACAGATATGCGACGCATACAGTGTTACTAACAAAAAAATATAATTTTTACGAACATCATATTTCCGTATATTTAGTTTTAATTCCAGTAAATTGTATTGTTACCTAACAGATTTCGGATAACTATTGCTACTGTTGTCTACATGCATATGTATATAGACAACATATAATATATGTTTTGTTTGTATATAAATTACAAAATATAGATAAACTTTTGCCGACTACACGTCTATAGGCGTTGTGTTCATAAATACCCAAAGTGGAAATTACAATAATTCGTCAGAGTGGTATTATTTCAATTATTAAAAATTTAAAAGGGCTAACATTAAAGGACAAAAGCTTCTGGTACGCAATTGTAAGTTCTAGCATCCTAAAAATGATTTTCTTTTCTTAATATATTATTTTCCTAACCAATTAAATTAAGGAGGGTTAGTTTTAACGTAATTGTCCGGCGCTTTAATTATTACCGAACTACTATTATTATGGGACGTGACTAAGGCTATCATATAACTTACCGTAAATTAAAATAAATAATAGTATAATATGGGCGTGGTAATTTATAGTGGTGATAATGAACAAAGCCAATCATAATACAGAATTCCTTTTAATTTATATTAGGTAAATTAAATTAATCCCATTGCAGATGTACTCGATACAAATTATCCTCTTAATATTTTATACTCTTGAAGTGGTTATGATAGCAGTTCGGTAAGGTTTTATACAGCTAGTGATCGAACGTCAACAGTCACTTAAATAAACTTTTATGTAATTGAACTATTCATTATATTCATCGTCAGTTCATTAAAATATTTTAATATTAGCTATGACGTACATATAGTAATAGTAACAATGATATTTTATTTGTATAGCGTAATATATGTACTTAATTTATAATTCTACCTTGGCATGAGAATATAAAATATACAGGATTAAATTTAATAATACTAAAATGTATTTTTTTTTTTTTTTTTTTTGTAGATTTTCAGCAAAGCGAGGAATATATCGTTTTTACATTATGATGTGTGCGAATT